TACTAGTTAAAAGTCACGTTTCTTGACTGATCAGCGACTGATAAGTGGATATTAGTGAGTCAGTTGGATGCTTTCAATATAATCAGTCAATTAGTTGGAGAATAAGCTTGACTAATGACTGACTAACTAACTGATTTACTAAACTTTGGAAATCTTTTTTGTTTTAGAACAGCGGGCGGTTAGAGCTGACCCACCAGTTTAAATCGCCCAACAACTCGTATAGTAGAGCGAACGATTACTACTCAAGTCTGTGTAACCCGGTTTGCTCCCGCTCATTGCCGACAAACATGGTGCTGAATTCCGATGCAAGCTATGCAAATGACTCACTATTTGAGAATGGGTTTGTGCAGTCGTAACGTGTCTCGACCAAGGCCTGCTTGCAGACTGTGCCGTATTCTCAGCCTCATCATCATGTAGGAGGAAATCTATAAGAGCCGTTGGCAATGTCGATTCTCTACCTGGCTGGAGTCCAAATTCAAGTCATAGACTCCCGCCTGCTTCAGCATCCCAAAATCGTCTCTCTGAGCTATTTTTGCTCGTCTTACCATGACTGTCCTCGTCGACCACGTCCATTACAACGAACTCCCTCTCTTGGGGAGGCGAATATCTCCCGCCAAGTCAATACTTATCTATGCTCACCCTATCTGCAACGCTAACCACTCGGACGATTGTACAGGCCCCGCACGTCGACGACATCATCAACGGTCCTATCCGCGATGTCTTCCTCAAGCATGCCGCTAACCTCGCCTTCTGCCTCTGCCTCCAGCACCGCCACCACACCGTCGGCGCCGACAAAGCCGTAGTCAAGGTCGAAGGCACCGCCCACTTGATGGATAGTTAGGCCGTCAAAGACATCGTCTCCTCCGGGAACAAGGTCGTTCCGACGACTTGGATGACTAATAGAGTTTGCCGTCGTCCCTGCAGCGTATGTCGTATTTCTTTAGCATTTTATAAAGAGATTAGTAAATAAATTTTTTTAAGAAAAAGAAAAGAAAAAAAGAGATTTATATATATATATATAGTAAAAACTATGAACCCGCCCACAATAATTAATTGAAGATTCCCAAATCATTTTTTTTTTTACACTACTATGCGGGAATGTGCGCTCAACCGCAGCAACGTCGGAAGTTTTGAATCCTTAGTTTCTCTTTCCTTTCCATCTTTGTGCACCGCATTCAACTGCGGTTCTCCTAGCCTAGTTACGTAAAGCGAAGATCTTTATAGATAATTGAACAATCTTCTTTGTCTCTTAACCACTATTCTTCGCCGTGACGATTGCACTTGGCGTGACGCCGAGTCTTGCGCAACTACGTGACCTAGACAGTCAGTGTTGGCAGAATCCTGTAGAAAGTTACTTAGAAGGAACTTTCCTTCCCTCTTTTCCTGACATCTTCGTGCTGAATTCCCTGCGATTCATTCGTACCGTTAAGGACTTCGTGTTGCTGGCTAAGTCACGTGGCATAATTCGCTTAGGCTCTTCCACACTCCCTGATGCGTGACACTTCGCAACGCTTCGCGACTATTATATAAATTACTCACACTATCCCCTGATCTTCTCGCCGCTCGCGTCCTTTCTCTGAGATCAATATCGTATTTCCTAGAACTCTCACTTCCGATAATGTACGACCATGACGAGTGGCCCAAGATGCCGGATGGCAACGACTTCGACGGCAAACAGCTGCTTACCTTGGTCTGCAGCGGTAACAGCCCCTTCCACGGACTTTGGGATGTAAACCTACTTATTCAAGAGATTGAGGAGAATCTCGACGCCCGCGTGATTGACATCCCGGTCATCTCCAAAGGCTCCAATAACTACGTGAGTTCTTGTTTGAAATCTTCATAATCCGATTCCATGCTGAGACTGAGGTTGGGTGGCGCACAGGGTCTCCACCTCAAGCTATCGAATCAACTAGACATCGTGGCGCGTATGTCTCGAGACGATGTTAATATGCCTAACTTTGACGGCGCCCCGATTCATAAGCAAGTTCCCGAGGTCAAGTTCGAGGTGGCGGTATACGAGCTCTTGCGCTCAGAGCCTGATATATTGGCCTCCCGCCTACTCTACCACCGTATCCCAATACAACACGTTGGTCCTAGACTTGATCTCCCTCGGGATATTGCGGGCCGTCACTTGTTCTTGTTTGAAAGAGCAGAGGGAGAGAATAATGTATGGTGGGAACTTACCCTAGAACAGAAGGTGCGTGCCTATTTCAGCAATCCGTTCTGCTTAATTCGATTTAATTGTGCTAATCTTCTCTAGGCTTGCCTTCTTATTCAGTCAGCTCGTATCCGCGCATCATTGTTCAACTTCAATCTCCCGCTCGACTTCGCCGCTGTTTGGCTCCGCGAACGCCTCTTTGAACAGAAGCCCAAATCGCTTCCTATTCCCGTTGCTCCTACACGCGAGTTTTGCGTTACTCTTTTCATATCCAAAATCGAAGCGACAATTAGGAATATAGGCGACATGATCGGGTGGGAGAGTGACAATGTCACCGTTGGTCCCATTGCTGCGGCGGTTAAGCAGTCTCTTTTGCGCCTCATCCCACATATTATGCCTATAGACAGCAACCAGACTTCTCTTTATCGTCTCGTTCTCGACCATGGCGATTTTGGCATTCACAATATGTCGATTACAATGGATGCAAACGGTCAACCCCTCGTAACATCCTTGTATGACTGGGAGACTGGGTGCATCGTACCGGCTATCTTGTCCGATCCGTTGATGGCGGTAACCGTCGACCTAGTAATAGATGAGAATGGCGCCCCTTCATTTATTCGAGTGCCTAACGACGCAACTCCGGATGACCGCGCGCAATACACAACATGGGCAAAGCAATATTTTATGGTACGTCCTTCGTGCAAACATCGTCTTTCTTAGCATATGAGCAGAGAAATAATCGCGTTTTTCCGTGCAGGCTCTCTTCAATCAAGCGCCCAATTACGAACGTGCAATCCGGGCAGGGAAAGACGCACGTCACCTTTGGTTTGCGTTGCGAGAGTGGCGAGGTGACGATCCGGAGGGATATTTTGGTGATCTGGGAGCTTGGGCTGAGAGGAGGATGAAGGAGCTTGGTGTTGATTCAGCTATATCACGGATTGTGTACGATAACTGATCACTTCCCTGCCTTGCTTTCGATATTCTGCTTGATTCCAACAACTTCTCATCGACGACTTTGATGAATGGTGGGAAGGCTTAGAAGAGAGGACTGTGGCTGTGACCAACGGCTAGATGGCATGCATTAAGTCAAGTTTATAAAAATGTAGAAATTAAAAAGTACAATATAATAAAAAGTTAATTATTTTTTTCCGCCGTTTTCGTCGCTGTTTTCCGCAGCTAACTCGCGCTGCCCTAGCGCTCGCGTACCTCATGGCCAAGGCGGTGTATAGCGGTAAAGAGCCCTGCCCTGGCTGACTTGCTACAGGAACGCCAAAAAAAAAGCGAGTCAAGTCATCATTCAGAGAACCGCTTCTCACCTCAACGATAAGGCATCGTGCAATGGTAGACTTGAGGCAGGAGGCTCATTTGCAAGCAATTATATGTATCTAATAGAAGAATGCATTAAATGTTAATCAGACACCACTGCTGCATAATGTGACTTCGCCTTGCCAGTTCGTCGAGCCTGTCATCCTCTCTTAAACAGGAACTTGTCAGCCGATGACCCAATCAGCCAGGTCTGTAACTCCGTAAAAGCATCGAAGTCGTTGTTCTCTAACGCGGTCTGGACGTGAGGGTCGTGTCATCCATGCGTCCTCTTGGTCCCGTGCAGCGATTCTCCAACCATCCGGCAGCTGCCAAAATCGTTGAGGACTGGCGTACCATCCTCCTTGAACATGATATTAGAGGGTGTGATATCGTTATGAATGATGCCGAGCGAATGAAGGTGACGAATACCGGCTATGATCCCGTCCAGACACGCTTTCGTGGTATCGTCAACGGACAAGCGGCTAGTGAGGAAGTCGGATTTGCTCAGATAGCGGGGGTTAACTTTCTCTTGCAACGTTAAGGTATACCGCTAGAAACAGATGCCCAATACTCGTCCATTAGTGCTTCGGCAGCCGTAGTAAACGGCAACGTTCGGGTGAGGATGGGGTTTTAGGAGTTCGCACGCCTCAACCTCACGGAGGATCTGCTGCTCGAGATGAGGGCTACTGTAAGCCCAGAGGTCTGGTGTTTTGATGTAGTACTCGTGCGGGGAGTCTAGCACCGTCCAGGTGGGCTTCACCTTTGGGTCTCTATCCTCCGTCTCTAATAGCTCAATATCGTAAATCTCGGAGAGATTTGGCTTGCGATGAGGGCTTTTTGCACAGTATAGTCGGCCGTTCTTTCGTACAATAAGTTGCAAGTAGCTGAATTTATATGCGTCCTCAACTTTCTTAAAGGCTTCGGCTGACTTGATAATCTCCATAGTGCGTAGGCCCGCTCGTTGGACCGAATTGAAAGGATATGGAAGCAGTGTTGAATCGGAGAAAGGGACGTGTGGTAGATCTCGGCGGTGCTCAGACCTCTTACTTCCGACCACCTGGCCTCCCCATTAAACAACACCCAAGTACGCAAAATTCTTAATCAGACTCGACTTTGTTGGAGCCTGGATGCAGCGAAAGCTGCAGAATTCCCAGACTATTACAGGGGTGTCAAGATGAGTCATAACTGGCACTTGGATTGGTGGGTGAGTTGCAGATCTGGCCGCAAATAATATTGTTCCAGCCAGGAATCTAGAAACAGCAGTCACCTCCCAATAGGAGTTTCTCAATGGTTATAATCCCATTGAATGTCGCTTCCTTTGTCGGACCATGGTTTGGTTGGAAGGTGGCAGGTCAGGGTATCCATCACGGATTAGGTGGGGTGTAACTTCTTCACTTCTCAGTCAAGTTCGGAGAGTTGTACAAGAAAAGGAATCTCCACCATATTAAGATCAGTTGCGAGATGATCGAGAATGGTCGCGAGTACAGTTATCTCGTCAACTATTTCTTTGGATACAGCCTCCACACCCACTGATCCCCCGCAAGCACAAGTATTCAAGGAGCAAATGTTTCAGAAATTGTCCATTTTCCCTCATCTCACCAGTTGAAGATCTCAGTTTCTCGGCTCACAAAGGGGTCGAGCTGCTGCTTGTCCACACTCCCCTAAATGCCTGCACCAGGGAATTCCCCCTGCTCTCCCGCCTAAGTGCTCTTTTCTTGTAGCCACGGATCTTCAAGAAGCTCCTTGGCTGTCTTCCTGTCTTCTGGCAACCATTGGAGCATCTTCTTTATAAAATCAAGGAAGAGATGTTTATCTTCCCTTTCGAGAGAAAGGACAAAATCCTCCAACCTAACCCCGATCGGAATTAGATCCTTGTGCATAAACTCGCCTTCCGAGTTGAAGAAAGGCCCTCCGTAATACTCACGAGCGGTCTGACAAAGCTTGCCTTCTAAATTTGGCACAGCATGGCTCCATTTGACCTCGCTCCAGCGTATTTCTCGATCAATGAGTATTTTTGGTGGCGCGCCTAGTAATGCAATCATCTCCGCAAGATGTGCTCGAACATCGTAGTCTCCTTGGCTTGAACGAATATGTGTAAATAAGTCCCTACCCTCCATCATGTTCCAAATCTGTAAACGACGCGTAAGCTAAAACCCAGATAGGTGATAAAAGTAAAAGTATACCAGTACGCCGAGGTTCCAAATGTCTGCGCTATACGTCCAGCTCGTGCCTAAGAGGACTTCTGGGGCATGGAAAAGATGCGGCTGAATAGGGTGCATTAGAGGTTCCGAACCCTCTCCTGACTGTGCTAAACCAAAGTCCGCTATCTTAGGTAGTATACGGAACGACTTTGGCGGGCCGAAATCATTGTGTGAGAGATAGATCGATCGGCCGTCTTTGATCTTTCGAGGCATAGGATTTTCGGCTTGTTTCTGGACAAAATCTTCGATCACAGATGGGTGCTCGAACCCCAGTAAGATGTTGTCTAGTTTAAGATCTATGATAGAATGAGCTTGAGCCTCTGAAGTCAAGCGCAGCCTCAAACTCACCTGTGTGGATGATGTGACACTCAGAATGAAGATAATCAAGTGCCCGGAGGAGAAACCTCAAGTATACCTTAAGAAGCGCTGGTGGCAATTTGCCGTTCTCCCAGCGCCGTTGAAATAGCCAGAGGGGCTCTCTCATAGGCTCATATACTAGGCACAAGTGAGGTCCATCTTGGCCCGGGGCCTCGAAATGGTCGAGCATTGTCCTCACAAATGGGAAGCCTTCGTGTGATGGGTTCCTGTTGAGATGTCGGGTTATAATCCGCTCATGCTTCGCTGCATCATCATCGACGCAATCGGAGGCGGTAATCTTCACAGTCACGTAACGGTTGGAGTTCCACCACCATCTGTAAAGACGTAAGAATACGCATCTAGCCGGGATAGCACATACCGTTGGGTGTCTTGAGCCAACCATACAGTGGAAGTAGTGCCCCATCCAACCTTCACCACAATTTTATATCTGTTGTTGAGGAGATCGCCTGGATTCACAGGTAGAAAACGCTTTGGATCATAGCCAGGAATCCTCTCCTCGTCTATCGGAGTATCAGCCGGGAGGATTGTTGGTGATCGATTTGCGGACATGACGAACCCTCTTGAAGTAGCTGGCTGTCGAAGGAGTTGAAGGGTACGAGCAACCAAGACTTTAGATATCGACATGATGAGTACGGAGACCGTAACAGACCTTTACGCAAATCGAACAGGGGTCGAATAGGACGTTCCAGTCTGCCTCTCCAGATTCCGAGGTCCTGATTTCAAATCAGTAGCTATGAGAAGTCGTTCGTGGAATAAGGCGGTGGGTGCTGATTGACTTGGTTCCGCGGCTCGGCTCATGCACTCATGGGGCTGAAGCGTGGTTGGGGTCAATCATGTGATATCTATGGGCCGAGATGACTGAATGTTTAGCTACGAAACTTCTAAATTTGTCAGGGCCCAATTAGTTGGTATCTTCGGCAGACACAGTTGACCTTTTGAAACAAAGTGTGAAATAATCAATGACAGAGCAATTACGAAAAATTACATTTCCCCGACTAACCTCTTGACGAGCCTGCGGGCTTAAGTCCGTGTTTTTAGGGCATTTCGCTAATGAAAAGAGGAAAATGAATATGATTCAATTATGTTAAGTTTTAGTGATGATTTAGATCACATTTTTTTCATCATATATTTATAAAGAAAAAGGAATTTGATTTGTAATTGTCAAATTATGATTCAATCAAAGAGAGGATTCAAATATTTTTCGCTTAAGAATCCCCTGGAAAGAAGCCTAAAACACGGACTTATGCCCGCAGGCTCGTGAGGCTCTCGAACCGTCGCACCCCCCCTTCATATAAGTTCAAGGTTGCAAGCGGAACGTTGCTGTGAGTCATCTTAACGCCCTTCATAGCCGCTATCCAACGTCCTTTGCATTCTTATGGATAACTTGGCAGCCAGACTCGCGGTGAAACTGGGGCTGTTTCGAGGTGGCCCGAAGTATTGGTGTTCTTAGGTCTCTTCACAGCTGCCTACCACCTTAAATAACTCCAACTCTGGTATCTGCAGAAAATAATGATAGCCGCTTGCTTGTTGCCTCGCAGTGCACGCGCTTCCCCCGTCTTACATATAAAGCCGTCTTCAGCTCGGAATGAATTTTTCCAGTTTTCATTTCCGGTGGCACGTAAAGAAATTAGTTGTGTGTCTTCCAATCCATTCAATCACAAGATATGAGTCGACACTTCTCCTCTGCCGTGAGGGCGGCTGCAAGAATCATCTGGTCATTTAATGGCACCACAAAGAGCTTGGAGAGGGATGTGGCAGCTGTCGAACAAGCTGTCGGGGCGAATCCCGAACTAGCAAAGAAGGTGAAGAATGGTCTTATTAAGTAAGTCCTTGCAGTTATTTGGCATGCAATTGTAATTGATGGATTTTAACTTGATGTCAACCTATAGTGGAGATCCGCACTCTACCAAATATGCCGACGGCACCGAGGATCCGGTTCACATTTCAGGCGTACTTGGTGAGGGAAACCTGAAAGGATCTAAGAAGGCAACATCCTTTCACTATTATCCAGACACTGGTGATATAAGATTCTCGAATTCGAGATATCCACCAGTCCGCATCGGCACGTCCAATGCCGTAGCGGAATCATCGTCTTCTGCACAATCAGGAGCTAAGATACCTGCTCACCAACAGGCATCAGACTGGGAGTGGGACGGTTCTGCCCAAAAGTACAAGTATTGGGATGGCACTCAGTGGGTCTGGCAGGAGTAGGGTTGAGCAAGTGACTGCAATGATTGGCTCAGATCCTCAGCCGTCATTTCGGTTCTTCCGTATAAAAAGAAATCGTTAAGCATGTCTTAAGATAAAACTTACGTTTTTTATCTGCGTACGACCGGCATGATCTAAGTTTTTTACGCCTGTTTGGAAAAGACGAGTTCCAGTTTACCGACAAAAAAGACCGTACTAGGACGACCTCTAGGTCTGATTGGACGAAGGGAAAGTTCGAGGGGCGATCTGGATACTGGTACAAGGGAAAAGAGACCGATTATTTCACACGATTTAAGTTTCAAATATGATCTACTAGGGCTGTGTTTCATTGTATCGTTTCGTTTTCCTTATACTTCTCTTTGGAACTTGAACAACTTTGCCACGCCACACACAGATATCGTCGCTAAACTTTGAGAACCACCATGCGATCGGCTAGGACAATATTTAGCAGTTTACTTTCATGATAAATCAAGTATTTACTTCATTATTACTAAATGTATCGGGCTTGCCACCTCTGTTTTTATTCGCAGAGAATGTGATGTCGGAAACGATGTAGGACCCCATAGACTTTGTCTTTTTAACATGCATCGTAGAGACATTCCGAATATCGATAGATTTATGCTTTGAAAGACACGAGGTATGCTATTGACCAAGGTTTACTGGCGGAGAGTGGAGGTAGTGTATCATGATACCAGTGCAGCGATTTCCGAGCCGACAAAGCTGAACTTCTTTTAGGCCATTGAGAGGAGCAAATGATAAATATAAGCCAGCATCTGCGCCGGCTGAGGGGTTGAGTGGAATATTGCATGCAATATATCGAGGGGTCGGGTGGATTGGAGGCTAATTGGTCACACTATGAGTGGTCAATCTAAGTCTTCTAATCGATGAGACAGTAGTTGGTGCCTCAAAGTAAAATCCACTAATGTATCCACGTATATTAAAAGGAATCCACGCGTATTTGTCGTCTTAGATTAATCCCGGTAAAACATACGAGCCGAACGAGAAAATTCTTCCTAGAGTTGTGTGAATTTATTAAAAGTTAGCAAATTATTTTTGTAAAATAGACTCGTGACATATTATTAATGCTAGTGTCGCGTGGACGGGACTTGTATTGTGTCACGGTTATGGAGTCACGTGCCCGCTACGAAATACTCACGTGACCGCTCGCCTGTATATATGCCCTGCCTTCCGGCGCTTCCTTCCTTTCTTTCCTCTTTACCTTTAGATTCTAAGAGATAGCCTAATCGATTCCTCGTCTACGTACTTGAGTCCAACCGTGCTGTCACACACACCAGAACTATAACAACTACTAGGAGAGCAGTATATATAACTAGTACTTCTGCTATAAATAGGAGCTTTATGCTCAACTTCGTTAATATTCTTAACTTTAAATACTATTGCCTTATCTTACTTTATTTACCATACTAACTATTGGAAGCATAGTATTCAGCTGTAAATCACGTGATATTTGCATATGCTGTGAGACGCGGCTACAACAAGCAGCAGGTGCTGTACTAATCGTGGTATTGCGTCTACCCTTTAACTCGTACTACGTCGTACGAGTTATATACTAGCTACTTGTCACGGTCACGGGACTAGTGGGCTATAGGCTCAGTAGGCGAGGGGGTTAGGTCACGTTATGGAGTCCAAGGGAGTCTGGTGGACTCCCCGGGACTCCTAGACTCCAGAAGGGAATCGGACTCCAGGAGATGGAGAGACTATATATGACTGGCACTTCTGCCATAGAATAGGAGCTTCGTGCTCAACTTGATTAAGTTTTCCTAACTACAATATCATTGCCTTATCTTACTTCATTCACCATACCAACCCACGTGACCTTACCAGGGTAAGGAGAGAGTCGTGACACTACTGTATAAATCTGCTTACACTACGTGCTTCTATTGTGACAGCACGGTTGGACTCAAGTACGTAGACGAGGAATCGATTAGGCTATCTCTTAGAATCTAAAGGTAAAGAGGAAAGGAAGGAAAGAAGCGCCGGAAGGCAGAGCATATATACAGGTGAGCGGTCACGTGAGTACTTAGCGAGCACGTGACTCCAGAACCGTGACATCTATACGAAACGGCTAGTCCCGCTAATCCTGTCTGATCTTCCGGCCCGGTCTCAGCCAATGGGGTGGCGCCTGGCCTATACTCCCGACAAAAAATAATAAAAATAAATAAATAAATTATATTAGCTCGAAAAGTATTTTTTTAAAATTATAAGTTTAAGAAAACGTCGTTTTACGAAAGTTTTAAATAATATAAACTATATTTCTCTATTTTTAAATAGCTATTATCGTGAAAGCGCATAATAAAATAAATATAAAATGGCCGAGTATTGACGTTTGTCAGAAAATCTAATAATTTTAAGGGAAGAATAAGCATTTGCGTTTGCGGGCGCTTGCGGAGTCCCTTGGCGTTTGTTGCACGTGATCTGACCTGCAATTAGCGAATCGCAGCAATTTATAAATTATAATAAATTTTATATAAAAGCATAATCTGCGTACGATCGGTATAATTTAAATACGCCGTACTCGGGTCGTTCATTTTGCCGGATGTATATAAAACTGATCTTCTTAAGCTTCCACGCGTTCGCATCCCGGCAGTTGGCTTAGACCGAAACAAGGGTCCGTGTGAAGAAGGCTTATTTCGACATTCGTTGACTTCAGCTCGGGTCCTTTCGCACTCCACCCACGACGTACGTACTCTCTCAACTATTCTCCGGCACCCGAAGTCTTGTTGCTCCTCCCCGAGTCAATATGCAGGCTTGACAGCGCATCTTCCCGAGCTACTGCCTTCAAAATTATACCGCCGGTAGTGAGCATCTCACTCCTTATGTAAGCACCCCAGCCCCAAGCGACGCATTCGTTGCAATCCGACAGGTTGTCATCCGCCGATGATCTCGATGCCCTAAAGTTGAGGCCGTGTACTTTGCCCCTGGAGCCGTTCGAGATAGCTTCAGACCTACGGTAAGTAGAGCTTTCGAGCAGTCGGTACTTGATCTAGTGTATTTCGATGCGTCGTATTTCGCGCAACGTCCATGGCTTAGGCCGTTGCTATTCTTCAGGACATCATGACGTGCTACATTATCACGTCCCAGTAGGTTCATCTCATTTCTGTCAGGGGAAATTGTTTGTATACTCGTGTCGTTCCGCTTCGTAGGGATGTGGAAAAGGGGAGAAACGACGCATCTCGTACCGCAGTTTCAGCCATTGCAACTTCGATGCGCTTGCTGGAGATATCAAATAAGCTGACATTCGTTCAAAAATGTACCGTACCTCTACGACGATGAATTAGATCCTCAAAATGTAGAAGCAGGAGCAAAGGCACCCAGGACTCAAGAAGGATAAATACGACACTACGCCGCGTCCTCAAGAAAAACCATCAGCATCCCAGTTTCTATATCCGTCCTGAGCATGCTCGACAAGCCTTGTCATTCCTTTGGGTTTCATAAAACCTAAAGTGTAAGATCCGCGCCTCGCTTTTCTCGTTACCTGCGAACAGAGTGTTTGGGTCACTCATTCCTCTCAACCATCATTACCACTCACTCCTTCCATCTTCAAAGTGGGTCACCTACCAAACCAAACGACTTTCCTCTCAAACTGCGTCACGATTATATTTATCCTCTCGACGTTTCGACGTCAACCTTTGTGAAAACCCGACGTTTATATCGGAAGAACGGACCTCTTCCAGCAGATTGTTTCGAACGTCTTCACCATGGACTCCATCATCCTCCAATCTCCCGCGCTTCATGCCGATATCGATGCAGTTCAATCACCAGAGATAATTCACACCTCACCAAAACGTGCTCGACTTGCCTCTTTCTCAGCAACTCGTGACTCAAGCATTTCGTGGGGACGACATCTCCATGGCTCCTGGATTCACGCACTTGGTTGTGCAAGCATTATGCTTTTGTGCCCCTGTCTCGTGATCTTCATCTGGATTTCACTCACTTCGTTCGACGGGTCTTTGAGCGACACGTTGGATTTCATGTTACAGTTCGGGCCAGCAACGTTCTACTCGACATTTGCGCCTAAGCCTGACCTCAACGTCGCGCTCGGATACTCAGCGTGGATACTTTTCCAAGCTGCTCTCTACCGCTTCCTTCCAAGCAAATTCAGTACCGGGCAGCTTACGCCAGCAGGAAATCTTCTGAAATATCGTACGAACGGTCTGTCAGCTTGGATTGTTACTCACTCATTGTTCGCAATAGCGGCTTTGACCGGGATCGTGAATCCAGCTATTCTCGCAAGGCACTGGGCGGGCCTTCTTGTCGTCGCGAATGTCTCTGGTTTCCTCCTGACTGGGTTCGTGTATATCAAGGCTCATCTGAGTCCTACACACGAGAGTGACAGAAAGTTCAGTGGTAAGTCAAATGGCAGTCAGAGGTGGATTTTGCTCACATATCCAGGGTCTATTCTTTATGACATGTATATGGGCATCGAATTGAATCCGAGATTCGGCGAGTACTTCGATTTCAAGCTCTTCACGAATGGCCGGCCAGGAATCGTTGCTTGGACGTTGATGTAAGTTTTATCTTCCACGTGAAAACACTGTCGACCTGTGGCCTCCTGTCCCTCATTGTATTTCCATACGTAGCTCAACTAATGCTCGTTAGTGACTGGTCATTCATTGCCTACCAGTATCAACTCCATGGATATATCACTTATTCCATTCTCGTCGCAACAGCTCTCCACACGTTATATGTGGTGGACTTTTTCATTAACGAGGACTGGTACTTGCGGACTATTGACATCTGTCATGACCACTTTGGATTCTACCTTGCTTGGGGATCTTTGGTATGGCTCCCAGGTATCTACACATTGCAGACTCAGTATCTGGCTCGATACCCCGGAACTTTGTCAGACTTTCATGCTTTGGTCATTCTAATGACCGGTGTGACCGGGTATGTCATCTTTCGCAGCGTCAATCACCAAAAGGATCTCGTCCGCCGAACAAAGGGAAATTGCAAGCTTTGGGGAGCCCCTGCTCAAGTCATCCGTGTCAAATACCGCACGAAAGATGGACTTGAGCACAACAGCATTCTCCTCTGTTCCGGATGGTGGGGTCTTGCACGCCACATCAACTACCTGGGAGATCTCATCTTGTCGTACTCCATGTGTGCAACGTGCGGGTTCAAGAATCTGCTGCCATGGACGTACGCCATATTCATGACCATCCTACTGATCCATCGATGCTGGAGAGATGAAGAACGATGCTCCAAGAAATATGGAAAAGGATGGGAGCAGTATTGCAAGCGAGTGAAATGGGTTATCATACCTGGAATCTATTGAATGTTTTCTGTGCTGTTATAAGACGCATGCTGATGGATTTGGGCGATAGAGACAAGGTCCTGGTTGATGAGAAGTAATGGTATGAGTTTAGAAAGTGCTGGTATAGAGAATATGGGCTTAGACGATACCGAATGCGACACACCTAGTGGACCTTATAGACTTAGTAGAATGCAGACGATGTTTCTTTACTCATTTGGCGTATTTGGAACTATCCAAAGTAGTGGAATTTTTGACTCGTGAACAGTCTTTCTGGAGCAGGGAAGAATGGCCTTCTCCTCTGGACTCAGGAAGCAAGCGTCTCAATTTTTGGGAGTGGTGATAATAAAGACAGTTCCCAGGCCGCACATGCCCGCATGTCGCCTAGCCAGAAATCTCCAACATCCCAGGAAAAGAAGAGAGTGAGTATATCACCTCAATCACCCAACACCTCTCTTTCTTCCATCCCCCTACACCGGCACACAAACACCCACAAACGGACTAGCCACCCCACCCAACCAAAGCATTCCCGTCACCCCATCCCTCGCTGCAACCGTACTACCCGGCAACACGCTCCCCTCCACATCCTCCAGCACCTTCTCGACCACCCACGTCGCCCCCTCTTTCCTAACCCTAAAAACCGTGCTGGGAATCTCGACCCATTCCCCGTCTGGCCGCTTCTCTCCGTCCATGGCTTCAATCAGCGCTAGAACTTTCGGGAACGCGGCGACGTAGATATCGCCGTGAATATCGACGGAGAGGTTGTCCATGGGCATGTTTACGGGGATGGTTTGTCCGGGAGATAAGGTCCGGTTGGAGGGAAAAAAGGTGTGGGAGGTTAGGTGGCCTTTGGCTGAGTGGGCGACTAGGACCTCGTTGTTGGGGAGGAGGGCGATGCCGTTGGCGAATTTGAAGGCGGTGGTGAGGGCTAGGTTGCAGGTTTGTGTTGGGGAAGACAAGGAAGTGGGTGGGCAGTAGGCGACGGAGCCGCCGCCGAGGATCATTTCGAGGCGGCGGAGCTGTTGGGGGAGGTGTGAGTTTTGATAGAAAAGAGGGAGGGGAGAGGGGAAAGGGGCTTACTCGGCCGGTTTTGGAGGTGTGGTCGTTGGTTATTAGGACACCGCCATCTCCGGCTGCTACGAGGTTGTTTGGAGTGGATACTGCGTCGTCGGAGATCGTTCTTATCCATTCTAGGTTCTGACTCCCTTTTTCATGCTCGAAGACTTCGATGGTGGAGTTTGCTCCAACGACTTTTGGGTCTAGGGCGTTTCCTTCTGCGTCGACTGGGGGTCTGTGGTTGATCATCCAGAAACGGAGACGAGTGGGAGATAGATGTTCGACGTCCAGGCCATGGACATCGATTTCTTTGCCTCCGCTTGAAGAGCGGTAATCTCCTGTGATTGTCAAGGTCCGAAGACCAAAGAGTCCGTCTTCTCCTGGATGATCAAGATCGAGAACCGACACGTGATCCCGCAGATCTCTCGCTGAGATGTCATATTTATCTCCCCTAGCCTCTATCAGCATCTACCGTCCTCTTAAAAGGAAAGCTTACCCAGGACTCCATTCTCTGCGACTGGCAACTGAAGAACAAGCAGCATATAACGCCCTTCCTTCTTCATCGATGACCATGTCTTCACATGATTCCAAAAGTGGAGAATGCAGACGCCGACATTTGTACGGGAATTCAGAAATCTTCTGATGATGACGACCAACGCCTAGAGTTATGAAGATGAAGTCTCTGAGAGCGAATTGGTAGAATGTTGAGAGGAGGACTATGGCACTTGCTGTGAAGAGGAGGATTTTGGTACCCATCATGAAGGTTCAATGGTATTGACTCGGGAGGAAAAGCAGAAAGGAAAACCACGATAAAAAATCTAAATTTCCAGAAGAAAGAAGGACAAGAGAGGTATCTTTGCTCGTTCTCATGAGGTACAGCTGCACTTAGAACGGCTCAATACGAAAACGAGAAGGGACGAGACGAGAAGAGAGCGGAATCCCGCTCTTGGTGGCGGTTTTCTCAGCACCGAGCCCCGACATAAGCCCCTAGAAACCTAAGCGACGCGTGATCTGACACCTGCTCTCCTTTCTCTTACCTTTTTTCTAACAAACTTCGAGAATCTGTACTTGTTACTCTTAGGTCTCAATTTGACACATGCAAGAAATCCACCATTAATGCACTATCTTCTAGTAACTAGTCAACGGAGTAGAAATTCGGCGCTAGTGCTGGCAGAAACTTGCTGGACGCTCGCCAATCCTGCTTGCGGGAGAGCGCCAGGAACGTCATCAGGGACTGAAATCGAGGGGAAGAGATGCTATGATATATACGCGCGTTCGCTTTTCTTCCTCTGTTGTTTTTTATAATTGTTAAATTTCTTGCTTGATATCAATCAATTCGTCCTAAATCGCTAAAATGGTCAACGCATATTTCATCGTCTCTGCGATTGTCGCTATCATTGCTGTTGCGCTTGGAGCGGCTTATACTACGGGTGCTTTGGATCCCATTATTGAGAAGATTGGCGTCATGTTGTTCAAGGCGGAGGCTAAGGCCGAGGAGAAGAAGATGGAGGCTGAAGGGATGAAAGAAGGAGAGGATTTCTTGGCTGGTATGTTTTTTGACTTCAGCATATCGTTTTGCGCAGCATGACTTTCAGATTGTGGTGGGATACAATCACTAACACATATCCAGGTCAACTCAAGGGAAATGTGCGCGCAGATGATGTGAAGCAAGGTATTGGAGCAATTGGGGGATTGAAGAAATTCTAAAATCGTCCGAAGTTCCTTCCGAACAGGAGGATGGTTCGCAAGGCATGGATTGAGAGGAACCGGCGGTGATGATGGGACGAAACAAAACGAAACATGGCGTATTTGGGAATTTATGTTTGGATGAACAGTATCGCGACGCGCATAGCTATGATTGGAATAAATGGATCTTCAAGACAACCTTGATTAGGAAACGTCTCTGAAATTAATTGTAATCTTACCTACCATACCAAATGTTGTTTGAGTTCAATATATAACTCAGGGCGGTGTCTCATAGCAATGAAATGAAGTTTGGACCAAACTATCGACGGATCTAACGGTTCCCGAATAAGTACTGACGATCTAACTGAAAATCAGTCGACCGTTTCTATAAGAGGAACTCTATTTCACGATGCTTTTCCCATTCCATCGAGAACTACTGCACCGATACCAAGCCGGGCTGTCACATGTGGCCCTCGCAAGCCCATCCATATCCATGGTCGGGAGAACAGGGTCCCAGGAACACGACTTGCCTTTCAACGTGAAATTCTTATATATAGCAGCACAATCTCCGACGAGATTAAAAATGCCTTGACCGATTGACATGACTTACCTTGATTCTACGCATAGAAGATGACCGATTCCCTCCCTTCTTCGCGCTTCGGATTCCTGAGAAAGTTCTCGCTGTGCTGAGGAATGGGCGTCGGATGACATCAGAGTGATCCGTCGCAAGCATTTCCATCCATCGGCAGCGCTCGGTTCGTGGCCCCTCCTCGCCCTCGTCCGCTCTGCGTAATCAAACCCCGGCCCATCCGTTGCGATCCCATGTGGCCTGCCCTGCTGCCGCCTCCGCCTTCTGATTCTCCAGCCTCATGAATCCATTTAAATGATTCAGAAGTTCCTTCTTCGGCCCAGAGACAGAAACAGAGACATTTTGCTTCACTCCTCCGAGGCATGACGCCCCTTTCCACCCAGCTTCATTCCAATTGAAGTCGGAAAAAAAAGAGGGTGCTGCAGTGCGATCTTCGTCTGAGCTCACCTCACAACTCGCCGACCGATTACTGTCGCATAAGAACGGCGTCATCGTGGCACACCTCCCCTCCATCCCTCGTCCGAACCTCGTACAGCCTGAATCTTCGTGGTGTTGAATGCGCAGCCAAAATGCAGCGAGTGACCTCCATACTGCCGTCTTGGGACAAGACGAAGTCTGGCAGCAAGAAGGGTTTCGATAAGGCATGGGCCTGGGCAGACAAACGTGAGTCCAGACCGTCCGTGAGGGCACTGAAGATAAACTGACGGCTCCCCCAGTTGGTGCACCGGTAAATCGACTGAGCAACAAGATTGGGAGTGAAGCATTCTGGCCGACGACTCTGGACAAAGAATGCGACAAAGCGGCTAGAATTCTCAAGTCATTCTGCAGTACGTATCTGAAGTTTTCTTCGCATTCTCTAAAAGCAATTACTGACTCGCTCGATTTAGAGGATGGTTTCTACGCCGAAGATGACCGACCAGCAAGCGTCGATGTGCCGAAAGGCAAACAACGAGTGCTCAAGAAGATCCCAGAGAAGGTCATACAGAATGCTGTCGGTCTGGCCATCTTCACTACAATGCGAACGGGATTGTGGATTTCCGGTGCTGGTGGCTCAGGCATCTTGATTGCTCGAAAAGAGGACGGAGAATGGAGTCCACCTTCAGGCATATTATTACACACAGCGGGCTTGGGATTTCTAGTTGGAGTTGATATCTACGATTGCGTAGTCGTAATCAATAATCGCAAGGCGCTCGATGCTTTCACTAAGATTCGAGCGACTCTTGGGGGCGAGATCAGTGCAGTTGCAGGACCAGTTGGTGTTGGGGGCGTGTTGGAGAATGATGGAAAATGGAAGCAAGCAAAGTACGTTCAGCAGATCAGACTTTGAGTACGCTACTAACTTGGTTCTAGTCGTCCGGTCTTCACCTATCTAAAATCTCGAGGATTCTACGCTGGTGTGCAAGTCGACGGCACAGTCATAATCGAACGATCAGACGAGAACGAACGATTCTACGGGCAGAAGATAGGTGTAGCGGATATTTTGGCTGGAAAGGCTAGACATCCACCATACGAGATCAAGATGCTTATGGAGACGGTCAAAGCTGCAGAAGGACGAAATGATGTTGACAAGGCCATGATGTCGCAATTGGCAGATGAGCTTTCACCTGCAGATGTGGAGCTCCAATCACCGACAACTGTTCCAGGACCATCGTTTGGTATTCCAGAGCCAGACGATCCAGATCCATTTGGTGTACTGGCGCTGGAGAAGGAAGGTTTGGAAATTCGAGAAGCTGGTACTAAGATCAGGCCAGCAAGTACGCAATTCGAATACAATCCTGCTCCCACGAGTCCCATCTACAGCAAGTTCCACAGAAGAAGCATGGACACTTTAGCAACGAGAAGCAACAGAGAGAGTTACATGTCAACCAGAAGCACGTTGAGGACAAGCATTGATAGGGCAACTCAAACGACAGAGATGGGTACTCAGACCGATGACACACTTCTCACGCCAAACACAAGCCCCAGCCACAGTGACGAGAACAAGCGAATAGTTGAAGAGGATGAGAAACCAATTATCGTTGAGCCCGAAGAGATCGATTATACCAAAATCGACCTTGGTCCATATAGCAGCATGAACCGCAGTCAAGAATTTGATGGCACAACTGTCAATAATGACAGCCCCGCCGAGCATGATGAGCATCATGCTGTTTCTGCGGATACAAGCTTCCACTCAGATGACGAAGAGGATGACGAGGAAGAGCCTATCATCTTTGAGGCTGCTTCTGCACAAGCAACTATGATCCCACAGGCACGAGGAGTAGGTTTGGTGAACATCCCAAAGAGACCACCACCTCCACCTCTGCCACCACGCAACATGGCCAGAGCTGTAATGGTTGATCAGGCCAGTGGACGAACACCAACTACGCCATCCAAGTCAAGCTTTGAGGAGGTCGAATTACATGGAACCGACAGAACCAGCAAAGAGATCGAATCCCCCAAGCGCAAGTCACTCGAGGAGCAAGTTGCAGCATTGAAGGAGGTGCACATTGAGGAGGCTACTCCTGCACATGATGTTGAGCCAGCATTAACGCAGGAGGTTGAGGGCTTCGCATCCCTGAAGCCAAAGGAAGAGGACGAGACCGACGATTTCCACAGCGTTCCCACAACACCAAACGAACGAGCAATCGAAGTCAAGTAATGAAAGAACATATTCACGAACACCACATACAAAAGATACCATAAGGGAGGCTACATACAGAGAACGTCCGGCGCAGGAAAGGGACTGATTGATGGGATGGAGAGTGCAATTTGCACACTTGAATGATGAAGACATGACCACTACTTCGGAGGACAAGGGGATATATTATCACGACGCATAAATTTTAAACGTAATTTCTTTATGGCGGGAAACATTAGGAGTTCCAGAGTTGGAAGGGTGAGGATTTCTCCTTCTGGTTCATACAGTGCAGGAAAAAAGAGATCATATCCTTTCGGAGACATTCCATTCTTTACACATTTTGACCTTTCTTGCCATGCAAGGTCGACTAGGTGCGGCCAAAAAGGCCTCATGCAGCATCAGATGTTCGTGCCTGAATGTCTCGGGCATTACTGAAGACATACAGCAGCAAGCATGTTGTAGTCTCAGTCGGACATTGACACAGAAAGTCCCTTGATGTCTCCAATGCTAAAACTCGGTGCATTTCCCACAAGGTCTCCAGAAATTCGGGCACGAGAAAGTTCTCAATCATTTCGGACATTTTCATCCACATTGTCAGATTCTGAATACGGACATTATCGTTCTTGAGTTTCCTTCATTTGTTTGATATTTGCGCCAAAGTTGGTGATTTTGAGATCGAGTTGTAAGCTGTATGCAGAGCTCTTTTGGCGTTGTCATTGTGGTGAGGAAAGTTCTGGCTGTAGTAGAAAGAATGACTCTGCTTCACGTACTTAGGTGAACCTCCAGATTTGCTTTGAGAGTCATGTTAAATTTCAGTCCCTCTGTGAAAAGTGTCTCCGGCCAGCAGATCCAACAATTCAACCCTTACTCCCATACCTTCTCCTCTTACTCCCACTCTTCCACCTCACCACCTCCTCCCTCTGTTTCTGTTCCCTAAACTTCGGATCCTCCGTCCCTAAACCCACACTCATTCATTAGTCCTTCTCCTCTCTCTCAAAAAGCAAGGAACTCCCCCTCTCCACAATCAGAAGAAGACTCACAGAGAACCTCATCCTCCCCCTTTTCTCCCCACCTCACAACTCCATCCCACCGCATCCCCCCAATCCGCCCCACCTCCCTCCTCCTCTCCCCATGCGCCTCCTCGATCCGCCTCCGCACCTCCCACACCTCCGTCTCGCTGCGCGCCTTCCGCAGCCGCTGCATCAGCGATGCGCGCAAGGCGTCGTGGTGCTGGTTTATCAGCGCGAGTTGGTACGGCGGGTGGCACGCCGCGCAGGTGTCGCGCAGGTGCTGTTTCGGGCCCGAGGGGGAAGGACAGGGAGTGGAGGCGGAGGCGGAGGCGGAGTGGCAGTAGGTTGTGTAGTGGATGAGGGTGTGTGGGCAGAGGAGGGTTGTTGTTGTTCCTGTGCACATGGTTTGAGGTGGCGGTTGTTTTCTGGTTTGAGTGGCGTGTGTGTTGATGTGATGATATGTATGGATCGGGAGGATGGTGGTGGTGGGTGTGCATGACTGGCTGGGTTCTTGACCATGGGGCGTGGATGCTGTTCTGGGGTTCCTTTGTTCTGGAATTATGAATGGGGATGGAGGAAATGTAAAGAAAGAAAGAGGTGGAGAGAGAGCTCAATGGTTGGATTCCAAACGGCAATTTCTTTGTCTTTGGGTTTTGGTCGAGTTCGTTTGTAGATACTCCTAGCTTCTCGCTCGAGAAATGAGTCGATAGTTTTCTAGGTGGGATGGATTCTTGGTTCGCTCTTTCCCCGTTCTGATTCTGTGGATTTCATGGAGAGCAACATGTTAAGAGCAGACAATCGGAGAATACATATGAAATTTCTTGTTGACATTTACATGTTGTTGTCGTCGATCTCAGCCGTCTTTCATTTCGCGATACTGGGTCGTCCCTTGCATCGAAGCCTATAACCAACCCACAATTCAACGTCTAAGCAGCCTCACTCTTAGCCTCGACTAGATCTAGGCTTATGTAGGTGTGCATGGGAATGCTAAATCGTAGCCTTGCGCTCTAGCAGGGTTCATGGCACATGTTTCTTCACTTGACATATTATATACTCGGTATCCTACTCGTACAAAAATACTTTTCCAACGCTCTTTCCCTACGTCCAGACAAACCCTTGAATCTATCGAAACTCATGATGAACGTTCCTCTTCCACCAGTGAGGCTCCTTAGATGCTTTAGATACCCCACCATTTCCTTCAGCGGCACCCTTGCCGTGACTTGTCTTTGCTGGCCAGGTCCGGATGTATCACCGCCACTAGATGAAGCGTATGGATCTGGCGGTGCGTAGATTCTCTTCATGTCAATGGATAGTAGAGCTGTTTCGGCTTCGTCGTTGTCTTCTGTTCCTAAGGAGAGAACTTGTCCATCTCTTGCGTAATAAGTGTCATGCACGATATCTCCAAGAGAAGATTGGTCGCAGGTAATGACCACGTTCATGACGGGTTCCATGAGACCAATGCAGTTTTTTGAGAAGGCTTCCTTGAGTGCTGCTTGTACAGATAGTCGGGCTGCTGAGGAGAGAGCAGCTGGTGAAGTATCGGAGCCGAAGAAATCTATTGCTGGATCGAACTTCAATATGACATGACTGGCATGTAACGGAAAGGCTCGTCGAGGGCCACGGGCTAAGGCTGCCACCGTGCCGTTGATGAGAGCTTCGTGAACGACAGCCACAGGTAGATCTGTAGGAAGAGAAGGGCTGCCGTCTCCGTGCTGGGACGAGGAAATATGGACACTGATTGTGTTTCCGTCTTGGTGGACAGTGTAGTCTTGCTCGACTGCAAACTCATCGATTTGCGAGATACTTGCTTCACAGCCTGCTTTTCCTTTTTTGCCTGCTATCTCACGATCAAAGACAAGTCGATGTGTACCAGTTGGCGCGAGGACACATTCTCGGTAGCTGATTTCGATGTTGCCCATGGTGGCTTTAGCTTTGAAGTCACTGACCAAACGATCTCTTGCAATTTCGAGGTGAAGCTCTCCCATGCCACTCAAGAGCATCTGGCCCGATTCCTCGTCAACATTCACATGTAAGCTTGGGTCTTCTCTCAACAAGAGATTGAGAATCTCAGCCACATTCTTCTCCTCACTAAGACTGTGTGGTTCAATGGCTGCGAAGAAAACCGGAGGCGGAACATCGATGGGCTGTAGTTGCAATGAGTTCAACGGCGCTGGTGGTCCTGTCTTTGGGTTCACACCTGGATATGATATCAAGGTATCACCCGTGCGTGCATGCTTTAGGCCTGCTATGACTCCGATCTGTCCTGCAGAGATGTGCGATATATCCACTGCATCCGACGCCTGCATCTGGAATAATCTCTGAGCTCTTTCGGTAACATGTAGATTGGTATTCCACAGTGCAGCATTTCGTTTCACAGAACCTGAGTAGACTCTGATGTAAACAAGAACGCCACGGCGTGCGTCATTGACCACTTTGAAAGCAAGTGCGCATGCCTCAATCTGAGCTACCAAGGCAGTGGAAGAAGTTATCTTCTTGGTCAATTGCTTACTAGCACTTGTCCCGAGAGATAATCTTCCGCTAAGCAGATCCGACAGCCCAGCCTTTTGAGTGCCCAAAATGATCTCGGGATCGGGTCTCTCAGCCGGATCTGGTAGTAGATCATCAACAGCATCGAGAAGAGGTTGTACGCCTATGTTTCTGAAACTTGCTCCTGCGAAAATAGGGATAAGTTCTCCAGTACCGTCGAGAATACACCGTCTCAGGCTATCCTTGATAGCTTGCGGGGGAAGTCTGGCGCACCCAAGCCAAGTCTCGAATAGTTGCTCGTCGTACTCGCAAAGAGATTCAACAAGAGCTGCACGAGCCTTGAGCAGCTCGGAACGAAATCCAGGATCATACTGCGCTAGTTGCTCCATGCTGAGATTCTCGATGGTCTTCCCATCACCACCCTCCTCCCATTTCAAAGCACAGAGGTTGATGGCATCCCCAACACCACAGAATCGGCCTTTTCCTCCTTCCCACCAAGGAATTTGGCATACAGCTGGCCAACCTCGTAATCTTGAGCCGACCTCTTTGACGGTCCTTTCAAAAGCTGCTCCATCTCGATCGAGCTTGTTGACAAACACGATTCTTGGGATGCTATATTTGTCTGCTTGAGCCCATACCTTTTCGGTCTGAGCTTCGACGCCAGCAACACCATCCAGAATGCATACTGCTCCGTCGAGGATTCGCAGGGATCGAAGAACTTCAAAAGTGAAGTCTGCATGTCCAGGTGTATCGATTAAGTTGATAGTATGTGTCTTGTGTGATCTTGGACTGTCCGGGCTAGAGGTATGGCCTTCGTGATGAGGAGGCCAGTGAAAGGTGACAGCTGCTGATTGAATGGTGATTCCCCTTGCTCGCTCAGCAGGCAGGAAATCTGTAACAGTAGAGCCATCGTCGACATCTAGAGGATTATTAGAACATAGCTACTAATATTGTGACTCCACAGAAGAAGAAAAGCTATTGTGATTTCGTGACCTGATCCCCAACCCAGACACTGCACGTGATTCACATACCTCCTATTCGACGAGTAAAGCCGCTGTAGTAGAGCATACGCTCAGTTGTTGTAGTTTTACCCTGTCCAGAGGTAAGTAATATGTTGCTGTGGAAGTAGTTGAAGAGCTTACGGCATCGATATGTGCAATGATTCCAATGTTCCTGGTTCGCTTGATACTCGGGTCATGGTGGTGAGAGGTAGAATAGCGGTTGGAAGTGCTTGAACGTAATAGACATCCTTGCGATCTGCTGAGAAGGGCAGACCATGAAAGATTCCGATGCCATAGCAGACATCCTCCTCGAGCGGCCAGGAGACTCATTCCGAATTTATTAAAAAATTATCTCAATGCTCCAAAATGTGTTCATATATGTAAACGTGATCGTAAGAAGTTCAGGAAGAACTTGAGGCTCTCGCTTAGCGTTTATTTTGGTTTGGGTGGATGCCTGCGGACGCCATGGTTGGACATGTGTTGATGATTCAATTCACAACCATTGATCGCTTTCAAAGCATCTACATTTCAACTCAATACTCTCTCGGGTCAGAGTCGCATATGCGCTCTTCAATTCTCGGACAGTGAGCGCTTTCAACCGCTCCTCGACGTCATTGTCTCGAGCACGCGCGCAGCCTCCACGGCCCAGATCTTTACACACCCGGCTTCGATTCGATCGCAGCTACTATGGATTATTCGACGTCGATACACGATGCGGATAACCCAGCTGGAGCTTCTCCATGGGGTTCATCTCCGGTTCCATCTCCACAACATGCTAGGACGAGCTCTTTCCCAACCCCCGGCGAGATTCCGCCGTCACCAACGCCATATAGCACAAGCACTTCAGGACATACGGGTTTCTCTCAAGACGATACGCTAGGCGGTGGAAGCTATCACAGACCTGAAAGTAGTGCGGGAACAGAATCTGTGGCCGAAAGCGATAGCCATAGACCAGATACAGCAGACTCCGTTCCTAGCCAACCTGAACGGCAACCACTTCTAGGCCAGCAACAACAGGCCCCTGGGCAGCAACAGTATCAAAATCAACCACATAGAGCAGAGCCCGCAAGATACCATCCTGGCGCAAGACAAGCTCAACAGTCTCAACAGCCTTCTCAAGCCCCGCAATACAAGCTACAAGCAAAGATCACCGGTCTGGAGCGGACTGGTCGGAAAGACCCTATTCTAAGATTTGATGTTCATGTATGCAACGAGATCATTTACTATTACCATTGATACGTGAACAAATTGCTGACCTACCAGACCAACCTTCCCAAATTCCGAACCACTCAATTCCGCGACGTGCGCCGAACCCATTCAGAGTTTTTGAAGCTTGCCGATCATCTCATATCCTCCAACCCAGAAGCTATTGTGCCTGCTGTTCCTCCCGCGTTGACATCTGCTGGTGCCGGAACCGATGAAGACGAGGCGCGAGTCAAGGCAGGACTTCAAAGGTGGCTCAATTATGTTTGCAGCAACGAAGTTCTGATGAGAGACGATGAGATGGTCCTGTTTGTTGAGAGCGATTTTGGCTATAGCCCAATGTTGAAGAGAAAACAGCCAGCGACGGGCGTACGAAGGAGAGTTATCAAACAATTTGCACCGCCACCAGATGATACACCAGAGTTACAAGATGCACGACCTATCGTTAAGCTCTTCTATCTGGGGACAATGGATGCAGGCCACAAAGTCGATAAGTTAGTTAAAGCTAGAAAAGGTAAGCTTCTTTTTGACTCATTGGAATTATTCTAAGGTGGCACAGGGCTTGGACTTGCAGAGTCCGACTTCGGCGTAAAGCTAGGCGCCATGAGCGTACAAGAACCGCACAGTGGGCTCGGGAATGCTTACCGTAAGCTTGGTAAGATCATTCAGACGACGGGAGACTTCCACGCCGCTCAAGGTACAGCTGAAGCTACGACCATCGGTGATCCCCTGCAATATCACTCCCAAGACGCTTTCATTGTTAAGGAGACTCTCACAAATCGTCACATTCTTTTGCGCGAGCTGGTCCAGGCCCAGCAATTGACACGAAGCAAGCTGAACGCCGCGGATAGGTTGAAGGCCAGTTCATCCGTTCGACGGGAGAAGGTCGACGAAGCCATTTCGGCATTAGACGAGGCACGAAGCAATGAGCTCTACCTTCTTGGCAAAACCCAGCGTGTAACTGCAAACCTCTTGCAAGAGCAGCGTCGTTGGTTTGCAAGGACTGCAGCGGATTTGCGACTTAGCATCCGGGAATACGTGATTCGTGAGATCGAGGCAGAGCGTCGTACTCTTGCAACTCTCGAAAGCATCAGGCCCGACATCCGGGCGATCGATTCTTCCGGCGGGCTTAGTCGGCTGGGTCGTGAGGCGCACCCAGCAGCAAGGCGTGCAAGTTTAGCGGCGAGTCAGACGGTGCACGGTGATGCGTGGAGCGGTGTACCACGACGACCTGATGGACTGAATAGGAGTATATCCGGTAGCTTCATGGCCAAGGTACCCGAAGAAAATGGCGAGGAGGAGCAAGGGAATGGTCGTGCGAGGGCGTTGTCAGGAGCTTCTGCTGGTGGTCTTAAGGGTGTTCAGGAGGACGACGAGGACAAGGTCGACGCGCGAAATGCCGCTGCAAGGCTCGCAACCTCAAGCTTCTAGAAGCCGTCATCCGGTTGGCTACCTCCACTTCCCAAAGATGGAAACAATCCGATATTCTGGAATTGACAAGGCAGGGCAGAATAACCTTCCACTTACCCTCTGTAACATTGATAGTACATACAATTTGTGAATCACAGCATCTGGACACTTGGCTTGAACAAATGGAGAGAGGATGTGCGCAAGTCTGTGTATCAATGAAGACTGCTCGATATTGCCTATATCCCATTATCACTATTATATGCCTTCCATTATGACATGCTTCATTTCTTCACATGCTGATCCCCAGCGGTGAGTGGCCTTAGCAGCGCCAGATAGAAAGCCGCATGGACATGATCTATCGTTGTTCCACGAGGTGACGGACAATGGCTGTGATCTTCGACGACATTCAGCTAGAAAGGCTCCTAAGCCATCCAGTCGGATTACAGGTTGATATGCAACTGCAAATCTTAGGGCACGTCCACTAAGCGGCCAGTCAACCGGGAAGGCATACGGCTTAAAACCACGCGCACTTCCACTTTCCAAGAATTGTATTTAATGGAACTGCAAAGGAACTGGAATCATGCTAACCGCGGCGCATCTCAACTTTTAGCGGAGAAGCTTCTCCGCTTTTCGCCTCTCAGCGCCTCCAGAAGAGCGATTCGGAAGTACTCTCTCTGTAGCTCGGTATGGAGGTACCTTGTGGCTAGGTGCTCCTGAGTCGGGATCTACGGCCAACTCATACCACATATGCATCAGAGACTTTGTGTGGGTATCCATCAAGAGCGCATACCAATATCAGTCGGTCGTGGTCATGACGATGCTGTCCGACAACACACGATGAATGATAAGAACTTGGGTGTCCACGCCCAGCTGCTCTGCGAGATGAGCGAGATCTTCTCTCGATCCGCTGCTGGCTCTCGCCATGTGCGCCGCAGTGGTGCCAGAAAGACGCAGAGCGATGGAGACAATATTAAATCTTGACGTTCGAGCCCGTAGCCACCGGCGTGTAATACTCCGTCGTGAAGGTCCTGGTCGTCCTGGTCGTCCTGGTCGTCCTAGTTCCCGGACTGGGGCGCTTTGTCCAAGACCACGACTGGTGGACCCCAGAAGTTGTGGTACATTGGTAGACCGCGGTAAAGTTTAGGCTCAACGTCCTGAAACTCAGTCTTGACTCTGGAGATGGTGAGAGAGCCGTGTGGGGATTTGCTTCTGGCTCTGGCCTCTTCCCTCTCCTTTCTTAGTGTCCCGGGTAAGAGCACCCCACGTTGGACAGACCTCGAGTCGAGTCAACGTGCGACGAGCTTATCGACTCGAGCAGCCAGAGGAGCAGATTTCATCATTTTATAGCACCATGCCATGCCATGCTATTGCCATGCCTCTCTTGCTGTGGCCCCCTTCGTCTCTCCTCGTCCCCATAGGCCCGATAAAAGGTACTGCGGGCGCGCACTGCAGAGCGGTGCAGTGCAGCCTCTTGTTCGCGGCGAGGGTACCCAACCCATATCCTGGTATGCGTCCAGCACTGCAGCTAACGTTGACATGGGTACATACATATTTCCCATATTTTCTGCGAGCAACGGCCTGCCATGGATGGATGTATCAAATGCTGTCCCTGCTGTCCCATGCTGTGATTATCAACGCTTTTCTATCATAGAGATTAGAGAACGATTCCTTACTGGCGAATGAATCTTTGTTAAATATCTCTGCGTACCCCCACGATCATGGCCGTACCCCCATCCAAAAATCACTTGTTGCTTTCTTTTGCTTGTTGCCTCTATACTTTTTGTGACTAAAGCGCTCTATAATGGCTCCATCTGCCATGGACGAAAGTCCGTTGACATCATTCAACAGTTCTCCTTCGAAGACAAATGTGCTCGCCTCCGTCTTACACTCGGCTCTGGACCTGAAGCTGGTAAGAATCCCTGCGCCTTCCACACGTGCATATATACCCCTAACCTTTCCCACGTTTAGGAATACAGAAGTATCTCAGAACCCGAACTTGGGGAACTCCAGATCCAGATCAAAGCCACCGGCATTTGTGGATCAGATGTCAGCTACTACAAGAAGTTTGCCAATGGCGACCTCTGTGCCTGTGCTCCATTGTCCCTGGGACATGAATCTTCCGGTGTCGTAGTGGGCATTGGCCCTCAAGTCAACGGCTTTGCCATTGGCGACAGAGTTGCGCTCGAAGTCGGCATTCCGTGCGGCCAATGCTCAATCTGCAGAAAAGGCAGGTACAATCTTTGCAAAAAGATGAAATTCAGAAGCAGTGCAAAAAGCGTCCCTCACTTCCAGGGAACTCTGCAGGAAAGAATAAACCACCCCGCAATCTGGTGCCACAAGTGAGCAGAAACACCTTCCTTCTCGAGGTTGGCTCTAACAGACTTGGTTAGGATCCCCGACCATGTCTCATTTGACGCAGCTGCCCTACTCGAGCCTCTCTCTGTAGCCATACACTCTGTAAACCGAGCAGCGCCCGCCCCAGGATCAACTGCGCTTGTCATTGGGGCTGGTACCGTCGGATTGCTGGTTGCAGCCATGGCGCGGCAATCTGGTTGTACTTTTGTTACAATAATGGATGTGGACGAGGGGCGCGTGAATTATGCGATCTCAAAAGGCTTCGCAACACATGGTTACGTGGTCCCCATGCCTCTCCACTCCTCTGCTTCCTCGTCTTCGCTCAACACCTCGGGTACTTCCACACCAGCCAGCTTTGACGGCATCATGACCCCATTGAGCAGCTACAGCAGCATCAGTGATCGTCTTGATGGCGCGAAATCAGTTGCAGCCGATGTGCTTGCAGTGGCGAGACCAGACATGGGTGCCTTGGAAGAAGACGAATATGAGGGCGTGGATGTAACCTTTGAATGTACTGGCAAAGAAGCATGTATGCAAACGTCTCTGTACGCAACAAAACCAGGCGGAAAAGTAATTATGGTCGGAATGGGTAAGTGATCATGGGACAGCAACTCACGCAAACAAAAACAAGCAATGACTAACTCCCCATTAGGTACCCCGATTCAAACAACACCCTTATCAGCTGCGCACTTACGCGAAGTTGATATCCTCGGTGTGTTCCGATACTGCAATACCTATAAAACAGGTATCAGGTTATTGGCTGGAAAGCAATTGCCCAGTCTGGATGACATGATCACTCATAAGTTCAAAGGACTTGCAGAAGCAAAAAACGCATTTGAATTGGCAGGAAGAACGATTGATGATATGGGAAAGCTGGTTTTAAAAGTGGTCATTGAGGCTTAGACTTGTGACACCTAATGGAAATCCGCTTGCTGGTAGGGTGGGTTTCTCTTCCATTTTGGGCGGGCGGCTTTTGGGGTTTCGGGTAGAATTTCAATTGGGAAGAAGAAATGCGGCTGGTAGAATGCGGTCTTGAGAAGATTCTATAATTGGTATTTCATGTATGCTATCATGCAAAGCGCTGTCAAACGCCTGTCTCAATCGTTCAATCATGATCCCCCTCCCCCTGCGCCATGCAAATGCATTTGGATACTCGATCCTATGTTCCTCATCCCAAGAGATCACCAACTCCCATAACTCCTGTTCCTTGACCAAACGAAAGACCACCCCACGATTGGCCTAGTCTCGGATCTGTCTTCGACTTCATCGCCCTTTGCGCTTCTATGACCGAGAACTTCCTACCCGTCTCTCTGATATCTTGAATACTTTCAGTCAGTGTACCCAACAATGAAACGAGGTTCACATCATTCTTCTCCGACATTAGCTCCTGCTCGAATGCAGCTGCATCTGCTGGGATCAACAGGCTTAATCGGCTAAGAAGGGCCTGGATCGAGCGAAGGATGGAATGGTTAACCGGGGTATATTTTTTGTCAGCAGCTTCGACGCCCTCTGGAACGGTATTTGAGATGTAAGACGGTGGCAGGTTCTGTAAATAGAGCGCGATAAGGTTGATCCGTGAGTGCAGCATCTTAATAGCGTTTGCCTTGGCAGTAAGTGAAGCGATAAGCTCTTCATCTTCCCGAGAGAGGATGTGCTGGTCTTGTACCTTTGAGGCTGCTGAATCCGTCGATCCGGACTGCTTACTTGCGCGAGTCTTCCCTTTGGCTGATGGCTCTTGCGAAACTGCTTCGGACTTTAATGCTGGTTCTGCTTTGACTGTGCCATCTACAGCTGTTGCGTTGCCTCCACCACGTGCCACAAAGTCAACACTGATCATCTCTGCTTCTCCCGTCTCTACAGTATACGACAGCTCCCTGAATTTGAGACTCAAGTGTGATTCAATATCCTTCATCTCTTTATCCTCTCCGCTACTAGCAGCACTGTCTTCGGCTTCATAGTTGCTTTCGTAAATTGAAAGAGGGAGCTTGCCGCCAACAGAGCCTTCAAGCACCGCAGTTGGATGAAATCCTAGGAGGATCGCAGATTCGTTATATGTCTGTAGGATCTGTCGGTGAAGTGGGAGGTGGTTGGGCTGTGGTCCGGATGCTGGCAGAATCGTGTACCAACCGACGAGGTCGAGAGCAGGAACTTTGTGCACATCTTTCACTGTAGAAGTATTTACATTAGTACGTGAGACAACAGTAGCCCGCATATGTGAACAAACTTTGCTGTAGACGCTCCTCGAACCAAGCTTCGTTGAGGAGAATCTCGCCTTCGGCCTCGATCAAAAGACAATCGAAAGCGTGTTCGATGGTGATCTCTCTGCCATTTTGCTGGCCTAAGAGTGCTCCTACAACAGGGCCTTTTTGTTGTCGTAGCGTATGTCTTGTGATGTAGTCCGATATGGTAAGAAGGACAAGAGGATGAAGAGCAACTTGAAGGCTTGTATCGGACGACTTTTGCGTTGAAATCAAAGGATTTGAATCCGTATCCGCAGCCATGATTCCGAATATGAGGTCAGAATAGATAGCTCTATGTTCCCCGGTGCGCTTGAAATCGAAAGGAAAGAGGCGGATGTTTTTGTATTGTTGATGGGGAGCTTGAGCTTGAGCTTGAGCTGCAACAAAACGTGGGGTCAGAACCTCGAATGGTAGCCTGGCCGGCACGTGACATGCATTCTGCGCTAACTTTTCAGCCTTGCCAACCTCCTCATCCACATCTTCATTGGCTATCTTGGATATTCTCACGTTCTACAGCATATGCCTGAAGCTCCTTTAAGATCTGTTATTCATATTGCACTTGAACGTATCCAGTACATGATATCCCAAGAAGCATTATCAAAGAGGAAATCCTAGAACGCTGTCAAAGCTAGACAAAGTGTCTAGATTCTTGTAAAGTACTGCCGCTAAGTACGTTAATTTGCAAGGCAATGAATGTCTTTTATGTCTTTTATTCTTTCAGATGCGATTGGGTTGCCGCATAAGGCCTGTCTTTGAAAGCCCCTTGGCCATGTCTCTTGGAAGAAATTGTTATATCTCTCCCTAGGTCTCCAACTTTCTACTTTCCTTTCTTTTGGCTCTGCACTTGTCTACTTATCTCATGGCTCAAGTGGACCCTATCCAAGTTGCTGTCTCTGCCGCGAATACAAATGCTCATACCGGCCACGAACCATCCGCAAGCCAAGTCTCTCAGTCCAGTGAGGATGCCACAGAAGCTCCGGAGAAAGTCAATCAGCAAACTCCCAAGCGAGCAAAAGAACCCATTACAGAGGCTGAAGTGATGGATGATGACGTACAGCTTGTCCTCTCTGTACCACGCCGAAGGAAGAAAAAGCGGAAAAGGTACGTAGTCTTGCGTTTTTGAGAATCTCTCCTCACTCTACCACAGGTTTACATTTTCAAACTCTCCTCTAGGCCAATACCAGGAGACGCAAACCTTCACAAGCGAAATCCCAAAAGAAGAGGGCAAAGCAACAGAAAACTCTATCCGGCGAAAGAGCACCAGCGTGGTCCAAAGACTAGAATCCTGTCATCTGGGTGATAAAGACACGGGAACACGGAGAGGATCCTTACCCGCGGTACCAATGTCGATAGTCTCCCCTGTCCAACTATCCTGGACTCACGAGCCCAGTTACAGTACCAATCCACACTCCCAGTTCCCATCCTTCCCCATGCCTTGGTGGGAAGAACCTACAGCACCTCTACCAATGTCAGCATCAGGTTGGGGACCGTGGCAACAAGAAGAGGTTGCACTCAAGAAGCGAAAGTACGAAGATGGATGGCATGATACTGGCGGCCCTACCCGAAAGCAATACCGTCAGTCCACCCAAATATCGCCCAGGTCGAACCCAGTTTCGATGACAAGCTCGACGCGGTTCGGCGCCCAGCAGCAACCAAACGTGGGAATGTCGAACACATACGAAAGGCAGATGTCCGATCACTCAACAAACATGACATGGCCGAGTTTCGACTGGGAACCATACCGCATCGTCAACCCACAATACGTCTCGCCATACACGCCCATGGATATCTCAGATTCGAACCATGGTAGCATGTCACAACAGCAACCTTCTTTTCAAGACTGGTCACAGCACACGAATATGTTCTCGCAAGACTTTGACCCGAATCAAGGAAATTGCAGTATGTTCTCGCCAAGTCAGAGTCCTGTACAGCAGCCCGTGGCGTCCCCGGCCAGATACCCAATGCAACCACAGCCCTCACAACGATTACCTCTTCAACAACCAGTAGCGGCATCGCGGATCCAGCCTCCACAACCCTCAACACCGTCTCCCATTTGCTCAGTAGCGACCCCAGCACCTGTCATTGGAGCCCAAGCGGCGGCATACAGCAGCACTGCGCCAGCATCAGCTGCACCAGCACCTTCTCAGCCCAGCATTCGAATACCCGCTTCTGCAGACATCCTACGAAGACCATCGTTATACAAGATCCCGGCTTGGCCTCCAGCACCGTCTTCGTCATCTCACAGCCCTTTATCCGCCAGTCCGGTTGTGCCGCCTTTGAGTGTCAATTCCATCAACCCGGAATCGGATCGAATGACAACATCGCATGCAGATGAAGCTTCTGCAGCAGTACAGCAACTGCCGAATGTATCCCCAATTCCACGGCCTACTTCCAGTGCCGAGAGTATACCGCGCGTAAATGCGTCTGTATCACCAACGCCGTCCTCCCCCACTCCCCGCGACCAATCACCAACGACATCTACTGAGGTGTTCCAGATACCACGTGCACGAGCTGGCAGGAAACACTCGCCTAACATGTAGGTACCCCTATACTATGACTAAAACCACTAACTCATTTGATTAGCATTGTTGACATCGCAGAAACATGCCAGGAGGTCTTTCCCTTCGCTGCTGTCGCCGAGCGACACGGTATCCCTCTTCAAAAAGTCTTCGATACGTTCGCTGCCATCATACAACTGCCCTTGCTTCGGAACGCAGATGACCGACGACGACATGGTTCCTTGGGCAAGAGGCGAATGAAGGAGTATAGGGATGCGAAGAAAGCAATGGAGAGAGCTCAAGAGGCGGAAAGGAAGGCTGAGATGAAGGCTATGCGTCAACGGGTTGACGAGGCGTCCAAGAGAACTCAAAGTCAGACCCAGACGCAAATTCAGGGGCAGATAACTGGTGCTGTAAGCGGGAATGGGAATAGCAAGGGATTGCTGAAGGCCGCTATACTGAACAATGCGGAGAAGATCCAGGGGACGGTAACGGGAACTGTTTGATGGATGTTGTGTGCGCTGTTAATCCTAGTAGCATTGTAGGGATGACTAAAGAACTCCTGTTGTATGGTTATCGAGATTCAAAGTTTCTTCCATAGCTCAGTCACTCCTTACACAGCGTAAAGAGGTTAACAAGAAGAGAAGCTGTACGTTTCAGAAGCAACGCAAACAATTTACACATTCTTGCAGCTGAAGCTCAACAAAACCAAGTGCAAATGCAGGAGACAACAGGCTTCAATTGTTCACGCGGTGCGCGGTGCTTTTCCAGTATAGGGCGCTGTGCTATGCGTGGGACCGCATGTCTGGCAAGAGCTACCTCGCACCGATAGACAGCTCTGTTGCTCAAAGAAAGTTCTCTTTATGTACATAGACGAAATAATGACCAACAGTGACGCCTTACTTTTCAGAGCATGGAAGCAAGCAGATAGGTCGTTTGACGTGTCCTTTAACTCCAAATACGATGGGCATATAAGGATCAACAACGAGATGAGTGAAAAACAAGCACCTCCTTGCAAACTCTTTGATGCCTCTTCACCAACTCAGAACTCCAAGTGGCAGCATGTCTAGACGACACATTACCTCCCCGTAATCATATAATCACACCTATACACAAGTCTACCATCCGTCGTTCTATACATAGCGCAAATCAGCCCAAAGCACTTCACCAATCTTCTGTAAGATCAATAAAAGTCTTCTCAGTGGGAGCTGTTTTGGCCAATCTGTCTCCATCCTTCTCCTCGTCTTCCGTAAGGTCGATGATCGCACTAGAGTTATTGCCCTTCGGAGCCTTCGTGTTGGTTTTCGTCTTCTTTTGTCGCGGAGGCGATGGCGAGGCTGCTCTCAGTCGTTTGGAACGTCGAAGATTCTGTGGTTCAGGTCCAGGGCTTCTCGATCGTGATCGCTTGCGTCCGCGGTCACCTCTTTGGTGTTCAAGGCTTCTCATCCCTTCTAGTGGTTGGAATGGCGGCTGCTGATTCTGTAGAGGTCTGGGTGCTAGTCTTGCCCGGATACGAGGATCCATTTGACGCTCTGGCGCAAGATTTGTACTCGATCCGCGCACCTCGTACATGAAATCACCATTCACGAAGTTTGCTCGGTCAGGCACCTCATCGTTATTCACGAATGCATCCAAAGGCTTTGTGGCAATCTCCTCCAGGTCGACCTTGTGAGGCTGCCACAAGCCGAACTCAATAGTCCGAAACTTATTGTAGCAGCGGGGATCCTTCAGACATTTTGTGAGGTAATTGGTCACGTCCACGGCGTCGACCATCCACCGTCTCAGCCAGCCTGTGCCAATCGGATTGCGATGTACGGCTGCATGCCGCAGGTGATGCAGACGCATCAACATGGACCTGAAATCCATATAGCTTATGTTGATGTCGTTTGCTCGAAAAGCAAAATTTACATCTCCAACATTCCGTGCTAGAAAAGGTTCCCAATTGTTCAACTCTCCTTGTTCAGGGATTTGCCAATCCGCCATGACGAGCAAGTTAGGGATCCATCTCTTTGCGAAGTCGAACAAATTCTTCTCCAACATCTTCTGCACCGTATTCACAAGTAAATGAATCACCCTATACTCCAACTCGAGCAGGTTGGCGATATTCCTCAGAGGTTGTCGAGCTAGGGATAGTTTGATTAGTCGTTGAGCATGGATCTCGGAGTCAAGACTTACCAGTAGGCTCTGTGGTTCTACTTGAGCTTGCATTCGGGCCCCCAGTGGCAGCAAACAGGTGTCCGGGTATACTACTGGGCTCTGCGATTCTAGCCGAAGCTGCAGTCTCGTAACGAGGGGGAGCATAGAGATTTATTGGTGGTCGAGTGGTCTCTGCGCTTCTGTTTGAGTCTGCATTTGCGTTCCGGTTCGCTGTAGGTGGATATATGGGTGTCCAACCCGGGGGTGCCGAGAAGTTCAGAAATTGAGGAAGAGCATTCGGTCGAGTGACTGCTGAGGCCGTAGCTGGGAGATGCTTCAGTAGGGAGCAGACTGTTTGGGTATGAAACCTACATGGACCTGCTATAAAGTGGCTGTTCATGTTATTTTCCTGCAAGGTCACTGGAATATATTCCCTAGCGCTCGAAGAATTATCTCGCCATAGAACAGGACCACTTCCCTGTTTATTTTCCTGAAACATGCCCGTAATGCGGTCATATTTACTCGGGGGTCCTGTAAAGACATTTCCATGGGGGACTACCTGGCCCGGAAATGCCAGAGGGAGATTTGCTTGAACAGGTCCTTGAAAGACCGCTGGAGATTGAGCAGCAAGGACGTTCTGGGCTGGAAGTTTGAATGTTGATTGGGCTAAATTGGGGATCGAGCTCGGTCTCAATTGAGGTGGAAACGCTGTCGGGAGCGGAGGTTGACCTGGAGCACCTGAGAACAAACGTTGACGAGGACTAAGTCCACGAGGATGGGAGAAAGGCATACCTGAACCATACTGAGCAAGATTGGCTTTGGTGAGCGCTTGAGTTGCATGGATGAAGGGCATTCCCGGGTGAAGAGAAGGTGGAGGGCCGGTCGACAGCGGCTGAGGAGCAGTTGGTTGTCCTGTGAAGACAGATGCAGAAAACTGTGCAAAGGAGATCCTATCACTCAGCTGATTTTGCTGCCCTGTCAGATTAGTCCGATCTACTTCATCACCGACACGTCCATGTTGTCGTGCATCTGTCTTGGAACTGTTTACAGCCCTAGCAACATATGGTTCCGGCTCCGGAGAGTCTTCAATCAGAATCACATTGCGTGGTGGCCCCTTGCCCGCCATTGTTGTTGGAAACAATGTGGTAGTAGACCAAACGAGAAACAGAGGTGTGAAGATCGGCAAGGGAAGGGAAGGGAAGAGGAGAAATATCCCGCGTCTGAACGCGTCTTTGCGTCGAGAACGAGAAGAGAAGGGAAGGTACAAATCACGTCGCAGCAAGTGCGCGGGATCAAGTGTTTGTGGCTTTGAAGGGGTGGCAGTATGAGTAGACAGACGTTTCGTTGAATTTTTGATGATGAACATTTGTGTTTGTTTGCGATCTTGGAAAAAGAAAAAGCAGACGAGGCTGGAAAGTACCTACCTAAGTAGGTAGGTAGGTACCTTAGGTAGGTGTACCGACGTAGTTGTCGAAGCGAGGCCGATAGCCAATATACAACAGTAGCGCTTGCCATTTGAAGCCCGTTACCACATCAAGTGAATCGACATCAATCTTCAAGAGACACAGCTGTGGAAGCTTAGGAGAAAAGCTTCTTAAGATAAGTCAAACTCGTTCCTGCAGGAATTTCAGCATTTCTCTGATTGCCTGCCACAGAACTTCTGATATGCGGTGCCTCTTGCTGGTACTGTACACTACTTCTAAGCTCGGTCCAAGTGTGTTGTCCAAACAATCCATCGAAATGTCTGGGTCTCTCTGGTTTCTCTTTGAATCACTAACCCCCGCTTCTTCATTCAACTATTCCGGATTACCAGGCCCGAGAAGTCGATTCGAAATCTTGTCCCACATACTGTTCAGGCCTGAATATACAGGACAAAGGCGTCTGGTACGATGACATGCAGATGCTTCAAGGACCAAAATCGATGAAGGCATATGATTACCCCCACGATGAAAAAAATGATGGGTTAGGTTCTTATTGATGAGAGGCGACATCGCAGTAGCCTTGGACGAACATTGATCGCAAGAGGAGGTTTTCGCTGCTCGGATTTGCATTCATTTTGGATTCCACTCATAACTTCGAAAGTCCGGACGAAAACAGGACACCCTGCAGGATGTTGCCGGAGGAGCGGGCTGTTGATTGTTCAATTGATTGAGAGGCGTCGTCGACTCATCAATCAAACGTCACTGCGACGAGTCCATTCGCTAGTCACCGTGGCGTGATCAGGACTCAGTTGATATCCACTTCTTTTCCCCAGAAGCGATGCCACCTTCTCAATTTCTCGAACAACGGTCAAGGGATGGACTTTCCTCTGCAGCTGCTGACTAGATGACAGGTAAGATCTTACCTGTACCTGATCACGAGTGTGATACCGTACCTATGTACCTGAGTAGTCCACGTGAAGATTTGCCAATGCATGTCAGCCCTTGGTACATGCACAGAGTACTTTCGCCCTCGCCAAAAACAAACATTCACGGCACTTTCAGGAACCCAAATGGGATGGGTGGCGATCTTGTTTTATCTGATTTTACCTTTCACCATCTTTCGCCCTCCTCTCGCGGCAGAGGGAACGACTGCGGAGTGCCGTGCGGAGCTGAAATGTCCATTTTCATCCATCCCAATGGGTTATATTTGGGGTAGTTCCGATTTACGACTCTCGAACGCGGTACCCTGTCTGAGGTTCATTTACTTGCGAGCGCAATGAGCCGGACCTCAAGGTTTCCCCAGATGTTTCCCACGTTGGATTGATGAGATTGTCTTGGCTTGCTCATGATTTCAAATGTCTGTCATGCATACCTGTATTATCTGCATGGAGCATGTGAGCACTGGGAATGCTTTCAACATTCAGATCCGTTCTACTTGATCTAGATCTTCTGTAACGAGATATCGCAGAACTACTTCGGCTCCCGCCCCGACGGACAGGAGTTGCCACGTTTCAAACGTTCCTACTCCGAAGTTGCTTTCACAACAACTCCTGCGCTAAACAAGAAACAATTGGATGTCACCTGTGACCGTGGAGCGTTGCTCTTTGGAATCACATGGACATGGTTGAGTGCCGCCCGGGGCGATTTAGCCAAGTTCCGAAATATATGAGCCGGAAGACGAGGATGCGTGCCTATCAGAGACACAATAACGCATCATATAGCACTATAATTTTGGCTTGGTCAGTATCAGGTCAGCTCTCCCAGTTGTTAGGATTCATGGCTCATTTTATCCATATTAGATGTCCAGAACTTGCTTGGAGCAAAACCACAGATTGATGTTGTTGCAACGTTCGGACTCCCGTGACTCCATACTTGCTACGTGATAAGGTTCCACTCGACAAGCTTTCCCCATATATTTCATGCTGTTTCTTGAAGCCACTTCTTCATTTAATTTCCTGCTCTAAAGTTTTTTATCCATATTGCTCAAGGGCGAAAGCAGCTTTGTGCACGAACTGCCGTACCAGGACTGGAAAGCTAAAGAGAGTGGCCAAGATGGCTCAACTACAAGAATCCCCAGTGTTGCTACTCTTTTGTTTCAAACCATTCTCTTCAATATCGATTCCACAGGATGCCTTACAATCATTCTTCACCGACCACAAGCGGGCACAATGCTACAGCAAGCGCTGCCGCAGCGGCTGCCCGCAAGGCTCAAATGGCGGCAATGATGCACCAGAGACTCATGAGTGAGCATGCGGCCAAGTACTATGCCGCTGGAGTGGTTGGCATGATTGCGATCTTTGCAATCTTCCACTGGGCTCGATATTTGTATAGTCTCTATACTCCAAAGGATATCAAGAAGTCAAATGTTGTAAGGGGACAAATATCAATTGTCAGGTAAGTAACCAACTTTCACGAACAAGGCTGTTTAATTGAATTTTGCAGAATGATCCGCCACATTCTCACGCATCGAGTTCCCGGCTTCACATCAATAGGCCATGCAGTCCTTGTGTTGGCTTTCCTGGCTATCAATGTCGTTTTGACAGTTACAAACATGACTTGGTCATCTCTGATGCCCATTTCAAAACGATTGGGATGGTATGGTTTTACTTCGATGCCTTATTTGACCTTGGCTAAGACACATCAGGATGACACTCATCAACACCGCCTTCATTGTCTTCTTGGCACTAAAGAACACTCCGTTGGCCTTTCTTACGGCATACTCTTACGAAAGGCTGAACTTGCTGCACCAAGTTGGCGGCTATACAACAATCATCTTTGCCATGCTTCACATGATTACAGTAGTCCTGGGTGTTGAGAAGATGCACAGGCCCGCAATGTTGCTCGAAATTACACAAATCAACGGTATCACGGCACTTTCAGCTCTATTCGTTCTGCTTATCTTCGCTCTCCTGATCCGAAGAGTTCGCTATGAGGTGTTCTACATCTCCCATATTTTGATGTTCATGCTCTTCATTATCAACGTGGCTCTCCATCAACCAAAGGTCAAGAACAAAGCTGTCTATATCACCATCGTAGCTGGAGCAATGTGGAGCTCGGATCGAATTCTCAGAGGTCTTCGAATCTTGTGGTATGCGTACGATAATGGGGCAATAGTCACCCCTCTCCCTCATGGTGGGACACGAGTCGTACTGAAAAGATCACCATCGCGGTCTGTACCAGGCACTCACTGCTTCCTCTGGGTCCCAAGAATCCGAGCTGTTGAGACACATCCTTTTACCATTGTTAGCAAGACTCCATACAGTCTTGAATTGGTAATCTCCGCGTACGACGGCTTCACGAACGACCTTCTCAATTATGCTGTCCAGCATCCCGGTTCTACCCTTAGAGCCTCGTTTGATGGCCCTTATGGCTCCCTCCCCGATTTCTCCAAAGTTGCAGACAAAATCATTCTCATTGCTGGCGGCAGCGGCGCCTCCTTTACCTTCGGCGTCGCTTTAGACACAATCCGAAAACTCAATCGCAACTCTGGGACAACCATTGAATTCATCTGGACCGTCCGAGAACAAGGTACACCTGACTCCCCTCTTCCATCCTATAACCACTAACCAGAAACCAAGAAACAATCTCCTGGTTCGCCAAAGAACTCGCGGAACTCCAAACCTCCCACCGCGTAAACATCATCCTGCACGCCACCCGCCCAGGCTCCATCCACGAAACACCCTCCCCAATCTCGCACGTCGATGAAGAAAAAGCGCTCGTCTTCGATCACCCCTCCTCGCCCGTACTCTCGCAACAATCCGAGGACCAAGACAAAGACGATCTGCACCACACCAAGACATCTCATCGCCAGATTGAGCTAGCATGGAGCTCTACCTCTTCGGTGAACGTTCTACCAGGCCGACCTGACGTGGATGGGATCATTCGACGAGTGGTTTCTGAGACGCCTGATGAGCAGAGGGTTATTATTGCTGCGTGTGGGCCGGATGGGTTGATGTTTAGTGTTCGGAAGACCGCCGCGAGTTGTATTAAGGTGCGGGGACCGAGTGTGGAGTTGCATTGCGAGCAGTTTGGTTGGTGAGGGGTACGTTGTTGGGGTTTCTTTTGTCAATACGGGTTATTGGTATATCCATTTGAAGTTCATTCTCTCTACTGTACATAGTGGCTCGGCGGGGAAGGATTTTGGTTAGGATAGGGACAAGCAATATTAGGATACACTTGATTCGATTCTTATTTATTCACCAAGACCTCTCACAGCAACACAACTGCTGCTATGATACTTCAAGCTTCACCACAAGGATTTCGCCATCCGATCATAACTTAGGAACATTTACATTAGACCCGATTGATGTAAGACCACCCTGTACTCCATACCAGAGTTCTCTTGAATAACCACTTTGAAAACCGAAGCCTGCAAGCAAGTCGCCCAGCCCACACCCATGATTTGAAACTTAAACACGCAATCACAGTAGCCCGAGAATCACGACAAGTCCAGCTCAGACTTGGATAAAGCCACGAATTAAACGCATCGCCCGATGAATGTACGTGCTTGTGCATCAATTGAATCTCGTTCTCGGCGGCGAATTCCCAGACCTTTAGACGCAGTTCGGCTGGGAGGTTCGAGAAGCATGTGAAGACTGGAGGTGGTTGTGGTAGCGTTGATTTCTGGAGGAAAGTGCTTCGGTTTCGAGCATTGATCGCTTTCATTCCTTTCACTTTCAGCTTCTTCTGCTGGGCTTTGGTCATGGCGCGGCGGGGCTGGCCTTTTGAGCGGGGGAGCAGATACGCGTTACTATGATGTGGTTAGTTTATGGTAACGTATATAAGATCGAAGCGTGTTGTTGACTTACTCGCCAGAGAGATTCTTGCTTTGGTTCTTGGGCATCTTGGTGGTGGGAGTCCTCTCGTCGATTGGACGTTGTTCTGTACAAGATCTCCAGAGCACCAGTGTAGGGCGATGAGGAAAAAGATAATGAACAGCTAATCGATTGCCGTCAGGAGACGAACTATCTTGACCACGAAGCTGAATGCTTCGAAAGAGACTGCTCCGAGGTTTGGTTGGACCAACAATCGTGTTGCGCAGCCCGTCAAAGATGAATGGATGGCTTGTTTCGCGAGACCGAGGAAAGTAAGAGAGAGTAAGGCCTTGCAAATGATCCTGAATTGGCTATCGAGGTTTTCGATTGCTTTTCTTGTAAACAGAAGAGTTGTTGGGAGAGCTTCGTTTAAGTCTCGAGTCGAGTCGTCGCAAGAAACCCACTAGCGCGTAGGTAAAACTGAGAGATATTTAGCAAGATGCTCTCTTGGAGAAGGCTGTAGATAAGCGGAAATTGTGTTATCTTACCAGAATTTCAATACTCAAATAGCTCTTAATTCGAGTATATTTTATGGAATTTACCTACAAACTTTGACACGGGAGACTTCCTAACTATAAATTCTACCTTATACTTTCACTGTCAAATGTGTATTCAGAAGCCGAACAAGTTCACAAGACGGAAGGGGTGAAGCAATTGAGAGGATTGTGGACACTCCTGAATGTCCCGTCTTGGCTGCGTAGGGCTCTGCCGGACAAGCGACTAACACGATCATCAATGGAAGGCGAGAACAATTCGATCTACACAATGAGCAAAGAGAGCAAGAGTAAAGGAATGAAGTGATTACAGTTCCTGGAATTCTATGGAAAAATACGCTTGGCCTCGCTGTCCAAAAGGCACGAAAACTTGAAAGTCCGTCCATACCAGAGTGATCCGTATTGCTTCCAACAAGGTTTGTTACAGCATCTTCTTCACCGAAACAGACTTCCGAGTCATAGAGCTAACGCTCTTTCCCAACATGGTACCACCAACCCATCTCACAGTCTCACGGATAGATATACGGACCAAACCGTGTACCATCCTCCTCCGTCAATACCAAACTAAGAATCGGAACCTTCCTTCCCTGAGCGATCAATGTATCCTTTTCCTTCCGCAAAGCCGATGCTAACTTTAAGTGATGTGAATAGGTCATTGCCCGCCGACGTCGGAACTCCATAGTTTGTGCAGCATGTTGCCAAGGAAGGCGATCACGGGCAATGTCGAAGGGAAGAAAATGTCTAGACAGAGGCGGCGAGACCATCGTGATGGCTTCGAGTTTAGGAAATGTAAGCAGCTGGCGAGCTATCCTGGTCCGCGACTCCGGTAAAGCTGGACTTTGCGGATCATACTCGTGCTCCCTTTGCAGATCCTTGCCGCCAATCTCGAGAAATCGAAGGCGGGAAACGTCGAGCTTATCAACGAGACCGAGGCGGATAGGAAACCAGTCTAGTTGGATAGTATCAATGTCAAGATTCGCTCGAATCAGAGGAGGATGACCGCAAGTTCCGAAATGAAGAGTCCAGTTCTTCCATGCTTCTCGTCTGGACTCCCTACAAACGAGAAGATTGACCGGTGATGCCGTAGTGGTGTAGAACTCGCCAGTCTTGGGGATATAATTCACGTCGACGAGGCGTGGTCCAGGAAGATTCAACTCCCATACCATCAATCGTAATTCGGGTGGCAGCGACTGAAACCTCGGAAAGGACCTCTGATTTCTCCAATTGAGTGGTCTCCTAGGCAGGATCCATGTTTGCGGATTGGGAACAAGAACTAAAGAGGACATGCTTCCCGAAAAGTGTGGTGACAGTGGGTTCGTCGAGTAGAATATGAATACAGTGGCTGCTATGATATGCACGAAGAAAGCGATGATAATGTATACATTACAGCGAAGTAATGTTCCAGGGTGATGATGGCAGATTAATAGAAATGGCAGGGGCAGATTGAGTATCAGCGATGGCCTCAAACCTTCCTTGGCGAGATTTTTGCAACAGCCACGGCAGGAACTATGATGCTGCTATTCCCTGAAATAGGAAACACACCTTTTCTTGCAAATGTTCCCAAGCAATCACGGGAAAAGGTTACAGCTTCTTAGACTTAGAAGCGACAATTGTTAATTGAAATTAATCAGGTGTTCAAATGAAATCAAAACCGAAGCGGCGAATGAAACAGCAGGCATGGAAAAATACGCGTTTCGACTGGTATCTGAAAATGCCGTCCTTTAGGGTATAGAAGTGGACTGTAAGAGTGAGCAACGAACATCAAGAAAGCGATGAGATTTGACAAGAGCTTGAATTATTTTCATTCAGTTTCTAATAGCTCAAAGGGATTATTTGGTCTCTTCTTATCGTTAGATGGCTCAGATAGATGCAACCCTCTCTTACGCTTCTTTTTTGCCTTGGGCGTCGTCTGGGCAGCTACCACGGGCAAAGGAAGCAGAGCGTCCACTACACATTGAATAGTGACCATGATTTCCTGACCGCCCTTCTTTCTCAAGGCAGAAGATGCATCACCAAGAGTTGGAAACTCTGTAAGGTCGGGCAGCGATTGTAACTTGGCATACAATGATGATAAAGACTTGGGTAGAGCTTCGGTACCGCCATGTGCAATCACCAGGCCCAAAATCTGCTTGAGAATCCTGCAAGAATAGAGAGATGCTTGAAGTTCAGAAAAAAATTGAATCGCTTCCCAACTAAAACTTTCCCATGTTTCATGGTCTTTGAGTTGCACAAATTGTTGCATAAAAAGAGTGGTGAGAGAAGACTTATCATTGGCAATTGACCATTGTGTATGCAGATGAATGGCAAAAGCTATCCATATTTGCCTTGCACCGAGTCTTGGGAGACTACTGCGCAACTCTGATAAGAGACTTAATGTCGAGTCGCATGCTTCTGAAATACTCGAAAAGTCAGGGAGCTCCAACTCTCGTCCGCCGGACTTGTCCATCTGCTTCCTATGCTCAAAGATGCTCGGTATCTTCTCGTCTTTGCAAGCTATGAGATTGAGAATTCCATAGGCTAATTGCCGAACAGGCGTTGAGCATTCCCATGCACTTGTACGAATGGGGCAATCAAGCAGGAATGGAAGGAATGTGTGAATTGGTGAAAGCGGTTTGTCGCCATGTCTCTTCGCAATCCAAGGAAATTGCAATGCACCCTCCGATATTCGAGGATCTAACTTTTGAAGGACGGCTTGAGTTGTGGAGTCGCCGATATTTTGCGAAAGGGTTGGTATTGATTGAGAATACTCCTCAATGAACTCTGCGAATCTCTTAGGATAGTTCGATATTGCGTCCGAGGCTTGAGCTTGTTTGAGAAGGTTAGGGAATGAAATGTCAGGGTCCATTACCATCTCAAAAGCCAAAGACTGTATTCCGTTTGGTTTTGGGAGGACGAGCCGATCTCTAATACTTGCAAGCCTGTACACAGGGCTGCAAAGTCCAGCATTTGGACTTTCCGGGAGAGGACGTATATCTGTCAGAAATGATACAGAACCATCGGGTCCTAGATCATGCACGAGAAGGTCCGAGTCTCCCGTGAGAACAAGCCCTCCGTGTTGCTTCACATACTCAGCACACCATAGGTCAGCCTCACCAGGAACGACAGTTGTGATAGGCCCATATTCGGCAGATTTCTGAATGACCTCCAGAATAGCTGGGACTAGGAAAGGTATCGGAGGGAGGCTCGTAATGTGTAATCCCGGAGAACTGCTGTCGAATAGGTTGTAAAGCTCGTTCTCAACCTGGGGGTAGGCTGCCCGGCAAGGTGCAGGAGTATTATAATGGAATTGGGTCAATCGGCGAGTTTGATCGATAAGTCGTTGAAGTCTGGTGTTGAACTTCCTTGCTGGCAAGAAGCCATCGAAATAAATCTTATTACTACATTCGTTAGCCAGGTCTCGATTTGACTGTTTGTAGACATACATCACAGCAACATTTCGGAGCCTATCTAGCCACGACAAAGCAGTTTTGACCAGGACCGGGTAGGAGGGAGCTGCCTCGAAGCCATTTCGAGCATGTGGTGTTGCTCTCAGGCAGAGATAGTAAACATGATGGGCAAACGCAGGTCCATCAACCACAATTGATGCTCCAGCTAATGATACTACCGTTGCGTACGGCTGGAGGTAAGCGATAAGATGACGGACTCCCATGGTGAATTCATTTTATGTATCACCGATGACCTGTTTGCGGGCTGTTGCTGGGTTGCTTCCTGTTGTGCGAATGTGGTCTCGGTATAAAAGCTTCCGTTAAGGTTAGAGCCCGGCTCTAAATTTTAGCGTCAATAATTTTCCACCTCCAAGCTCAAAACCTTCTCCAGTCAACATTATTGCGAAACCACAATACCACCATGAGGAATACTCTCGTATTCGCGGGGAGCTCCTGTCCAGCTCTGACTGGACAGATATGCTCGAATCTGGGCATGTCTCCAGCACCTGTCGAACTCACACAATTCGCAAATGTAGATGTCGAGCACCTCTCAGGCATGGCGGGGCTGACCAAGTATTAGGGCGAGACCAGTGTCAAGATTTTGACAAGCATTCGAGAAAAGGATGTGTTCGTTGTTCAGTCAGGTAGCAGTAAGATCAATGATAGCATCATGGAGTTGCTCATCTTGATCTCGGCGTGCAAAGGAGGCTCAGCAAACAAGATCACAGGTGCAGACATCCCACATTCATTGTAGATCTCCCCTGCTGATCTGCGCTGCAGCTGTTTTACCGTATTTTCCATATAGCAGACAATCGAAAAAGAAGTCACATCGGGGTGCAATTACAGCACGCATGCTCGCCAATCTCTTGAATGTAGCCGGAGTCAATCATGTCATTACCATCGACCTCCATGCCTCACAAATGCAAGGCTTCTTCAGATGCCCTGTCGACAATCTACATGCCGAACCCTTGATAGCAAGATGGATCAGGCGTAATGTGCTCAATTGGCAGGAAGCCGTTTGCGTATCTAAGAATGCTGGAGGTACCAAGAGAGTCACGTCACTGGCAGATGCGTTGAAGCTTAATTTCGGTATGGTAACAACAGACAAACGGCGTGGAGGCGGAAACATGACAGCAAGTATGATCATGAACAGACTCGATGGATTCATTCCTGAGCAAGATTTGGATGCGGATGTCAGCAAGCTCCAGATTAGTACAGAAGATCATGCCATCCGACGACGTACAAGCAAATCCGATGCGACTAGGATACAGACTGGTTTTCAAGACAAGACAGAGCAGCCTATACAACAAAACGGCACTTCTCCGCCACGGCCTTCTCACACGAGGCAAGATAGCAGTCAATCTTCACCTCGGAAGAGTCAAATGCCTTCTCCCCTGAGGTCTGCACATGGTGGGCCAGCACCAGCCAGATCACCTCTAGTACGAGCACAAACACCATCGCGATCTTCACCTATCGAGGAGGAGCAAGAATTCACAGATGAACGAGCTCGTGATATTACCCAAGGTAGATTGGTCCAAGGTCATATTGTCCCAGATGATTACCCTTCCCCGACGCAATCTGCCATGTCAAGTTCCATGATATTGGAAAGGCCGGAAGAGGATCCAATGGAAATGTCACGAAACTCTTCATTCTTCAACCCTGAATCGCATCCATTGGGAGGCAGCTTAGATGCAGCAGCGAGCTCAGATGAAGAAGAGGAGGGTTTCAACAATCCTGGCCTCGAGCAAATGATCACTTTAGTTGGCGATGTCCGAAACCGGACCGTCTTTATCGTCGACGATATGATCGATAAAGCTGGATCCTGGATCGCAGCCGCAGAGTGTGTAGTCAAGCGTGGTGGTGCCAAGAGGGTATACTGCGTCGCAACTCACGGCCTCTTTGGCGGTGACGCCCTTGAAGAGCTGGAGAAATGTGATTGTATCAACATGATCATTGTCACAAATTCTTTTCCCATACCTCCAGAGAAAGCTCGCGAGACCAAAAAACTTGTCGTTCTTGATCTTTCGAATTTGCTTGCAGAGGCTATCCGGAGAAATCATTATGGCGAGTCAATTTCTCCGCTTTTCACACATACTTACGATTGAGAATCTGAACGGCCTTCTTTGCTATTATGATTTGCTTCTGTACTACTAGCGCGGCGTTGGTTGGCTTCGGATGGGTTTGGTCCTTCAACGGACGATGGAGGTGTTAAGAATGATATCGACGATTTTCTTTTCGAATGTGGTTTTACTGGCATGGTGATGATTAGAGTTCCTATTCCAAAGTCACATAGTTGCGATTGCAACACCCTTTCTTTGTCTAAAACTTGTCCCGAAGTCTAATCTCATACCCAAGGTGGATATAAATGTCAGCGATTACCCAGCGATGCATTCTGTAGAGATTGCCGGAGCTTCTTTCCTCTAGAAAGTCGTGCCGAACGGAGCGTTGGCAGATTGATTAGTCCTATGGACGATTCGGGACTAGAAGGCTCTTTAGTCATGCAATTGCTACAATCTTTAAGTAGATTGGGGACTAAAGGGCAAGAGAACTTCTCGAACATCTCAAGTTGGTACTGCGCTCCGATTTGATAGTATAACTACCATCAACAAGGCTATTTGTATATAAATTGAATTCTGTCTACTACTTGTTGATTGACCATTCATCTACAAATCAGCCGCTACTTCTCCTGTTCCTTGCTTCCTTCACCTTTCTCGGAACTCCCCAGTCCCTTGTCAGCTTCTCTTATCCAACCTTTACAGAATTTGCGCCTCGCCCGGAATCAACGTGCCATTATCAACCGCATATCCATGAGCTCTAGCAACCAGACTGTACTGCGGCAGATATTCGTCCAGAAATGGCAATACCTCAAGGGCGCCGGGAGTGTTTCTCCAATCACGCATCAGATCCATAACGATGCCAAACATTCCAATCAAATGCACTCCGGCATCCTCCATACGACGATTAGCGTCAGCAGCAAGCTTGCTGTCAAAGGTTCCGGAAGCTTCGGTGTTGGCCCAGACATCGTAGCCCTCTTCGATCAAGGACAATGCGAGAAATGATGTGCCTTGGGATTATTAGATCAGGGTCCGGTCATTTTGGAGGGTTATTGATTTCAATAGAAGATTTTCATGACTTACAGACTTCAGTGACGATGCCAGCAAGAATGATTTGCTTCTTTCCCGTGGCTTGCACGGCGGCTTTAAAGTCAGGATTATCCCATGCATCAACTGGCTTACAATCAGCTACAAATTTTTCAAGTACTCTAAAGAACAGATTACCTTCTCCCTGACGGTGAATGAAAGGTGCAGTAGGGTGCATCTATTTTCTTAGATTCGAGTCTCATTTTTCCAAATCTCAGTTCTTACCTCGATGATTTCCTTGGGCAAAGCACCATTTGGTCCTAGGACCATCAGCATTTCTTGTCTCTATGCCCAAAATGAAACGGACTTACCAGTATCAGCAGAAGTTGTCAAAATGGTGGGCAAGTCGAACAGTTTGCCAATAGCTGCGTGGGCCAGAATTGAGTTTCTGAATTCGACGACACCATAGTCCCGCACGAGTTGCGATAATCCGATCTGGTGATCCACTACGAGGAGTGCCTGGTCATTGTTTCAGTGAACGAGCTTCAGAAGGGCATATTAGAGGTCTACTTACGGCATCGCTCTTGTTAAGGCGGTCGAAAGTGAAGCCTGCCTGATTGTCAATTCCTGAAATAACTGTCCAGAAACCGGTTTCGAGGCTCACCTTGAACAGATGTGACCGCAACCAGAAAAGCGTTTATGGTCCTTGAAAACTTCATTGTGTCTTAAGCTCGGAGGAAGAAGGAGTTCTAGGGACTTCTTGAATGTTTGAGCAGATGATCCTTTGCTATCGAGCGACATTTGCTCTTCTTTATAACGTCTCTCTCTGTTAATTCCGCAATACCCATCTTTCGTTCCACACCGCAATTCCATTTTGCAATATAGACTATCGCCAAGGAATAGTTCCAAGCCATTCTTTACATGGAAGTAAGCATGCATTGCATGATCTGGGTCCTGATGCTTCACAAGATAGACCGACTAGTGTAACATTGCTGTCTCTTACTCACTATTGCTAAGATGCCGAAGAATTGTTTGTAACGCAAAATTGAAGATGTACTAAATATCCACGGATATTGGCCTCCACCTCGGACGGACAACATCAAGAGAGTCTAGACAAGCGGGTTACAGAGAAGTTTTCCCGCCACACTCAGAGACTTTGTCACCAGCTTAACGCTCCTGTACTGCTTCCCGAGATTTTCCATTGCAATGATGCGGAAATAAGGTTGCATAGCGGATTGCGGGTCCGGTACGAGCCCTTCGCTTCGGAGACTTCACCCGAATGAATCTCGCTGAATCAGCATTTCGAATCTTCATCTCACTTCCTTGGCAACGCTTTTTACTTTAAGCAGGACACGACTTGATTGGATGTGACAGATCACTCTTTGGGCTTGGTGTGCTTGCTCCACATATTAAAGTGGATGAGTAATGGACAGGCTGGATGACAAACATGCATTGCCGAGAGCCTGATGAGATGTCAGGCCTACAGAATCTTCTTGAGAACTCACGTTCTGATTCAAAATAAGGAGGAATTCTGGGAGTGGATTCACAGGGAGGCAAAAATTGCATACGGTATTGGTTCTTTTAAGATTAGTAATGGCTGTGCAGATGCTCACGAAATGCCTGTCAACCTTGAGAACAGGCATAGAAGTTGTACGACGGATCACGTCCCACAAATTCAGAGTTTTCCGATACCGTTCACATTTCTTCCACTTTTTATCTACTCTTCGTATCTGTAATGATTTTGAAGCACTTCGAATCTCATCCTTCTCTTTGGAGCTTTCCTCCCAGTCATGAGCTCAAACTGCGCTATCGCTTGTTCGGGTAAGACTTCCAGGCCATTCACAATTACCCAAGCCTGTTTCGTTTCTTCGCGGACACGGCGAATCTGTTTCAGCAATGGAGTATCAAGTGGTAAGTATGCCAGCTGGAGAATTCGTAAGTCACAGATTCTGATAATGGAACAAACGAACTCACCTCCACAACAACGCCACCCGTCGGACTTCCGAGCCACTGCATCGGCATCTCGAAATTAGCCGGTGCTTGGTTCCCAACGCTTCTGGCTGGAACACAAGATGCTATCATGGTCGGCTGTCTATATCCTGATGGCCAAGCGACATCTCTGGACTTCAAGACCGTCACTATTTCTCCATCAATACTGAGTCCTGCAGCCCAGGAATTGAAGTGCCGAGCAACATTTTCTGCGTTCTCAACTGTGCGATTGTATATAAAGACTTTCCTGCATCCCATTTGTATCATGGCATAAATTGCTGCTCGTGCCATACCCCCAGCTCCTATAACGAGGCCAGTAGTTTTGGAATGCTGAATCGCATTTCTGGGTGACAAGTTCCTTCTAAGACAAGTTTGGATGCCGATGAAATCGGTATTGTCACCATAGTATGCAAATATTGGGCCTGCTTTCCCTCTCTGATTGGCGTGACGAAGTAGAGTTTGAGTATTCTGGTCCCAAGATTTTCCGTTTGATAATGTTCTCAGCGGCAAGAGGGTGTTGGCTGCTCCGATAGCCTTTGCATGATAACTCTTGGCTGAAATGCGCGACAAGATTTGAACTTTGAATGGTTGTGTAATGGCTGCACCTCCGAAATTGGGATCCTGGCACAGTTGCTGGATCTCTTCTAGCGATTCGACCTTAAGTGACTGGAAGTCGTTTTTCATTCCACACACTTGATATGCAGCAGTGTGCATTGCGGGAGACAAACTGTAGAAGACGCTGGCACCGAGATGATAGAAGTGTAGAGGGTCGAGAGCATGTATCTCATACCGAGCTTGTCTAGCCTCTGCTGCTGTCGGAAGGAATTGTCGGATCTGGCTCTTGCTGACCGTTGTCTGCATGACGGGATGGGTGACTGGCGTGAATATTCGATTGGCTATCAGTGACGGCCGTCCATGTTCACCTACATTGTAGGCAATGACCGGTAGATGGTCTGGCATTGACTCGATCCTATTGAGGAATTCTCGAACGGTATCATTGTCTTGAGGTTTCGATGTCGCTCGAACGAACCGTACCATGTCACAGCCGAGGGACTTGGCTCTTCGATATTGAATCATCCGAGATTCGTCGTCCCAACCCCAGGAATTCTCCTCTCTGTGCAGATGATGACCAATGACTCTCGTCCGTCCCGATGAGCGGACCAATCTCGAAATCAGATCTGACGAGTATTTCAGATCGACCAAGATATACTCGACAGCAAGACGTAGACCGTGCTCCATTAGTCCGAAGTAAGCATGCTCTTTTTCTTCAATCGATAGATGTGTATTGTCGAAAGCATAATCTTCGACTTGGAACATTATCGGGACACCAAGGTTTCTCCGAATCGTTGCAACTTGCTTCCCTATGACTCTTTGCATATCAGGTGACCATGTATCGATCTTCAACTGGACAGCGTCAGCACCGGCTTCTAGCTCCATGAGATCTAGAGCTGGAATGGTCGAAAGGCGCAGCGACAAGGCATAAGTATACGACCTCATTTCTGGTGGTAGGGCGTTGATTGAGAAGGGACTTTCGAAACCACTTCGAATAACTCCTTGGCCAGTCAGGAAATCCAGAAAGCTTGAGAAGTCCTCTTTGGCATATTTTAACCTACAATGGTCAGTACATAGCACCATAATTGTAGGAATAGACTTACCTCGAGGAGACGTTTCCAATTCCGTTCTCGGGAGGAGTCTCAGTTCCATCGCAGCTTGTATCGAACAAATTGAAATACTCCAAATTTGAGCAATTGCGATGAGCAAGATCAGCCGTCTCTAGACGAGCTGCTTCTTCCTCTCCCAACCTGAGTAGTGACCTAATCTGCTCACTCTCGCGTGTGACATATATCACAGGATTGGTATTGCAGAACTCGAGCAAAACTTTTTGAGCTGGGACAGATAAACTGCCCATCCCGCATTCAATGACACATCCTATCCTATTTCCTTCAAGCATACGTTTCAAGAGCTCGAAGCTTTTCTTCTGGAACTCTTGACTCCCATACTGCTGAAAGAATGCACCCCTAAAATGTCAACAAGTAGTATGATACATTTGGCGATGTTACGTACCTTGATATTCCAGTGGCTTCAAAGAAGTAATGGTCTTCCGTGATCAATCTCCGGCCCAAATGAGTTGCTCCAATGAATCCAATGCTTCTTTTCCCGGATCCTCGACATCCTATGAGAACTATTGATGCATCTGGACGGAAGTTTCGTGTACTGGGCGGTGCTCGGGTGTCTAGAAACGCAAGAGTCGGCTCCAGTTGAGTCGTAACAGACATCTTGCCTCAAACTGCTTCAACAAATGAATCACTCTAAATAGGGGTTTTCCCAAAGCTCATGCCCTGCAGTTTGATTGAAGTATACCACACGTGATAATTTGTGCTCTATCCTTTCAGTCGTCGCCGCCAAAGAGCGGGGGCAGGAACCAATCCGGTGTCCGTACAATCCACGATCGACTGGCACACAGGTTACAGTGCTCTTGCTGAGAGGCTGCAAGAAAAACTATACATCAGGAAGAAACCATAGAGATGGAATCAGTCGTGAAGTATCGGAAGAGATGAAGTGAGTCTCTGAAATGACTGAAGATGTTCGGGAGTTGATCGCACCACCAGAGAAATCCAGATTCCTTATGTCAGCACGCCGGCGGAAAAATCTTTAAGAAGATTTGGGGAACCTGCCACCTGGAAGAGTGTGGGGTATGGGGTCAACCAATGAAAGTTCATTTGTTTGTTCTGAGATTGAAGAGCTTGTGAGACATGGAGAATTTACTGAATTCATCACGAGAACGATCTACGAAGTAAGAAGTCGCCTTTCAAGTACGAACCGCGGTGCGCCGACCACGATCTCTTTGCGCTCAGTCTGCAGCACTCATCTTACCAGAAGCAACAGAGCGAAAGCCATGGCTTGAGCCGCGGGTTTAACCCCATTGTCTACTTCCTACCCTGCGAACGACATACCTACGCCGCATGAGCGACCAACACGGCATTGCCCTCCGGGCCATTCGACCCTCGATTCCGAGAGACATATTATAGTTGGATATGGCACCGCAGGAGGCCAAGATGGAAGGGTCCAAGCCCAGCAAAACCTCAACGAGTGGGAACAATGGGGAAGGGGCGGATTCGAAAGACGACGGTGCCAAAGGGTCGAAGCAAGGTCCCAGAAAGCGAGTATCGCAGGCGTGCGACAAATGCCGAAGCAGGAAAGACAAATGCGATGGCAAGAAGCCGGTGAGCAAATCTTTGAGTCTTTCACATACATGGACTTTTAGATGGAGCGCATTGCGCTACATCGGCAAGCTGGGATGGATGGTACCATCTGCAAGGCATTGGACTGTTTCCACTGCCCATGAATCTATTCGAATGTCCAATCATGTTCAAACAAGCACCATGCGGGGCTAACATGCAATTATAGGCATGCTCTACGTGTATTACCAACGGCCGAACATGTTCATATGATACCAATGTCAAAAAGCGCGGCTTACCTGAAGGTTATGTTCGAGGTCTTGAGAAGCTGTGGGGATTGGCCATCAGAGATGTCGACGCCGTTGAGGATCAAATGCTGGTAGCTCTGGCTGGGAATGAAGAAAGTGAGTTGTATTCTGCTCTCTGCCAGTGGGCTCGAATGGTGGTGGATCGTAGATGGCAATGTCTATATTGGTTTCCTTAGTGGAGCTATGTTCTAGAAGCATGCTATCTAACTTTTGAGCCCCTCGCCCTGTCTACCTAGCGCTATTCACTGTCGTTGCCGAAGCTAATATCAGTTAGGTAATGAGACTGCTCTCAGCATTTGGAATGATGAAAGTACTTCGGAAGCATTGGTCGAGATCTGGAGAAAATCCCAGATGTCAAGAGAATTGGAAAGGCTACTTTCATCACAAGAGCCTACGGTAGAGACGAAGCGAAAGCGGCTTGGCTCTGATCTCCAAACCTCAAGGAGGATAGACCGGATGAGCTTCTCTCAGCCTTCTGCGGGTGTGAAAGATACCGGTCCAGGGCTTGCAGGAGCTCAGTGGCCAGAAAGCGGCCACGATGGCAAGGCAGTCAACGAATTCCCCAGGCCGCCGAATTCCTCTCATTCATATGTAAGTCTTTTCTATGCCCCTTTTTTACGTTGCTATTCACCAAGGATGATCCCCAACATTAGGTAAAACTATTGAAACAACACTTTCATGAGCATAATTTGCATATCATTTCATCTTATTATCTATCCGGTGTCGATTTGAATGCTAACCTGAAGTAGCAAGCCAACAGTCCCTTCTTAACCAAGGATGTTGAGTCCATCTTGAGTCCTTCCAATGCACATACTGCAATATCAGCCGGAACCCCGGCTACAAGTGTTGATATTCCGGAACTACCTTCGGAAACTTGGCATCTCATTGACGTTTATTTCTCATATACACATTCGTGGCTACCCATCATTGAAAAGCATGATCTTCTCCGCACTTCATATCAGTACTCGCAGAACCGCGGCACCTCCTCCATGTAAGCCTACACGCTCTTTACTTTTAGTCTTTGTCCACCGAGGACCCAGTTAGCGATCACGACTGAGAAGATCTCCCAATATCTTAAGAGCCGATGCTTAATCTACTCATAATGTTGGTCCAATGCTGATAATATTCAGGTCATCCTCTGGCTCTGGCGAGCATGCAGCACTCTGGGCGGCTATAGCTTATGCCAAATTCCAGCATAGAGCAATTAATAATATTCCACGAGCTCTCGGTCATGTCGGGGAAATGGTTTGGACTGCAGAGAGGATGTATGCACAAGCACGGTCGTTGATCCCCAACGAGGAAGGCAGCCTAGAACTTGGTCAGTAATCATTCAATAACACAGAGTTGCTCAATACTGCTGGTGTGTCGACGATGTTTAACAATTGTCCAACATTTTCGTGGTAATGTGATCTTCGATGCTTCCAAGTCGTCGAATGTTCCTTGTTTCTGAAATGGCTTAGCTTCTACCCTAATCTGCTATCTAATTCCTGCAGTTCTTTTTATTTCAAAGGACTTTAATCGTATATATTTACATGCTGACTTCCAGCAGGCCATATCCAAGCACTTTTAATCTTGACTCTTGCAAACATGGGCATGGGTAATTATAGCAGAGCCTGGTCTCTGATAGGACAAGCAGTCCGGATTGCTATGGACTTACGACTTGATCAACCTCCAGATCCAGTTGTTCATCTCCTCAAAGCAAAGACTCGATCCAAACATGTCATTCTTGGCTGTTTCGCACTCGATACACTCATTGCAGCTCGCTTGGGTCGCAAACCACATCTGCGGGCGCACGATATCGACCAAATTGGGCTTGTCGAAGAGGACGGCCTTGAAGAATGGGATCCGTGGACTGATTGCCTCAACGTTCGCAGAAACAAGTCTGGTGGATCTCGTGGTCCGTCTTCTATTTTGAGTACCTTCAATCGTTGCATTGAAGTACTTAAAATCTTGAATGAAGCTACATGCTTGCCAGCGGGAAGCAACGGTCAGCAGCTTAGCACTGTCCTTCTCGAAAAGCTGCATATCTGGAGCCATTCTCAATCGATCCCGCTTTACTTCGACTCAACTGCTGTTGATAGCGAAGTAGGAAACTTATTACCTCATCAATATCATTTACATAATGTCTATTTCACAACGCTAGCAACATCACAGCTTCTATCACATATCTCTGGAGAAAGCTCAGTCAATCTAGAGCCATGTACTAGATCAGCGCGACACATAGTAGATCTCCTCAAACATCACTCTCACACATTCGGACTTCTGATTGTCCCACCTACATACGACTACTTTGTCAACAAGGCTTACGATATTGTTCAAGCTGTAAATAGCAGTATCGAGAGTACACATATTGTCCTGAACGATTGGAAGCGAAACCTAGACCACTGTCTTGATGGATTAGAACCAGCTTGGCCTGTTTTCGAGTCGCTGAAATCTACAGTTGCATACCAATCAAGCTCTCACTCAGCTCGTCGAGAGTCTCAGGTTGCTTTTGAGATGCTCAATGGCATGAACAATGACTCAGATACACCAATGTCCGGCAAAACGCCACAAAGCATAGCAAGCTATGATACAATGGGTGCATACAGTCCTCAAATATTCAGGCCACAAGCAGATGGTGTACAGCGAGCGAGAGGTAGCAGCCAATCTGGAAAGGGTCCTGTCAAAGTCTCGCACCGGCCTTCATTTGGACAGTCGTCTGCGCAAGGACTGCCACAAAATCCGTTGAACATCTACGAAAATGCACACGTTACTTTCGGTGGTCTCGATCGTCGACTTGATAAAGCAGCTGCCAAAACAGCTCCTCGTCAAGCTCACCCTGTGGGACGGCCGACAATAGACCTCGTACCGCCTACAAATCCCCAGTTGCACCGCTCGCTGACGATGAGCTCTGCTGATGTTGAATTTGATCCCATGTTCAACGAATTAATGCGTCTTGATGCTACTGAATGGTAAGATATATCCCACCACAGCTCAAATCAACACCAAAGCCTGACGTGCTCTAGGACCGGCAACTGGGATCAATCTTTGATGAATCTTGGATTTACCGACACGGGAGACATGAACCAAGATTTCTACACCTTTTGTCAAGAACCTGATCCATTACATCAAAATAATGTTTTTCAACAGCTTGTCGCGAATTCCAATGCTGAGAATACGGACTTCTTCGATGGCTCATCGTTCAATGGAATGAATACTAGTGCTGGTATGAATAGTTTTGGCGGATTGGGAGTGGGGGATGAGAGTGAGGGTATTGAAGCTGGGCAGATATTACAGGCTTTGAGTGCAGCGGAAGATCAAAGGTCTGTAAGAGAAAATAGTTAAGATAGCATCTTATAGTGAAAAATTATATGTATTTGCTCAGTTGCAAGAGATGCTCAGAAGATTGAGCGGCAGCCGCATATAGTAGTCAGCTTGCCGAAGGTCGCAGCCCGCTTGTAGAAATCTCAATTACTCAAGTTCATCCAAAGCACACGTTCGAAGTTCACTTTGAGAGCATACTCGTGACAAAGCCGACTGCAGCTGCTGATCCTTTTCATCTGATCAAATGTCCAAGGCCCGCAATTATATTCATCTAGCATCGGGGCCTACACACTTCGCTTTTGCATCTCAATCCCGCCAAATCTACATCTACACTCAACACAACCACTTCTTCCCCCCTTTCTAGGTCATATGCACATCTGCGATGGCACATAGCACTCGCGCATCTTCATCATCTGATGGACCCGACCTAGAACATTGCGATCAGCTCGAGCCGCAACGGCGAGAATCTTCAGTTGAGAATTTCGACCCTCGCAGCGAGTCACCCACCATCACGCAATTTCTTGTAGCCCACCTACATGAGAAACTCTTTCAAGTAGGCCATCTCCCCTCGAAACAAAAGACCCAGGATGAGTTGTATTATATGGCCAAGACAGCGGACAGTAGCCACTGGCCCTGGGAGCGAGCCGATATTCTGACACCCACTCCGCCAGAGGAGCGAACCGACATGCTGACTCCCACTCCACCGAGCAGCCTGGAAACGTCGAGTCCCAAGATCTTTGTTCAGGGTAGCAGTCGCAGGCAGACTAAATTACAACAGCCGAACCCTCTCCACCGAATCGAACTACCTTTGCATCCTCCCCGAAGGCACAATTTGCGCAGCAAACAGTCGAGTACGAAAAGAGCAAGTGGCGGGATGCAGAAGAAGCAGATTCTCCAAAAGAAGCACTCGATGCTCACAAGATCAAGAAGTGGAGGGCGATGCTAATGGAGACAAAGCGCTTGTTGAGATGGTGGATGAAGGTTCACAAGTATGGTATTTATTTGAGAGTTATCTCTAGAGAACTCAAACCTGCGAACCCGGCTCTTGGCAGCTGTGCGAAAGGTCACAAGTCGACCACAATCCAGAACGTCCTGGCAGGCCTCAGGAGATATCAGGGAACTCTCCCGAAAGAGGTTCTCAATCAATAAGCAGGCGTATGGCAACGATGCAGAGTCTTTGGTTCGGGTAAATAGTGGACCGCTCGAAGCAGAGGAAGGTTGACACCGGTGTCTGAGCATCAAGTTGGATGAAGGGGGTCTGAACATGTTTGAGGAGGAGGAATTGAAATCCTAAAGACGTTTCCATTGATCGCGCCGGTCCCAGAACTAGGCACCGAAAATTCCGAACCGCCACTCCTCAGCTGCTCTGCTTTTTCCGGTGAATAATGCTCTGACGGCGCATATCCGCAGTTTACATGCCACATTCGCATCGTACGAGGGGCTTAGAGGAACTGAACCACCCATGTAAGCGCCACACGACGAGAGGAGAGGAAAGCTCCTGCGGAACATAATATAAAGCATGTATATTGACTAATGCAGAAGACGGATTCGTGCATCCACTCAATGAATATTTCGCTTGAAGCCCTGCTCTAGGGTGGTCAGCCGCTCCAGCTTGATTCCTATTCTGCTGCTCTCTCTGTCCTCCGCTTGCCTCCAAGAGTCACTCTCACTCCTCGCTCACAAACCTATCTACTCCTCGGATTCTCTCGCCAAGGTTTGGCCTGCTAAATATTGAGTACTTTATGGCGTGCCAGGGACTGGCTCCCTCTATGTAACAAAGAGTGCACCCCTCTCGAAACCCTCTACTAGAGCATGGGAATAAAGTCGTCCTTTCTCCCCTCGTCCACAAGGGCTTTGTGCGCCTCCGTCTCCAGGTCACAGTTGTACTGTTCTAACTGTAGCGCCTTCTGCGCCCCGAATGCCGCAGCCTCCTCTTGGCTGACTTCTTTCTCGCGCCTATCCCACTCATCCACACCTATGTGCTGTAACAGTTTCGTGAAAGGGAAACTGCAGGGATCGTTGAAGCCAGTCGAGAGTAGCATGTGGACCCACATGGCCCCCGACTCCTCAGACCAGTGGATGAGGTTAGAGAGCTCTTTATTTTCGTGCCCTGGCGTCTTGTCCTCCTCCTCTCCCAGAACGTGTTTGAAGATGTTCAAGTATCTGAAGTAACGGTTGGTGATCCTGATTGGCTCACCCATGTCGCAGTCCCATGCCTTGTTTGTTGGCCGGTCCATGAGAAGCCACCACGGCGCTGAGCCGAAGAGCTGGGCCGGCCCGATGTAAGACCATTCAAAGTCAACTACCCCGATGACAGTGAGGTCTTGTCTGCTTCTAACAATCAAGTTCGCCAGGCCAAGATCGTCACAGACGATCTTGAACTTCCCACGGTCGTACTCTTTGTGAACGAACTTTGGTATCAAGGACTTCAGGGTTTAAATGACCTATACTTGGCCATGGCATCATATCGGCCGAACACTGAGTTTGGTTGCCAGAAAAGTTGCTCCCAATCCTGCTCGGCAAGATACTGGAAATACTCGGTCGTCGACGAAAAGCCTCTGTTCCTATCACCTAAATATTGCTGTTAGTAGAAGTGTGAAGAAGGTGAGGGAGAGGCGTACCGAAAATGTCGACTCCTCCGGTTTGAAGAATGTCATGAGCCTTCCAAGTCAACGGTCGTATCGGGAAGCGGAGTCCTGGAGTTGGGGAGTCCAGGCTGCCGATCTGCTCAAAGTCGAGCTTCAAAAGCTGGAGCAGGAAGTTAGCGAACTGCCTGTAGATAATCTCTATCTCGTCGTCGTTGAGGTTCTCCCTTAGGAGTCTTGTGCCACCGTTGACGTCCTTGAGCAAGTCGTTGAGACTCACGCGTCCCGAATGAACTCCATGATAATGAACGGACCCAGACCGAGAGAGTTCTGTGCCGCCACGCCCCAAGCATGGATCTTCGGAACGGGCACTGTGGTTTCATTGCGGATGAGATTAATCACGGCAACCTCCATGGCGACCTTCTCGTCAGCATACGCATCGTGGACCCTGCCAACTCGCGGGAAACGCAGCAGCCAGGCAGTGCCGTCGCCGAAAACGAGCTTGAACCCAGCATTGTAGGAGCCATAACGAAAGTCGTTGTCCCCGAGCCAACAGGGAAGTCGATCATGATGGAAGCTCGATACCCATGCACAGAGGCGGCCGCTTCGCTGCGTCTCGTTTAGGCGGTCCTCCCAGAGTTTCCCCTGCACCTCGTGCATCAGTTCGATACGCTCATCGATGTCCATTGATGAGGTGTCGGGAGAATATTTTGGAGTGATGGTGGGGATGATGTGATGTGATATGATGTGGACCGAAAGAAACACTCACATCTTTTAGCCGAGCCGCGGAACAGTAACCTTAGGTACTTGTACTGTAAGACTGCGGAAAGATATATAAGTAACTGCCCTGACTAAGATTGGTTATGGAACGAATTGAACTAGACTACGCCAGCCACTTGCAGGAAATGGACGGACTACTTGGGCTATTTAGCTATGAGTGGTCCTATGCGAATCTTCGACTATCTTAGGGGCTTGAAGGGCTCAGCCAGATGTTCGTTCTACTAGGCTTGTCTCCACCCTGACTGGATGGGCCATAATATCTCCGACTATGTTCAACTACCTTATGACAATTCCACCGTTTCTGTAACGGAGGCCGCTGCGACATGCCGCTCTTATTTTCGCTACCCAGAGGGTCTAGACATTCACCTCACTTGCGGTGCCCCTTACTACCGACAAACACTGTTTATATCAGATGATCGTATATTCAGTATACGTTGCAGCAACCGGTAAAGCGAGTCATCTCCACGACAAAGCTCGAACAGTATTCTCCAAGCGTTACGATATCGACATCGATAAATTTTCTCCGGAAGAACTTATGGCAGTTATGGCCAAACCTCATCAAATAGGTTCGAGAACTGTTTCCGCTCTAGTATGGTTCATTAAGCTCATTCACGACAATGCTGAACCGTCATTCCAATGGTATTCGCAACATGTCCTATGATATTCGGTATTATCGAATCCAGGTACCATTGAGATGCGGCAAGGCCTTTATACAAAGAGGGAGCCCACATCTCCCATCGAGAAGTCCTTTGGACATTGCCAGCCTTACACTTCTGACGTTCGCCTCAACTTTTCCTTCACCGATCTGGCGTTACACTAGGTTCTGGAGACAGCGGAGGCTTGGAGTTTGGAGGGAATTTAATAAAACTTAGTTCTGAGAACGAATATTTATATAGGGTGTGCACGTGCCTGGGAAAACGAGTACAGCCGCATCGGGGCTGGAGCTACTGTACGATAATCCGGCCACCCCACCACTTTTTCGCTGCGCGACCCACACGCTTATCGCCGCCTACAAACGGTGACGATCTCAGACTGACTCTACCTCTCATACAGCTCACCTGAGCTCCATCCGTCCTCCCTAACATTTAATTGAATTAAAGACGTATTTTCCACCTGTCTTCGAGCTTCGATTGAGGTACCCATCATAAAATAGCCCGCTACCCCACCATTGCCAAGACTCATCAAAATGGCAACCTCACACACAATGAGTGAGGAGGAATTGAAGGAGCTGTATAGCTTCGCTTTGGACTTAGGCAGGAGGGCGGGAAAGATATTAATGGATGGGGTCGATATGCGGTGTGGGGACTCAGCGGGGAGGACGGAGACGAAACAGGAGGAAAAGATGAATGCAGTCGATATCGTGACCCAGACTGACCTTGGTGAGTATTCGTCTCATCAATGTGGTTCTGCCGAAGTTCTGGAAGACCGGATGATGAAAAGAGACTAATCATGTGGGTGATGTAGATGTTGAAGCTTTTGTAAAAGAGGAAATCACAAAGAAATATCCTTCTCACGAGTAATTGCACCTCTCCCTCTTTGATCATTACATGCTGACAAGTATCCAGCTTCATCGGTGAGGAAACCTACTCAGCAGGATCCTCTAAAGAATACCTCATTACCTCAAAACCAACTTGGTGTGTGGATCCTTTAGACGGAACGGTAAATTACACTCACCTCTTCCCCATGTTCTGCGTCTCCATCGCCTTCATTCTCGACTCCCAACCCGTCGTCGGAGTTATCTACCAACCGATCCTCGACGTCACATATTCGGCATTATCAGGCCAAGGAGCCTGGCAAGACGATGCTCATGCATGGAAGAAACGAAGAGCGTTGCCCCTCATCAACAACCCCAAAGCTCCGATTCCAGAGAAAGCCCCAAAAGGATGTATCTTTAGCTGTGAGTGGGGTAAAGATAGAAGAGATGTTGAGGGAGGAAATATGTGGAAGAAGGTCAATTCATTTGTCAACATGGCTGCTGAGACTGGTGGACGGGAAGGAAAAGGAGGCATGGTTCATGGGGTCAGGAGTTTGGGGAGGTGAGTTATATCCTTGTCCATGCTGAAAGCAGATTGTCTCATGATATATAGTGCGACTCTGGATCTTGCGTACGTAGCGTCCGGCGCCTTTGATATCTGGTGGGAAGGAGGATGCTGGGAGTGGTAAGTGTTTTTCCGTGGTCTATCGGGATGGGCTTGTATTGATGTTCATGCAGGGACGTAGCGGCTGGGTTTTGTATTCTGAAGGAAGCGGGTGGACTGATTACCACTGCTAATCCGCCGCCGAATCCGATGAGTGATTCGATTCAGGAGGTGAGGTTGGGAAGCCGGTTGTATTTGGCCATTCGACCAGCTGGGGATACGGAGAATGAGACTGGACGACAGGCGCAAGAGAGAGTGATTAGAGAGACATGGAAGAGGGTACAGGGACTGGATTATACGAGACCAGGGGCTTAAACAAGCCAAGTGTTATATATATCTGAATAGACTACCTCAGGACAATCCAGAACGCCATGCTAATGCTTCCAGTCTGAGATCAAAACACCATAAATGCATCCTGTGTCAAAGCTTCGGTTTTGACAATTTAGCAGCAATAACCTCTTTCACCTTCTCAACAGGCAATGTGCTAATCCTCCTCCTCAACCAAATCTTGTCTTGTTCCAAGCCCTGCCAAATCATAGCCTCTACACCTCCAATAACCTGCCACCCGCTCCTCTGGGAAATCCTTGCGATAGCCGAATCCGGACTCGGATGATAGCACATCTCCAAAATCTCGCCTTTCTCCTCTTTCCCCAACATCGTTTCGATAACCCTCCTCGTCATAATCTCCTCCTCTGTCTTTGGCTCAAAGTCCGGAATAGCACTAATGACTAGCCTCGGCGCCTGCAGCTTCTTTGCCTCCTCTACACTTCCCACAAATCTTAACCCCTCACCAAACCCCTTACTCTCACACTCGGCAATGACCTGGTCAACTTCTCGCTTATCCCTATTAACCAAATAAATCTCACCACACCCCAAAAAATGCTTCAGCGCATACACAGCCGCTCTACTCGTGCCACCGCCACCGATAACCATCCCCGGCTTCCCTTCCATTTCTTTAGCTGCCTCTTTAGACACGTTCTGCAGAATAGCTTCTCGGATCCCAATGCAATCTGTGTTCGTCCCGCAAAGTAATCTCCGCCCATCAGGCGAGTTTCTCAGGAATATAGTGTTGATAGCACCGATGGCTTCTCCTTCGGGCGTCAAGACGTCGAGGTAGGGGATGATGGCTACTTTGTGCGGCATGGTGACTGCGGCGCCGAAGAATTTCGGGCTGTGGGTTAGCGCGAGACATGACGCGAGAGAGCGGGTTTCGTAGAGGTGGTAGGCGTAGGAGAGGTTCAGATGCTTGTATATGGTGTTGTGGAGGAGAGGCGAGAGGGAGTGTGCGATTGGGTAGCCGAACAGGTAGGAGACGTGACTTAGGTGCGCGGTGGAGGCGATTGGAGGGGAAGAGTCGAGGGAGGAGAGGGTTAGGTCGGGGGTTGTCTGGGGTTGGGAGATGGATTGGGACATTGTGGTGTGTTTTGAGCTGTGGGATGATTTTGAGCTGTTAGAAGCCGAGTAAGGATTGCCCATACGGATGTGTCTTTCTTCCCTCGAAGACTAGGCTGGGAACTGGAGATATGGAGAGAAGTCCGCTTCTCCACGTTTTTTGGGGGGAGGCGGACGATTGTGTATTGGCAGAGAATAAATCGGGACAAGATAATTCTCTTGGAAGAAGAGCAAAGCAGAGTAAGCTTCTTATGATGATATTACTCAAACGGAAGCTATTCCACCCCTCAGACAATGGAAGAAAGAATATCACTTTCCTCGGAAGCAGTTTCAATTGTGACTTCACAAGACAACCAAGAGAATGCCAGGAGTGGAGAGAGTCGTAAGCATGAAAAATTAATAAGGAAGCGTCTTGGAAGATCTTCTGTATTTCCAACAATATTGCAGCTGCTATAGGGTCTGGCATACTTTCTAGACATCAGCTGGGGACGTTGGATCTTAATTCTTTATCCGATGAGTGATTGATGTTTGGCCTGGAGATGTGGGGAAATTCCAGGGCAGAGGCCCGGCAAACGGCGTCACTTCGGCTTTTCTTCCCATCCCATCCCATCCCATCCCATCCCAAACATCGCAAGCCTCAATCAATCTTAATTTGACTCTCATGCAACTTTTTTTTTTCCAAGTCGTCGCTATCGTCCTCTCATCTAGTGATGAAGAGTCGAATGACTTTGCGACTGCTACAAGCTTGATGCTGGTGAAGGCGGAAGCTGGACTCTCACGTTTCCACGAATTTCCGTTCGTGTTCTTGTTCCAGTGATCGGGCCCAATTCATGCCCTAAGATTACGGTGTCGGATAGCATCTAACACGCCCCAACCTCCGAAACTATCATTGCCCAGAAAGTCCAAGAGGGAAGAATCTTCATCCCCGCTACCATTGCCAAGTCTCCACAGTCCACCAAGAGCGAAATGCTTGTCCGAAGGGTCGAGTCATGGATGTTCAGAGGAAAGCCCTGGTCCATGTCAGTGAATACCCCGTAACTCCGGATCCGGGGCTCCTCAACCATCAAGGAGGTGACGACGGTCCACTGTATGTCTTGGGTGATACTATAAGATAGGTTCGCCGTTACGAGTTATCTCATTCTGTTGATTGTCTTCATCTGTTGTTTGTTCTTTGGTTGCCCTTTCCTGTTAGATTTCCGAGTGAGACTAAGGCCGAAGTCAAGCCGTTTTGAAGAGTTTTCACATCCGTCGCCCTCTTTCTAATTATCACCATCTGTGGGAAAGGACTTCCTTATCATTCAAAATGAGTATCTTAGCTCTGAAAGAAGGTATGTGGCTTGAAATTTGTGGTTAAAGTCGGACCTTGACATGTCTCAGATCGGCCAACGCCAAAATGTGTCTACAACTTCCGAGTGTACATCAGCGCTGCAGTGTAAGTCATACCCCCAAGCAAGCCAGATCCACTTCTGATAGAAACAGAGCTGCCTTTTGCGCTGTTATGATTGGCTATGACAGTGCATTCATTGGTGGCACTTTGGCCTTGCAATCATTTAAAAACGAATTCGACTGGGCGAAATACACAACAGATGAAGCCGATTTGATTTCAGAGAATATCGTGTCTGTTTATCAAGCGGGTGCTTTCTTTGGAGCCTTCTTCGCCTATGCAGCTGGTCACTACCTTGGACGAAAGAAGGGTCTTCAAATCTTCTCTGGCGTTTTTATTCTTGGAGCTGGACTCATGCTTGGTACGAATGGGAAGCGGGGTCTTGGCCTTCTTTATGCGGGACGAGTACTTGCAGGAATCGGAGTTGGTGGTGCTTCGAATTTGACTCCAATTTATATCTCAGAGTTGGCACCACCTGCCATTCGTGGAAGATTGGTCGGTCTTTATGAAATGGGTTGGCAGATTGGAGGCGTGGTGGGGTTTTGGATCAATTATGCAGTCTCGGAAACGATGCCAGAGTCCCATGAACAATGGATCATTCCTTTCGCAGTAAGTTCTTCCTCTCATGTCCAGACTTGCATCTAACGTATGAAAGATTCAACTCATTCCAGCGGGCCTCATGTTTATTGGACTATTCTTCATCAAAGAATCTCCAAGATGGCTTTTTACTCGAGGTCAGCGTGCCAAGGGCTTACAGAATCTTTGCTGGATTCGCAAACTCTCGCAGGACGATATGTACATGCTTGAAGAAGTATCTGCGATTGATGCTGCTTCGGAACATCAGCATGCTACAGTTGGACTTGGTTTCTGGCAGCCATTCCAGTGAGCTTTATCACCGAAACCAATCTCCAGAATAGATGGCTAATCTCAAACAGGGCCCTTTGGCACGACAGCAAAGTATCTTATCGATTCTTCCTCGGATGCTCTCTCTTTTTCTGGCAGAATACATCCGGCATCAATGCCAGTACGTAAAATCTTTTCCTCAATTCATATTCATCCTGAAAGCCAAGATCTTCGGGGTCACTCTCGGGAGCCGCTCATCAAAGAAGATGGGATTCAAGCTCTCGGATATACTCCTCGACTCCCAGATCTCTGTCAAGCATGTATACTGATATGTCTATAGTAAATTACTACTCCCCAACCGTCTTCAAGTCTATCGGCGTTACAGGAACTAATACCAGTCTTCTTACCACCGGAGTCTTTGGTGTTGTCAAGGCTATTGTAACAATCATCTGGCTCTTCTTCCTTATCGACAACCTTGGTCGTCGAAACCTCCTCATGTATGGAGCTTTTGGAGGAGCAATCTGTCTCTACTACGTCGGAGCATACATCGCGATCGCAGACCCAGCAAATCATCCATCTGCATCAGGTCAATTATCATCTGGAGGTATCTCGGCCATGGCTTTCTTCTACTTATGGACGATCTTTTATACGCCTTCTTGGAACGGAACACCCTGGGTTTACAACTCCGAGATGTTTCCCCAGAATGTCCGTACACTCGGTCAAGCATTCGCAGCAGCCTCAAACTGGCTTTTCAATTTCCTCGTCGCACGATTCACAGCTCAGATGTTCACCGCTATGGGCTACGGCGTCTACCTCTTTTTCGCTAGCTTGATGATCCTTTCCATTGTATTTGTATTCTTCCTCTTACCTGAGACAAAGGGAATCCCTCTTGAGAGCATGGACAGATTATTCTCGAAGGAGTTGGCGCCCAGAAATGCGCACGCGGTTGTGATGATGGAGTTGAGGTCTGATGAGGAGAGCTTCAGGAGGAATGTCGAGGGGAGCGGAATTGGGTTGGATAAGGATGAGTTTGGGGAGAAGAGTGCACACGTCGAGGCAGTGTAGAGATGATGCGATTTGTATTATGGATATGATGAGACGATTTTCGGTTCCAGATTTAGACATTTTAGACATTAGAGGAAGAAGACAAGGAAAAGAATTGATTATTCTCATTTTTCTTACTCGGGACAGTGAATGGCTTCATTGTGTTCTCTGTAAGATCAATCTGCCTGCTAAATCTGTAGAAACCAACGACGTTCTCAAACAAACGTCACCAACACCATCATCTCAACGCCTCATCGTGGAGAAACACCCACTTCACCTCAACAAGTACATCCCCACAGCATTCGAAACGCCCTTACACACCAGCAGCGCCTCTTCCGCGCGCCTCGCATGATTCTTATCTCCGAACGCATGACGTTACGGGGCAAAACACTTACCCGCCCCTCGTATTCCTTTCTCCGTCTCCAAACCATTTTCCCTGGATCACCAATCTTGGTTCGCATCTGACAGCGAGTGCTGATAGGCGTATGGATGGCCGAGTGAGGCCGTGGATAGCCTTCGAGGCTCGTAATGCTTTATCCAATGTGGAGAATTGAATATGGGGGGCATTGGGGAGGAGAAAGAGATCTTGATAAGGTGGTGGGTTGTGGGTGGTACTTATGCTTTTGGTTTCTTGGTTTGAAAAGAGCCGTTATCTTTGCCTTTGCTTTGGATTGGCATTCTTGTCGGTATTCTTGACATCGTTGTATCTTGTTGATGTCAATCATTCAGTCCAAGTCATCGAGTCTTATTGTCCTTTTGGTACTCTTATCATAACCCTCAATCGATTGTCTTTCTTGATGCTTTGTACCTCACCTCACATCATCATGTCTTACAAACCAGCAATATGCAGCATGTCCCTCGGCGTAAGTCTTCTCTCTCATCCCAATCACAACCTCAACTGACACCATCAGCGAGCATGGGTCCATCAAATCACCCCCAAATTCACAGCAGCCGCCTCAGCCGGCCTCCCAGGAATCGAAATCTTCTACGAAGACCTCCTCTACCTCGCATCCTCCTACCCTGGCGGTGCCACCTCCGCGAACCAACTCCTCGCCGCTCACTCAATCAAGTCTCTCTGTAATTCTTTAAAATTAGAAATCATTGGCATAGGTCCCTTCAACAACTGCGAAGGCCTCCTCTGCCCGATCCTCAAAGCGCAAAAGCGCCAAGAACTCGAGCTCTGGTTCCAAGTCGCTCACATACTCAATACGGACATCATCCAAATCCCCTGTACCTTCCTACCCGAGAGCGATGAACGGATAACCGGGGATCTAGAAATCGTAGCTCGAGACCTGAGGGAGATTGCCGATCTTGGAGCAAGACAAAATCCTCCCTTCAGATTCGCGTTCGAGAATCTTTGTTGGGGTACTTATAACGATACCTGGGCCAAGGCGTGGGCGGTTGTCGAGGCGGTTGATAGGCCGAATTTCGGGTTGTGCTTGGATACGTTTAATATCGCTGGGAGGGAGTTCGCTGATCCGACGAGGGAGGACGGGATGGTTGTTAATGCGAAGGAGAGTTTTAGGGAGAGTATCAAGAGGATGGCTAGGACGATAGATGTCGAGAAGGTGTTTTATGTTCAGGTTGTGGATGCGGAGAGGTTGGAGAGGAAGATGGATGAGAGGAATGAGTTTTGGGTTGAGGGACAGAGGCCGAGGATGAGTTGGAGTCGGAATTGTAGGCTGTTTTTGTGTGAGGAAGAGAGAGGGGGTTATTTGCCTGTTATGGATGTGTTGAACGCGATTTGTGGGAGTAAAGAGGAGGGTGGGATGGGGTATAAGGGGTGGGTTAGTATGGAGTTGTTTAATAGGACTTTGGTGGATGAGAGGGAGGAGATCCCAATGGAGCATGCTGTCAGGGCGATGGAGAGTTGGAAAAAGATCGTGGAGAGGATGGGCTGGGAGGATATCATTGAAAAGGTTAAGCAGAGGAAGCAGATTGTGTCCAGGAGGCCAGTCGTCGAGAATGTTCCAGAGAGGGTTGAAATCTCGGCTAGACTGTAATGTTTGTTTAACTTTGGCATAGCTATGGCGTTGGATACACCCTTATTTGATGAACAATCTATGTACTATGTTAGCGACCTTAGAATATATATCGCCATGGACGAAAGTACAATACCTTCACATGGGTGGACTCGAATGAACTTTTGTTGGCAAAGGTTGCAAGTGAAAATGGTGATTTGACATTGAAGAATTACATTACCCGCTAGTCTCGACGAGAACCCAATGCCCAGACGCCGAAAAGAGACCACGACGTACACATATAAAATCGGGCTTCGCTCTCAAGCTCAATCAACGATTGCCACCCCACCCAGCCGGCTGCGGGCCCAGCTTGCCAGGTTTGGGCACCATCAAGAACTCCAACCGATCCTCAGCCGTCACCCAACCTCTCCTCTTACTAAGAATAGCATGCCTAATCGCATCTCTCCAATCCGCGAACCAGACTTCTTCTTCCTGCACTGCACATCTCCTTCCATACTCTCCTCTCGCTACATCTGCATACGGCCAGATAGATTTGACGACTTCGTACTTCTTCGTGCCTGTGTGGCCTTTGGTGATTGAAGAGAAGAACATGTTGACTGAAGAGAAGAAATTGTTGACTTCATCTGGAGAATGAACAACGACACGGCTATGGGTCATTGGAAAGGTGATAGTAACGTGGCCTCGATATGAGGTGCTGGAGATTAGGGAGAGGAGACGACCTTCCAGGTATGAAGTATCCCAATTGATCACTGTCCTCTCTAATGTGAAGCTATTGGAGTTAGTTGGGTAATTATTGTATGTAATAAGGAGAATGGAAACCTACCGCTTGATACTTGCAGGATCTTCGCAATACTTCTGTGCCCAAGCCTCTAATCCATTGACATGAGGGAAAGTCGTCTCCTTACCTTCCCCTCTGAATCCAACGTCGCCCGGACCAATGATCTTCACATAATTCATTCGTCCCCTCTTGTCTTCATCAGGTACGATCAGATTCATCAGATTAATCTTCACATCAAAATCAATACTTCCGCTATCTGATGTCCTTCCCGTGATCCTGATCTGTGGCTTCGGAGGAACAGTAGCAAGTGATTTTATCAATGAGACGAGAGCGACCGGATTCACAGACAATCGCTGCTCCTTCGAAGTGAGAGTCGTAGCATCCGAGGAAATCGTAAATCCTTTTGGCGAGTATAGTGAATAATCGAGTCTTGGTAGACCGGGATAATTTGGTTGAGGTTGAGGAGCTGAAGGTGCGGTCATTGATGGAGTCGTGGGTCCAGAATATGGAGGAGGTGTATTTGTGCGGTCTTCATGGTGATTTTCTGATGGATGTGAGGATGATGAGGGTCCTGCTTCTGAAGGGCGATGAACAGCCATGCTTGGTTCCGCGACGCTTTTCCGGGAGATATTTTGTTGCTGGTCTGCCATTGTCCCGACACAGCGAAGCTTCGATAAATGTACAATTCCAATGGGTACGATATACCAGTGGAAGTATAAACTAGAATTTCGGCCTTCATCTTCGGCTGAACAAGGCTGAGTCCTATGGCGCAGCTTTAAACTGTTGCCTGGTGGAGTCGTCACGGCGATAGTAAGGTTAACCTTACTTTAGCGCCTTTCAGTTCTCAGCCTTATCGCGAACATTTTTTAAATTCTCAAAATTTACTTTCGCACACTTCAAATCCACATCACCGCCACAAACTTTTCACAATGCCAAAGGCAACAACACCAGTCTCTGCGCGTCAAGGGCGACGACATAATCCACTCGAGGATGATCTCACCGCAACTGGAGGCACCTTGAAATTAAAAACAGGGAAAAGGAAGTCAAGACCCGAGGATGAAGAGCAGTTTGTGGATTCGAAGGCTTCGAGGAGGATCCTGCGAATGGGACAAGAGTTGGCAGATGAAGACGATGAACAGAAAATGTCTGCGGCACCAAACCCAGCTTTCGAGTTCGAGTCCAGATTCGACAATGCAGACCAAGACACACCGCAAGAGGAGTATGAGGAATGGGACGAGGAAGGAGAAGTAGAAGAGGTTGAGCTGGCACCGGATGACTTAGCAACTTGGAATAAATTCTTCCCAACACAAGAAGATTCTCTATTACGAACAGGTTGGGGCGGAGAACCCGAAGCAGCAGATGAAGAACCAGGAACAAATCTAGCAGATTTGATATTGGAGAAAATTGCTGCACACGAAGCTGCCCAAGCAGCTAATGGTGGAGTACCTCGAAACGCTCCTGGGCCGATAGATGAGGATTTCGAACTTCCTCCGAAAGTTGTGGAGGTTTACACAAAGTATGCCCCCCCTCTCTTTCAACGATCAATTGCTAACTGTACCCAGAGTTGGTATGCTTTTGTCGCGGTATAAGTCGGGAAAACTGCCTAAACCATTCAAGATCTTACCAACAGTGCCCCGCTGGGAGGATATTCTCGAAATCACCAGACCCGACAAATGGACTGCGAATGCATGCTACGAAGCTACTAAAATCTTCGTCTCAGGAACGCAAGCCACAGCACAACGATTCTTAGAGATGGTAATTCTAGAGCGAGTGCGCGAGGATATACACGAGACGAAGAAGCTGAATGTGCATCTGTTCAATGCTTTGAAGAAAGGACTGTACAAACCTGCTGCATGGTTCAAGGGCCTTTTATTCCCTTTGGTACAAAGTGGTACATGCACACTGCGCGAAGCACAAATCATTTCTGCGGTTCTTGTACGAGTATCTGTGCCTGTGTTGCATTCTGCTGCTGCGATTAAAGGTCTCTGCGACATTGCTGCCCAGGAATCTTCGGCAGGCACTGAGGGTGGTGGAGCTACGAATACTTTCATCAAAGCACTTCTCGAAAAGAAATACGCGCTGCCATACCAAGTCATCGACTCCTTGGTGTTCCATTTCTTGCGATTTCGAGCTGCAGACCCTGCAAGCGTCACACCTGAAGACCTTGGAGACTCAATGGCTGGATTGACGGGTGCTGCAGCAAGAGAAGTTCGATTGCCAGTAATATGGCACCAATGCTTGCTCGCTTTTGCACAAAGATACAGAAACGATATCACAGAAGATCAGCGAGAGGCATTGTTGGATCTCCTATTGACAAAGGGACATTCAAAGATTGGACCAGAAGTGCGGAGAGAATTACTGGAAGGTCGTGGTAGAGGAGTTCCGCTTGAGCCTGAAGCGCCTTCATTTGGAGCAGATGATACCATGATGATAGAATAATTTCAATTTCCGATTTTCCTTCGGGCCCGAATCCAGCTACTGTAAGATATCCTGCTGGCGGCTTTGTTCATGCCTTAGGCTGGAATTTTGGCCATAGGATTTCCGAAAGACATGCTTCCTCAAGCTTTCTTCCACACTTCGAACACATCAAATTACTCTTGTGGCACTCAACCATGCCTCAAATATGTTGATTCTTTTTTAACCCATCTGGTCGTGTTGTGGTTTCAAGGAGCCGGGGCCATTCCCCGCGCCGTGACTAGTTGACTGCAACTGCCCCATACTTGAGGTTCTGAGTGATAGTCGATGGGAAGGAAGATCCAAAGGATAGAATGGCATATGAAGTTTTCAAGCTTTGCTCGAGAAATCGGTCAATTTACGTCTTTGTGGGCTTTTGAATAGCTCAGTGTCCTTTTCAGAGAAACTTGTTGCACCCGCTAAGAGTTGTCTTCTTATTCCCTGTACATTGAAGCTTCGAGAATGCGCATACACATGAATTTTGACAAGTTGTTCCATAATCCAGACGAAGTGCGTCAAGAACAGCATGGTTAACGAAGGGTCAAAGACGGATATCGATGGCCCATCGTTAAATATGCTTGGCAAAAGACTTGTTGGCTATGATCTGGGTATCTCTCGAAGTCTTGAATAAAGCTTTCATCATCTTTCCTCCACTCTAATGCGAGATCTCTTGTTGCTATCGCATGTCCTCTCAATCGCTAGAAGTATCTTCCGAATACCAGACGATTCCCTTGAGAAAGAGATGGCGAAGAGACTAATTCGAGATGAAATACTAAAAGGAGGTATACGAAATGAATTTTCTAGACATAACACCGAGTGATATCCTATTGTCTAATGTGGCGCGCGCATTAGCTAGAATTTGCGGATCTTCTTTAGGCTATGGCTTTGCGATTTGCATCTGAGCCGCCGTTCGAATCATACGATTTCTACATAAGCACCATGTCACCAATCATATTTCGATCTCTCTCACATAGACAATGTTGAAATCGAATGCGAAATTCGACACGATGCTTCGACACAGAACCGAAGATGACATGGACATCAACTCATCCCCGATAAAGCGATCAAGCGCGAGAATGCTATTAGCTCTCGAAGATATCGATAAGGGCGGAAGAGACGATATTCAGGGAAGTGGAAGCGAGAGGTCAGAAGAAAGTGATGAGGATGAAAGAGCAGGTATTGATGGTGGCAGTAGTGAAGAGTCCGAGGATTCTGAAGTGTCGGATGAATCGAGTGCAGACGATGATCTATCGATCGGCAGAGAAGAGGATACAGACAAGTCCTATGAGGAATCGGAGGCGACGGAAGACACCCATCTCAACGACTCCGATACGGATACAGACACTAACAAAGCACCTAAGAAACGGCAGTCAACAAATTCTCGAAACCCAAAGCATGATGCTGCAAACGACAACCCGATGCTCCCTCAGAAACGTTTGACCACGAACAGTCTCCTTTCCAGCCTCAAAGACTGCTTGGCCACAGAACTCGAAGTATGTTCTTCTTCTTGGAGGGACATCATCAGAGCGATCAAGGCCACAGCTACTGCAGAGGCTACAGCGGACGATAATCAACTTGGCCTACCCTCGTTACCGAAATTCTGGGCTACTGAGAAGCCGGAAGTACAAATCGATTCTGGAAGGCTGCTCACAGCTCTGTCCATCTTGCACAGAAGCATGTCGAGTCTGTTCGCCGAGCATCAACTAGCATGTGGAGTTACGAATTCCAACCGAAAAACCCAATCACGATCCTATTTCAAAGCTAGACAAGTGGCTAGAATTGAAGTGGCAGCAGCGTATATCGTGGATACGCCGAAGTTCAACAAGACTTGGGACGCCTACCTAAAGACTAAGCCTTCGACAACAAGTCATTACACTAAGGAGCGCATACAAACAGCCAAGTCCAAAGCTTCACAGGATATCATTGATGGCCTTGATGAGAACACCAAGGCAGCTGCTGTGAGAAAAGTGGACGAGTTATCACAGAGCATTGTGAGCCAGAGAATTTCCGGAGAGAGGCTGTCAGATCCAAAAGTTTATGGAGCAGGATATGAGAAGTCTAGGGCTCGTAATATTTCTCTCATACAAGTAGCTCTGTCGTATGTGGACCAGAATCATTTTCAAGATCAGATCGCATTCGAATCTGGGATCTGGGAAGCAAAGACGACGTGGTTTGCGGATCACAAAGATGAAGTTCTTGCAATGTCGAAAACGAAGATTGCACGAGCCATTTTGAGTGGTCTTGATCCTACAACACGCGCCCAAGCAGATTCTTCGATACTGCGAATCTCAGCCAAAGTGTTGGACGATTGGAAGAATACGAAGTCACGGCCTCTCACAGACGAACAACTTCGAAGGAAGTTCTTGATGCTCCGTCGCGAAACCAGGATCATCATTGCCGCGGAGCATATCACGGACTGGAAGAAGTACAAAGAGGCTGTTGATGATAGATCGAGGCTTCTAGCAAGCAGGTTCAAGGTACGATCTCACGCGACCAAGGCGGCTGAGTACGACATCATGACAGACATTATGAGTGATCTCGAGGCAAATGTAAAGTGCGAATGGTTGGAGAGAGCCGAAGCACTGGCCTTGGCTATGATGGAGGGGTTTGTCAATGGGACGGAAAAGCTCCGCGTCACAGGGCAACTCACGGCTGAGATGGCAAATTTCACACCCCATAGCAGAGACATCTCCAATGAGCCAGAAGCATCATCAAGCAAGATCGCAAACAAAGGAAAGAAAGTTGCCTCTCTTCGACACGAGAAGGAGAAAGCTCAAATGGCCCTTTCTAGGAACTCCAGCGAGGAGGACTCTCTCTCAGGTACAGATGATACCTCAGCAGACGAATCATCTTCCGAAGAAGACGATGATACTGAAGACGAGACCGAGATGCCTGTCGCAAAGCGTCCAAAGACAACCTCTGCTACTCGGCCAAGCGGAATTTCCAAAGGACGAAAGGTGAGACTTTAGAAGATTGTGGCTGATCCCAGTCATTTTTTCCTTTCCAAAGACTGACAAACTCTAGATCATGAAGTCACTTTGAACGTTGAAATGACGGTGCTCGAAGAGCATTTGAGAGAAAATTGACTGGTTGCATAGAGTATGAGGCAGTGGATTGAACAAGATGGACTAGATCGATATTCGAAAATTTCTCACTGATTGAGATGTTTAGGAACATGTAAGAATTGTGCTCTCATGTCAAGATTTTTGTACACAGAATCAAAAGAACTTGCATCACGATTCATTGCACTTTACTGTATGACTCAGATAGTAACGAATCTCCTATCGTCAGCTCTGAGACTCCCAAAGAGCCACTTCAAGCCTACACTCTAGGCTTTTCCCAAACAAGCTCGATCTTCTCGCCTTTGACACTTGAATTGAACCATTCGTATATTTCAACCTTCTCTTGACAAGCTCTTGCACCTCGTAGGACATCTCTTTCTACAAGTCTCTCTGCACCCATGTAAAGTTCAAAAGTGGCCAAGTTTCTGGCGATGCAAGCTCTAGAACCAGCTCCGAAGGCGAAGAAAGCCTTTGTTGCTTCAGGATTCTCTTGCAGCCATCTCTCAGGATAGAAACTGAAAGGATCGGGAAACACTTCTTCATTAAAGTGCAATTCGTGCGCCGAGCATCCGACAATTGTTCCAGCCGGAAAGTTGGTGCCTTTGAATGTCCATCCGCTATCTGGGACAACGTGGGGAAGGCGAGTCGGATTTGCCATGCTGATTCGTAGAGACTCTCTGACGACTGCAGAAAGATAGGGAAGGGCTTGGACATCTTGTTTCTTCTCTCCGGCATTGGCGTTATCTAGAATCTCCTTCCGAAGAACCTCATACCTACCAATTCAAATCAGTAATAGCAAACAGCTACGAAAAGAAGGCATACTTGTCTGGATTCAAAGCCATCTGTCGACAAAGGGTAGCGAAATTCATTCCAGTCGAATCTGTACCAGCAAATATAAGATCTTTGCATTGTGCTTTGACCTCTAATCTTTCGACCAACGGTATAAGACGGCCGGGATAAGACGAAGATCCCGCAGGAGTTTGGTCAACCAGATTATCAACAAATTTATCAACAACCTCCATTGACGTAGCTGTGTGTTCATCAGGCATGCATTTCTCAATTGTCCATTCCAACCAGATGAAGACCTTTGTTGGCAAGTAGAAGAATCTCCCAACTGCTACGAAGGCATCTACAAATGCAGAGACAGATAGACGAGGGCCTTTTTCGGATGTGCCATTGTAGTTCTCTTGGAATAGATGGGTCGAAACAGCATCTACAGCTAAACTTCTGGCAATGTTTAGAATGTTGACAGGGCGGCCCGTTCTTGCCTCCTCTTCCATTCGGTCGACCATTCGATCGGCACATCCATATAGCGCAGCTTCATTCTCTCTGATGCTCTTCGTCGAGAACATAGGCACAACAGCTTTCGCCCTTCGAGCTCTATGTTCAACATCTGTTGCTGAGAATATAGTCTTGTGTCCATCAATATCGAAATTGGCGTAGCATGGCGCTTTCAAAAATCCACCTTTCGATACGTAGATGGGCGCCATCGCATCTGCATCGCTGATGTCAACTTCGTTCGGAGAGACTCGAACGTATGGTCCGTATTCAGTGTGGGCTTTGTGGATGATAGTCGCTTCATCTCCGATGTATGCGTGGTAATAGAGCCATAGGGATGTAATTTTGGCAAGGAAGGGCCCAGGGATATGTGCGATTGGGTGGAAGGCCAAGTGGTATATGCATCGAGAGAAGAGGAGCCCGGTCGAGAGGACGAAGAGGGTTGTCAATGGATATTCAAGGAGCACATCGAGGAGTGCCATGATTTAGGAAGCTGGCGGACAATCAGTTGAAGGTTCTGGGAAGAGGCAGAGGTTAGAGGGAGGATGGGAGTCATAATGTAACTATTTTGGCGTCCAAGGGTGAATGAGTCGATAAGAGGCAAAATTACTCACTACGCAACTCCCAATGAAGCCTCCATATCTCCAGAAGTGGGCTTCGATCTGCCATTGTCCGGCCGGCATTTTATCAGAAGTGGGATACACAATGGCGGGCGAAGTCTGAGATATCGTCGTGTTTCGATATCGTTGTGCTCCGCGCTCAAGTGGGGTCCGTGCGAGAGCCCTCGTCAACACAATCTTCTCCAATGGATCACTCTGCATTACGAACCCAAGATTATCTTGATGTTGAGAATTCACGTTGGCTTCGAGCGAGGCTGAGTCTCCCTGAGAATGCATACATGTTTACTTTTTGACATTTCCTAGCTGGAGAAGCCAAAGAAGTATACTGCAAATATCAAATCCATGTCTACCCTACTGATGTATCGTCCCTTTCGAGCGAAAATTTACATCTTTCCTCCTTCGCAATGCATCTCATCGTACTCCCCTCAATATTCCCCTTCATAGTATCATTGCCAACAGTGCTAGTCCAGCCACGAGTCCTGTGGCAAAAGACAGAGACAGCTTTGGAGAAGCATTCTTATGTTGATTCGAGGCAGACGTTGTCGTTGGTGAAGTCTCCGTTGTGGAGCCAGTAGTCACTGGCACTATGAGAACAAAACTCGGAGAACTTGTCTCAGCTAAACACATTGTCAGGATGTCCAATTTCATAGACGTTTGGAGTGTTCGGTCTGTACTCACTGGAAAGAACCCCAGAGATAAATGAGATTAATTCGCTGGTGGTAGAAATCTCAGCGCTGGTGGTCTCGGCAATGCTTGAATTTGGCGTCATGTAAACATGAGCAGTGACGATTGTTGAAGCAGGCTTGACATTGACTGTGGTGGTAGTTGCCATCATGGAGGCAGAATTATTTCCAGAAAGTGCAAGGGACATATTCAGATTGGCAATTGTGGGTGCTCAGTAAAGGGTACTTTTTGAAGTACTTATGTTACGACTACTGTTTTCTGACAGCATATTTGAATTCAATTCGGTTAGATTGGAGTGAGGATTGACGATTGGAATAGCTTTGCCAAACTTGTAGAGCAAACAAGTGGGATTCCGCGATCCCGCAGTACTAATCCAATGTCCATGTTCAGATGTTGTCAGGAACCCGAAATGCAGGTTCCCGTCCGAGATGCAAAATGGCAAACATGGCCGGAACCAGCTAATTCCATGATCTAAATTGAAAACCTCGCTCTGAATTCAGACGTTCATTTCTTTGAAGTCAAGAACTAGTGTTTGGTACTTTGTAATGACCGCACCTCATCGCCAAAGGGAAGCAAAAGGGGCGTTCGCTTCCGCTTAAGTTGCCAAAAAATAGGATGTGAGACAGGTTGAAGCTATTGGAGGATGTCCAGTATTAGGGTCACTTGGAAAAGCCCTGATTGACAAGTTCCAAAAGTCTTCTCATCTTAAGTCCAATCTCGATTTGTACTAATTTGTGACAGGGTTCAATATCTGCGCCTCTCTTCCGGCTCGGCAAACAGTCACTTCGGCTTGCACAGCCACCAATGTGAGACCATCAGGAGCAATCAACAAACTGAATTGATTCCATCTCGATCTCCGCCATCACTTACATTCAATCGCGCTTCAAGATCCAATATGTCGCTCTCCACTGAACAAACAGAAAACGCACAAAGACCAAACCCCTTCACTACACGTGTTGCCCATCTCGAGAAAACTCGCAAAGTCGAAGTGTGGAACGAAAGATGGCCTGCAGAAGAGTCTATTCTTCGATATGAGCGTTCTCTCCTCATCCCAATAATTAAGGTCACACCTCCGCCACACGTCCACTTGTACTTTTGGAGTGTACAGCATAATCAACGAAATCAGCGTCCTGACGCTTCTGTTCTATCTGAAATTCTTGCTCCATCTTTGAATGTGAAGGTTGAATTTCCAGTCATGGTACAGAAAGGGATCAATCGAATGGTTTGGGAGGAGAAAAAGGTGGGGGCAGGATTCCTACTATTCTCCGGACTCCCAACAGAAATACGAATCCAGATCTGGGAATCCGAGGTTCGACGACCAAGAGTGATCGAAGCTCAATATTCTATCGGCTACGGGATACCAACATTTATTGGAGGTTGTACGAGTACGAAACGTTCACCACTTCTGAGCACGTGCCGAGAAAGCAGAGAGATTCGTTTTGCAAGAGAAACATGAAAGTCTTGTTCCGAGGTATAGAGAACGATGGTGAGCTTTTCGCGACACCCGAAGAAGAAACCAATGCTGATATTTCGACAGGTTGAATCAAGCACCTCAGGAAGTTTTCTCTTCTGGGTCAGCAGGAAGACTCGAATTCGTCCCTGAGAGAGATACGATCTTCTTGCGCTCAATTGACAAACATGGAGACTTCCCACAGTTGCCTACTTCGCACTTCCGCGGTCTTGATAAGATTCAACATCTTGCTCTCTGCCTTCATCGTACCTCGCTCACGTTGCACAATTCTTGGAAAAATGTTCTTGTGTCGCAATTCGTCAATTTGAAAACATTGAGTTTCATGTTAGGAGGTCAAGATCAAAGTTGGGTTGACGATGGCCAGATTGTCCTTCGAGATTTGGAAGAATGGTTCTTGGATGGTAGACCAAGGCAGATGCGGGTTGATGATTGGCTGCTGGATATTAGTGAGGTGGGACAGTACTTGAGTGGTGGTATGTTCGATAATGGGATAAAGAGTAGGAGTCGACCAAAGCAAATGACCTGGGGAATGAAACCAGGATGGGTGAGAGCTGATCATTGGGAAGGTCTCAATGTGCGAGTTGTTGCGTGGTCCAAGGAGTGATCATGGTACCTGGGAAGACTTTTCTATTGGAGAAGTAGTTGAGAGTTAGGAAAAACTTGCCAAACCAGCAGAAATGTTTCAGAACAATTGCCGCGATTCGAGGCAGGAGAGTATATTTTGGTCCAAAACCAAGACTCAACTCATCAAAGGCAACACTGCAACGTAAGACGACTCACCACATGGGAAGGTGCACCGGGCAGGGCTCCGATTCGATCCACTCGGTAATTTTTGTGTGGTGGGAGAACGTGGCGAGTGATCAACGGTGAGCCTCGTCCAATGAATATTTCCAACAACAATCTAGATGCCAACATGAGGCTGGCAATCAAGGAAGATAACGACTTTACAGCGCATCTCAGGAGGGTGAGGAAATTTACGTGATTGGGGACAGCTGCAGCAACCGCCTCATAGCTTCTATCCACAGTTTATATCCGGATGCATATGTGTGAATGCAACCCTCCATTGTTGATCAAGACGACTGATTGACAGAAGCCGAAAATTGATGGACTCCAGCGGCATCTTAGAGTCTGTCATTGGAAAGGACTTTGCAGCTACAGCATCAGCGACAGCTGGCACATGCGATGCAAGGTCATTCATTCCATTCCTGCGACTCAGAAGACTCTTATATGTCAAAACTTCCGCACATGGGCACGAGAGTCCGCAGTTCAAAATATCCAAAACATAACATGCAATTCAGCAAATTCCTGTCAGCTTTGTTTTTGTCTCGAGTTCCGTACGTCTTGTTACCTTTGCTTCTTGAATTATAGCACAACGCCTACTTGGGTGCGCTTGGACTGCTTTCGAGACATCGTACGAAAATCAAATACAGCCGAGATGGCGGGAGAAAAAGTAAAGCTGGGTACGCAGATGAAGGATTTCATCAACCTGGGAAAGAAAATCTTCCAGGACAAAGAAGTCAGCGACTACGATCAACTTCTCGACGATAAGAAAGAGTTGGAAGAGAAGCTAGAAGCTAAGAACCAGGAGTTTGACGCCAAGGTCGAAGAGGTTGCTGCTTTGCAAGCAGCTGCAGATGAGAGAGTAGCAAAGGCGGATGCCAAGACTGAAAGCTTATTTGAGGAGTTCCAAAAGAGGTATAAGGAATGGGATGTGGCGACAAGCAAAGAGTCGAACCTGGAAAGTCAAGTCGCTGAGCTGAAGGAGGAGTTGAAGCAAGCGAACACAAAGGCCGAGAATGCTGAAGCCTCAATGATTATGCTGCAGGACAAATTGTTTGCCCGTCAGAATGCCCTTGCCGAGATGGAAAAAGACTTGAACTTGTTGAAAAAAGAGTTGAGCAGTAGGAACAGAGAGTTGAAGGGAACGTTAGGGGAGCTTCAAGTCAGTCAAGCTCAGATGGAGAGACACAGAATCGAAATAGGGCTGGAGTACCCACATATGGAAGACCTGTAAGTCACTGATCACTATGAGAGATGCAGGTCTAATTTGCCCTAGCGCGAACAACTTTCGAAACCTATCGGACGGTTGTCATAGGATGGCAAAGAGATTCTTTTGCACCGAGCTACCTTCAGAGTTCTTGGCAGTAAGAATTTCCGACATTTCTTAGGACATTAGTTGTTGCTGACCACCTTAGAACGACCCATGGAAGCAACTTGAACCCTTCATCAAGCTTGCTCCACGAAGGATACCCATGTCGAATTCCATGGCTGCGCGGTGCCTTAGGATGGCGACTGCAGAGAGAATCATAGCAGACAAGCTATGTGCCGATATGTTTCGACAGTATTATCTACCTCACTCAACACCAGCTCGCGAACTCATCGATGACATAACAAGACGCCTTCACAAAAAGAACCCTTTCAAGGAAGCTGTCTTTCGCTTGCAATTGCTTGCCGCTTACGAGCTTGACGAGCAGAGTTTTACTGCAAGTCTCATCAAGTTCGCAACAGACGATGTTCTCAAGGTTCTTGATCCTCTCCTCATAGCTTTGGGTACAAAAGATGAGTTCCAAGCCGCATTGGCAAAGTTATTTGAAGAAGCCGTCAAGCTTTGGAAGTTGGTCCAGCGAAGTGAGGCGAAGGCTTGGGTGACCAATGATCCTGAATATGGTCGGCACAACGATGATCAAGATGGATGGGACCAGAATGAAGAATACGATACTGCAGTGGGATTGACGAATGAGCAGATGTCTCATATTCCTGACCAGGTTGAACCTATAATGTCCCTGTTTCCCCAAGTGTCGATCGGAAAGGAAGTGATCTGTCCTGGTTGCGCTCTCTGGTCAGACCAGAACACGGTGGTCGCTGCCAGCATAGAGTTTGGTCAGACAAACTCACGCACTGCACTTCAAGGTCGATGGATGACTCGCAGAGATTCTGAACGACGAAGACTGAGTTCTGGTGGTTCGCCAAGGAAGGCAGAGGACTTTTCAAAGCCGCCATTAAGTCCATCGGCAGCTTATCATTCGTTCCTCGAGCGTGCTGACAGTCGTCCTGGAAGTAGGAGGCCATCACCACCTATCCGCAAAGCAACGCCGCCAGTTTCTCCTCCTGCGTCACCACCGGCGTTGCAGCCCATCGAGGTTGGTGGGGATTGATGAGGTGTGTGTTGGAGGGTCAAAATATATTTTCAGAAGTATGCAACTATAACGGAGTTTGGGTTTGACATGCAAAATACAGCTGCAAGGTGGATTCCGGGGGAAATGATACTGCTCGCTTATGGTCTCTTGTTGTCTCTACTCTTGGCATAAATCGTTCTACGTTTCTTAAGCACTTGTTAAAGCAATTTCAAGCCAGCATAAATCATAGCATCGTGCTGCTGCAGAAGGCGTGCAAAAGTCGTTAGTAGTCAATTGTCTGTCCGCAAGCGGAACTCGCTTGGACATTCCAAATGCCAGCCACAGGTATCAAATAGCAACTAACTTTTCGAGTAGACATGATTGACACGAGTACTGATTATAATTTCTTCAACTTCAATTCTAAATCCATATTTCATCTTTTTGTCACGAGTCAATCGTACGCTTCCAGCCACAGTGGCGTCCGGTTACACAACAATACAGGGTTTCAAAACCTTTCGACTACAGTAATCATATGCCAAAACATAACAATTTGGTGGTCTGACTTTTTCGTCATCATCCGTTTTATTTATTGCTAACCTATAAGGCAATCCCCATAATTCTTCTTGGACCTCTTATTCAATGACACATCGCACCGATAATGGCTGAAACGGAAGATTCGAGTCACGTGTCGAAGGCTGTAAAAGCGGAAGAGGCAATAATCAAAGCCGAAGGTCTAGGGTTTGTACTATACATCTTCTGTTCGTAGCTGTGCTAAGTTTTGTTGCAGTAAAGAATGGTTTGCTATCACAGCGTGAGCATCTTCTCCCCTCAAGCCTTAGTCTCAAGCCTTGATGTTTGATCCTTCCTCTCTATATTCGTTCGCTTACAGTTCTAAAAGTTTTCCCCTCTTTGCCGGAACTTTCGGTCCTATCGCAACAGCATTGAATGTGTGTGCTTTGGTACAGGCATGGAGGTGCGAGAATCCATATGCGACAGACCAGAAGGATGTCCATGATCCAGCATGGTGAGATCCATACGAATATCAAGAGAAGACAAACTAACGGGATTTCAGGCTTACGGGCATCAACGCCATTTCCCTTGCTTTTGGAGTCATAGCCAACCTCGCCATCATGTTCGTGGGCGGAAAGAAAGGCTCACATGCTGCAAGGCACAGCTTCTATCTTGTCCTCGTTACCATCGTCGGAGGTAGCCTGGCTTCGATCATCCTCGTTGTCTTGGTCATTGTTGCTTCAATGACCTTGCAGCTTCCTTCACCTCCCAATCATGCTTTTACGGAAGCATACTACTACGCGATCATGGCCGCCGCTCTGTACTTCATCACTTCAGTGTTTATAGTCTACACAGCATACATGCTTTGGGAGACTCTCAAGACTCGTAAAGGAAGACGAGAGCTCTCGAAGCAATTCGCTGGCCAGCATCGAAGTCTAAAGATACTAACCATTCTCTTCCTCGTGTATCTTTTACTCGGAGCTAGAGCGTTCGCCAAGATTGAAGGATGGAGGTACTTGGATGCAGTATTCTGGGCAGATGTTACCATTTTGACAGTCGGATTCGGAGATTTCAAGCCCACCACTCATCTTGGAAAATCTCTACTCATCCCCTTTGCTCTCTGCGGCATTTTCATACTCTTCTTGGTCGTATACTGCATAACTCAGGTGGTGTTTGAGCCTGGGAAATCTATGTGGGAAATTCATATCAGGGACCAAGCGCGTCTGAAAAGGATCCGCGAGCGAGAAGGACGCAAACCCAATAAACATTCCCTGTTTGGATCTCGATTTCAGGACAGCAGCTCTAGCGAAACGAACAACGGTGTTGCTGGGAGTACCTCTCTGCATACTGGAACAGTGCTCGATCATAAAAAGCAACAACTTCTAGCAGAAAGAGCAGCGCGAGAACAAGATTTTCTTACAATGCGCTCAATACTCATGCAAGCCAAACGCAGACGCATCTTCTTCTCCATGTACCTATGGTTAGGGTTTGCAGTATTCCTCTGGTTTTTCGGTGCTGCTCTCTTCTATTTCTGCGAACGAGATCAAGATTGGAGCTACTTCACTTCGATATACTTTACTTTTATATCACTGATGACGATTGGATATGGAGACGATACCTTACATAGCATGCCAGGGAAAGCCGTTTTCGTACTTTGGAGTCTCATTGTTGTTCCGACACTTACGATGCTCATCTCCACTGGAACTGAAGCTATTGGAGTTCCATACTTGCTTAACATGCAAGAGTGGTTCAAGAGACGAGTATTGAAGAGAGAAAGAACAGCGGGAGGACATATGAAGAAGATGACAAGTCGTACGTATCACTCCCCTCTATGTTGAAATGTTATTGATGCAAATATCTAGACATCTTCAAATCCCCACTATCTAAAGACGCTCTCGGCCGTGTCACCCATAACAATCACGATAAAAACCACCTCCGGATGCGTGCCATAAAATCAATAACTCGAGACCACCTCCAGCACCAAACCTCGAACTCGCAACCAGATTACAGTTTCGAAGATTGGGAATACATGTTCTATCTCATGGATATTTTGGAGCCTCTTTCAGACGACGAGCCGGAAGCCACGAGTGTGAAAGAGAAGAACGAACGACCGATGTATGGACAGAAAGGAGAACGAAGTAAGGAAAGAAAGACAGGAATGGAAGAATGGCAAGATGGTGCTCAGATTCCCGATTGGCTACATGGTATGAATCCTTTGAATGTCCCAGAACCAGTCACAGAATGGATGCTCGAGGCACTTATGGAGAAGCTTGAAAGCGAGTTGGCTGAGTTAAGGAGGAGGGAAGGGAACACGAATGTCTCTGAATGATAGTTGGTTCTGTTTGATTTTGTCATGATACCACTGCAGCGAATGCAATAATAGGAGTTTTGGATGAGGCACCTAATGTAAGAATAAGAGAAAGAACCTGATTGATTGGGCTTGTACCACTATTATGAATGAAAAATGTGTGACGGAACTTGCTTGATCGCAGACTCTATTTCTGTTTGCCTAGTTGTGACTTTTACCATGATTTAAGCGCCTCTCCAAAGCCAGTCAATGGCAGACTCCGTTTGATGCAACCACCCAACCACCCGGCTACCGTACATTCCTCATCATGCATGACTCATTCAAAATGTCAAGCTTCTTACGCATCCTTTACGACCTCGGTTTTTGGAGTAGGACCATGCAGAATGTCCAACAGCTCATGTAGAGCGCTATCCTTTTTTGATAGCGGGTCGAGCAATCCACCTTCCTGCCCTTCATAAGGCTTGCCAATACTCTTGATGATTCGCCATGAACGACGGAACTCGCCTCTGATGCTCACAATACCATTGTGTGTCACTGTTCTGGCAACGTTATGATCGAGCTCAAATGGATCTTCAATGGCGAAAAGGTATCTATGGCGAATTTCCTTGGTTTCCTCCAAAGTCTTCATTTGTGGCCTAGGAGTTTTAGGAGTCTTCACTTCTGTACCGTCCTCGGTGAATTCTACCGTGGTATCTGTAGGCGAGGGTGGCTTTGCTGTCAATGGTGTTGGTGGTGCTGCAACTATAGTCGTCTCAATTACCGTCTTCGCACCAACCCAACCCTTGTCTTGCTTGGTCAAGATGCCAGCAGGTGTTCGTAAGCTCAGGACCTCTCTGCCCCAATCAAAACCTCTGCCTGGAACACTGCTCATTTGTCCGTTTTGCGCAAAATACTCGAAAAACCCGCGAAGGAGCAGACCGATAGAGTCATGATTGTGATTGAGCATCTTTCGATCCGCAAGATTCTTAATCTCGGCTTCATTACGCCAGAAGCGAACATCTCGACCTTGGCACATCGAACGTGCCTCGATCTCGGCTGGTGAGAGCGTTCTGGGAGGCTCCTTCTGGATGAGTTGCAGATTCGGACAGACAAAGGGCTGAGCTACATTGACCAGATAATGCAGGACCATGAGGACATAACCATAGCTGCTGAGTGTCCCGCGATATGGTGTGTTTATTCCGCGCTTCTTTGCCCAATGCTTCACAAATAGTATCATGGGCTTAACACGAGGGTCACTGACAGAGTAGCAGCGTAAGAGTTGAGTGTTGTGGATAGCAAGCTGGGCTGAGAAATTGATATCGCATTGAATTCCAGCATCATTCTTTGGGAATTCTAAGTGGTCCTTGTATCGGTCTCGTGGTTTGCTGGGTGATATCTCTGTAGGATCGGGTAGGCTTCGGATCTTGGCAAGTAGAGCATCGTCGATGCGAGTCGCAGGTCCTTCACTATTGTCCAGTTTCAAGTTTCGCAGTAAAGCAATGTACTGCTCAACATCTTCTCGATATTGATCAAACAGACTAGATTTCAAGGCATGCTCATAATCGATCGCCAGATGTAAAGCTCGGTGTTGGATAGCAACTCGTTGTAGAGTTAGTCCAGTCAGGTCGCAGTTTTGAAGGGCTGCACGGATTTGCTGGTTTCCAATGCCCTTGATGTATTGTGCAACAAGCAGCGGAGTAAATTCGCTACTCAATGCCTGGTCCTTCCCACACAAGTCATCCATGATTCTTTGGGCTCTAGTATGGTAGAATACCGGTTCTTCATGCTGGATTTGTTCCAAGAATGCCAGTTGCAGAGAAGAGATTCTTTTGAGTTTCTCAGAGGCGAAGTACAACTGTTTGTTATACACTACCGGATCCGTCACATTTCCAAGAACGCCCTGCATTGCTCGCCATGACTGCACCCACTCGGAATATTCAGACTCTCGGGCCTCGGTTGATTCCAAAACAGTACGTGAGTCCCAAGCCATGGCCAACCGCTCGCCCTCGGCTTGAGTAACAACACCTTGAAGTGAGCGTAGCAAGAGAGGCATCGAGGAGTCGAATAGAGGAGATATCGATTGATAAGTCTGCAATCTATATGACAATTCTTTCGATGACAGACCTATGATGAATTCTTTGCATACACTGTTGAGTATATCGCCTTCTTCATCGCTGAGGGGTGGTGAGCTGCCCATCACGTCCCGACCACCTAGCTTCCTCAAGTAGCGTTTGGCTAGGTTGTGGTAATCACCTAAAGATTGGTTATGTTTTTGCTTGAGAGTTGAAACTTTATCAGCTTGCATAACTACTTTGGTCTCGTGGGGTACGTTGACAGCAGAGTGATCGGCTTTGACTTTCTCTGATGTATCTTTGGAAGTAGTCATGGTTTCGGTATCGAACTCATCTTCATCCTCCTCCTCGTCACCTCTGAAGCCTTTTTCCCATTTCAGACGTTCTTCATTCAAGTCGGCAAGTAGCTTCGGGGGAGGCTTCTGACAAAGTTTGATGATTGGAACTCTGGTTCTAGTGAGAAGCCGAGCACCATAACCTAAGCTCAAAAGCTTCTTTTCGAGTATTCTAGGAATTGGAGATTCTGGAGAGTCGGGAGATGGGCGAGATTTCGGAGTAAGCAGTGCGAGGTCCATATCCGAAGCTTTTGTTGCAAATCCGGATCTCATGCTGCCAAAACATTGTAGTTCGACAGATTGAGAGTTAAACTTTTCATTCTCCAGTTCTTGTTGCTCGTACTCTGTGATTGCATCTCGGCACGCGTTCTCAATCAGTGCTCTAAAGGCTTCTTTCTCTGCTTCTTCTTCCACATCAACACCAACCTCAGGAACACTGCTTTGAACCAAACGATCAAGATGAGCGCTCTGTGATACAGTATCATCTGAATAGTGACCGGTTCCTCGTCCTCGACCACCCATATTTTGGGGTCCTGGTTGGTAAAGCTGTCTGTTTTGAGGTGGCGGCGGTCGAGAATAATGGTTTGATTGTTGAGGTTGCTGGAATTGACCTTGACCTTGTCGAGACTGAAATGGAGGACTAGGGCCCGGTTGATAGTGAGGCATAGGTGATTGTGGAGACCCTTGAGGAAATGGAGATCGAGGAGAATATGGAGATCCAGGTCCACCCTGTTGGAAACGCGGAGAATATTGTTGGTGACGAGATCTTTGGTTTTGGTGCATCTGACCACGGTTGTTAAATTGTCCGGGGCCCCAAGGCGTGCTAGGAGCAGGTCCATAAGGTCCAGGTCCGCGTCCTGCTTGAGCTCCATGAACGGGTCGAGGATCGATAGGGATCGACAACTGAGAATTCATTTGTCTTCGTTGGGCCTGATTTGGTCTTTTACTTTTGGATGTTTGGGCGACAGTAGAGGCGTCCTGAAGACGCGTATCTTGAGGAGGAACATTTTCCGAATAAGGGACCATATTATCACTGTCGATTCCTGACTGCTGTGAAGTCGATAGGGAGCCTCCATTTGTTTCTGGGTTGGCGTTTGCATTACTGAGGATCAATCCACGAAGACGGTCCTCGAGGTTTGCACCTTCTCCAGGCGCGTGAGGAGGCATAGTTGAATGATCCTTCGAGTGCGATGTGTCTCAAATAAGCCGATGAGAAGTTTGAGCGGCTTCGCGATTCGACGATACTTGTGCAAGTTGAAAACTCGATCATGTGACTACCGAGTCCAGTCGGATTTGCGCTGGATGACTAGGTATCTCAAAAGTAGGTTGTGTTGGAAGACGCGAAAGGAAAGAGATTGCCGAATCAATCTTGGGAAGTTTCGTGTGTCTTGATATGATAGGAGATGCCAGCTCTATATTCACCTTTTCTCGTGTAGCCCGTTTTCGATTGGGTAAAACTGAACGAGTACTCAAGACGTTGAACAGTCTGGTCCATTGTCCACACAGAAACGAGTACTAAACGATCGGAAGGCCAGGACCGACTTTGATTACTGGTGAAGTTTCCAAGAATCAATTTGCTATTTGTGCAAAATAAAAGTCAGCAGTCGTTCATCTGTTCAAGTTCCCAAATCTGTAAATCATCAGCCTAGTCAAGGCTGTTCGTCTAACCTATCTGGGATTAGCGCGAGTGGGTTGTGACTGCCGCCCCGTCAGCCTAAGAGCCTCAATACCGATCGTTCATCTCACAAGCATTCCTCAAGTGACAAAGAAACTGCAACATACAAACACCACAACTCTGATCACCAGATATCCTTTCTTCGACTACGCAGTATTCGAACCGACCTCCAACCATCTTCCGATTCGCACTCTAATCTCCACAGAAGCCAGAGCGCGTTTCCAGGGTCCCACTTTCATTCTATGACGGAGGTCTAGGTTGGCACAAGGTGTTGGTGAATGCCACTTGGGCGCACCTGCGCGGATTGTCGAGGCGATCAGGAGTGACCAGGACGATTTCTCTACATTACGAAAGATGAGCGCCTCTCCCTCTGGTCTGTCGAACGGACAGACTCCCACTCCCAATGGAGGGCCACCACAGTACATTCGAAAGGCAAAGGCTGCCGATCCTCTCCGTCCACGAAAGAAGCCAGTAAAGCGACTTCAACCACCTCAAAAAGGCTCTATAATCAAGCCCAATGGCTTGAAGCCCGCTGGACGACCTCCGAACCAAATTCCTCGAAATGGCATTGCGCCCGCAAGCAATGGTCAACTTCCAACTCTCGTGAACAGTTCAGGTCTGGTCGCAGAACCCGGTGGATGGACAAATCCGCCAACGGGAGAGTACATGGACTTTCCGTTATTCACAACCAAGCGAGCTCTGCGCGAAGGGTTGAGATATCATGTTGCTAGGTTTTCTTCGAAGAAAGATGTTGATCCTAGCAATCAAGAGGAGTTCACACGGCCAGTGGTTCTGCATAGAAGAGATCCGAAGCAACCTGCTCCAGGAAAGGGCATGAAGGATGAGGATATGATGCCCGAAGGTCCAATAGATTCGAAGGAACGAGAACGTCAAGAGATATTGAAGGCAGAGAAGGAGAAGCAACGAGCTGCTGATCTTGCACAAATTGCGCCGACGGGAAACAATGCTTCTGCTATGGCGGCGAAGAAGAATCAAGCATTCAGGAACGAGAAGACTACCCAGGTTTACCGTCTAGACAAGACTGCAGAACAGAAGAAGGCATCTGATCTCAGATATGAAGAAGCTCTTCCTTGGCATCTCGAAGATGCTGATAACAAGAATACCTGGGTTGGCAATTACGAGGCGGCACTTTCTGATACCAATGTCATTTTCTTCATCGATGGTGACAAATTCAAGATGATTCCGGTTGAAAAGTGGTACAAATTCACAGCCAAGGCTCAGTTCAAGACATTAACTTTGGAAGAAGTCGAAGCTCAGATGAATAAGAAATATGTCGCCCCAAGATGGATGCCCGAAAAGGCTGCCGAGATCAAATCCCAGGGAGGTGGTGGTGCTCACAAGTTATTCACGGTCAAATCAGAAAGTAACACCTTCAAGAACTCCACGAAGAGAGAGACGGAAGATATGGATGATCTTGATTTCGCCGAGGATGATCTGTTCCAGGACGATGATGAGCAGGTCACCATGGAACCAGATAACGATGAGGAGACAAAGGATGCACAAGAACGTATCAAGCGCGAGCAACTCGGTGCCAACGTCTTCGATCAAGCGAATGAGGCTGATGTCGATATGGAGTTTTTGAAGGAAGAAAAGGAGGCTGAAGAGCAGAAGAAGTTGAGCAAGGGTGTCAAGAAGATGTTGAAGAAGCGTGAACAAACCCATCTCTACGACAGTGACTCGGATCATCCGTACTCTTCATCGGTATGTATTCACATTCAGATGTTTTCGTTTGCTAATTTTATACAGAGCGAGGATTTCACTTCGGATGAGGAAAAGCTGAACGAACAGGACAAGAAGAAGGAAGAGGAAGCCAAGGCCAAGGCAAAGGAAGATGCTAAACTTGCTTCTGGTACATCTTCCAAGGGTACAAATACACCATCTGGTCGTCCCAAGCACACAGATCCGTTGAAGAAGAAGAATTTGAAGCGACCGGGCTCTCCCAATCGCTCTGAATCGAGTGGAAACGAGTCGAGCAGGAAGAAGATCAAGAAGAAGCACTCATCTCAACCAATTAGTGCTACTTCTGCTCCTGGCTCTCGACAAATTTCGCCTGCTCCTTCGGGTTCTGGAAGCGTTCGCAAGTCATCAATCGTCAAGCTTTCCGTTAATTCGTCTAAGCTCTCCGATATCCAATCAGCACCACCTAATCCAAGTCCAACTACCGCTATGAGTGATGGAGAGGCTACCGGAGGTGAAATGTCTGATGGTGGCACCAAGAAGACCAAGATCAAGCTTCGTATCGGCGGTACTTCTCCTACAGGGTCTAGAGCAGGTAGTCCGGCACCAGGCCGTTCTGCTGGAGGTAGCCGTGCTGGCAGTCCTGCTAACCAACCACAAAGTATGAGGCCATCTAATGCTTTTCGCATATTTTCTCGCATATATTCTTCATCTGTTGAAAACCTTAAGAAAAGAAAATTGCTAACAAAACAAAACTTAGGTGGCACAGCAGGTTCACCTCTGGCTCAATCACCTGGCTCAGGACCAATTCAACCTCACGAAATCGTTGCTGCACTTCCAGCTGCAGGTATCAAGATCGGCGAATTGATGAAGATATTTCAACGAAGAGTTGGTGATACCAAAGGACAGACTGATAAGAAGGAATTCATCAGACTTGTCAAGGAAAATGCTGCATTTGGTCCGGATAAGCTTCTACGACCGAAATAGATGGTTTGGGGTTGTCGCTTGATTCAGATTGTATGCAATCATTTGGTGGTCTATCATTCGGTGGTCAATCATTCGGTGGTCATTCATAGAATTCAAGCAGACGATGTCACGACCGGTCTGGTCTGTTTGTACTGTACGTTTTTGATACCAGCATGAGAAATTCGAGGTATTGGGGTGGAATACCTTGGAGGAGTGCAACAAAAAGCACTAGAATAAAAAACAATGAATTAATTATCTTTATTGCAATGACTACTCGTCCATCTGCCACGAATAATCTAGATCTTTGTTTCTCGTCTTACGATTCATGGCCTTGAATCTTTCAGACTCCCACCCATTTCCTCTATCCACTCCGTCCCATTTGTGTCCAGGCCTGATCCCGTAACGATTTGGTGCTGCAGCTCCTTGGTAGAGTGGCTTCCCTGAGACGCTCTTCCCTTTACTCTTCTTGACAATAAATTGTGCCGCAGGATCATTCCACCTCTCAACTTCCTTCATCTCCTTATTCATATCCTCGTCATCCACTTTTCGTGCCAACGGCATAAACCTGGCCTCATCCAATTCTTCTTTCCTCCGCTCCTTCTCCGCCCTCTGCACATCTCCTTTCTGCATCTCTAACTCCTCCCTCTCCTTCCTAGCTTTCTCATCTGCTTCCCTCCTCGCCTCCTGACGCCTCATACTGATATCAATCCTCCTGCCAGTCGCATCTCGATACACAGTCTCCTCACCCTTACCCTTCCCAGCTTTCGCACCCTGTTCCCTCTCCCAAGCAGCAGCTTCCTCTCTCTTCCTCTTCTCAAACTGCCTCGCGACATCACTGGCACTCTGTAACCCGGCATGTGTCCCATCTCCCATCTTCACCACCCCATCTTCTACCACAGGTTCCTCATCCACATCCATAGCACTTTTCTCCGCCGCTGCTTCACTGATAATCCTATCAGCAGCATCTTGTTCCGCGTCTTTTGGTTGGAGAGCCGGGATACCGACTGTTTTCCAAGCAGTCTTTTTTGCTTTTCGGAATTCGGCGCTTCCTGATGTCACGGTTATGGGACGGCCATCGTCGTCTTCGTTGGTTGTGGGTTGGTTGGACCAGCCTAGAGCGTCGTCGTCTGCTATTATGAGGCCTGCGGAGGAAGAGGCGTTCTTACGCTTGCGCTTTTTGGTCGAGGAGGAGGGTTCGGCGGTGAGGTATTTGGAGGCGAGGTAGTTGGAGAGAGACATCTTGGGCGTTAGGTGGAATTCTTGTGGATTGCGATGTGGTTACGAGGCTGAGGTACCTAGGTAGATATTCACGTGACGTGAAGATGGGGCTAAATATATGGCTGAATTATGAACGAATTAAAATAAAAGCTCTTTAAAAAATTTACAACACACGTATTGCTGTTTAACCGGATATTATTAATCGTAAATTTATATATAATTATTAAATAAAAAAAAAATTGGTAAAAAAATTTAAATATAAAAATACCGTAGCGGCGACTATTATAAGTACGAGCACGGCAAATACAATATCTTGCTTTCGCTTCACTATGGATTCTACCCTAGGTATTCTCAATTCTACTTCAACTGGTATTCCAAATCTCTATCATAGTCCTTCCATCACGGGATATGACCAAGGCTACACGATCACTTCCAAGAAAACCCACTTTCCAAACAGCTGAAGCGTCTTTCAATCGTTCTTGCAGATGTCCACTCTCCAGATCTCGGAACCTCACTAACCCATCCTTTCCTCCGCTGACTATTTTGCTGCCGCTAAAATCCAAGCTTACGACACCCAGAGAGTGCGTCTGAAATCGGTGAACGAGCTCCAGAGCATCTTTGGTTGACCATACACTGACGCACCCCGAAGCATCAGATGTGATAAGTCCCTCGTCCTTTTTAAGAATTTGGTTGATGGGGGTGGATTGGCTTTCGAAAGAAGCTAAACATGTGCTATTTAGAATCAGTCTCTCGTAGCTGTAGAATTAAATCTACTTGATGCAATACCAGAAGATGCGAGTAACAGAAAGTCTTACCCATTTTCAAAGTCCCACAAACGAAGATAACAATCCATCCCAGCTGTCACAGCCCGCGAATCTTTGTCTCCCACAAACAGAACACAAGTTATTGGCTTCTTATGACCTTCAAGTGTATGTAAGCGTCTGAGTCCATTATCTGTAATACGCCAAACACAGGCTGTGCCGTCATGACTTCCTGATATAAAAAAGTTTTCAGCAGTGGACATCGCAACAGCTCGAACTGTGCCCGCATGCGCGGCCAAAACATCTTCACAGATACTCTCCCTGATATTCCAGACGCGAATCGTAGTATCGCGTGATGTAGAGATCATTCTATTCTTGTCGCTGAGTAGAACGATACACCGAACCGTGGAGGTATGTCCTTCCAAGATCTGCTTTCGCTCGCTATTGATCACAAAACTTGTTAGCTATCCATTAATTCCAAATTGCCATTGATGAGAAAGGATTGATAGTCTCCAGCTGCGAACTGCCAGGTTTATAACTCAGAATATCACTGACCATGTGGATACATCCCAGATCTCAATGGAATTATTGGTCCCTCCACTTGCAAGTGTATTTCCCCGTAGATTCAGAGCCCAGATAGTACCTAACGAAGTTGACAATGTCTCCTTGCTCGTTCCATGGATATCGAAGACATGAATTTTACCGTCTGACATGGCGATGACAACGAATTCAAGTGTAAATTGACAGACTGTCGGCACTGCTTCTACCTCGTCAACAGAACTCTCCGCAGAAACCTGCTGCGAGAAAATGCAAGATTCCACGAGACTGGAGCCTGTCTCCATATTGCTGTAATTGTGTGTAGCCCTACTCCGTTGGACAATATTTTGAAGACAGTAAATGAGTTATGGGGTGGGTTGTGGGATTATGTTCACTCAAGTTTGCCTCACAGGTGGCAGTTTCCTCGGCTAGCTGCATGAGGTTCAAGGCTGCTGAACACTACGCAATGGGGCATCCAAAATCGCTGCGGGAAAGTTCCGTCTAACTCGAGATCTCCCATACCACCATGACTATCTTTGTGGGCTGTACTTCCTCAAAAATTCATCAGTATCCATAGTCATTGGCTAAGATAAACCCAATCACGACCTGAATAGAACAAAAAACTTGGAAGATGGGCAGATACAACGATCTGCCCAACCATGGAATAGTAACAAAGTAAACCTGTGGTGCCAATGCCATTGAAGTTATGATTAATGACCTCAATGTAACAAAAGTAAACCTGGAAGACGGGAAGAGATAAGATCTACCCAATCATTCAAATACCGCATGGCAACGAAGCAAGTATCCTGATGGTGGTACCAATAAACTTGTGATCATAACCTGACTACATTATGTTGCCTTCTACCAATGGCGGAAGATACCTATTGACATGACCTCATATGTGGTTCTACTTCCGGAAGGTACTTAAGCACCAACCTGCTACCAGCCCCAATATTGGATATCCAACATGCACTCTCATCCATCATATGACATCCACCAACATCCACCAACCTTCAATGAGTGAATGAAGTCTAAGTTCAGGATCAAATATTGAAATTTTATGATATAGGTATATAATAGTGTCCCACTAACCTTCGGGAGTGGCCTATTCCGCTACGTACAGGCCACTCCAATCGAGCTTTTTCCATGGAATTTTCAAGGTTAGTTTTCTTAAAAACAAACGCTTTTAAAATTGAAAACTAGTATCCTTGTGGCACTTATAGTATTCACTGCACTCATTGCGCTCACTGTGCTCACTGTACTCACTACACTACTACATTGTGTTGTACCGCACGTTGTATCATAATGAGAGTGGCGAGAGTGGCGAGAGTGGCGAGAGTGGTGAGAGTGGTGAGAGTGGTGAGAGTGGTGAAGGTAGTAAGGGTAGTGAGTTTACAACTAATTATTTAGTAGTTTTACTGCTTGAAAGATTTCATGGAAAAAGCCCGATGAATCTCTTCTAGTTCCATGGAATTGGAAAGAATTCCGATGAAAATCCGTATCCGATGAACGGGGTGCAACAAGCCTGTACGTAGCGGAATAGGCCACTCCCAAAGGTCAGTGGGACACTATTAGCAATCAGCTCATTTGCTCTTATTTTTCAGTACGGCGTAGGGTTACACTATTAATTCCACGGCTATAAGTAGCAGCTGTTGTCTTTTGATCCCCCGCTGTACAGCTACATCCTCACTTTGCTCTCACGCATCACTTTTGTGAACCAAATCTAATTCATTCCCATTCCTCGAAACATACCACGAATACTTCCTCATTCGAAATGTACCTACCAAAGGTCACAGTGTTATTCACCATCGGTGCTGGTATTGCAGTGGTTGCCGCGGCGAGTGGTCCCAGTGCTAGACAAGCTATGTCTGTCCGCAACAACCATACAGTAAGTAGATATCCAAGCATCCTTTGTAACACTTATAATAATTAGTGAACAAGGAGACCCCAGATCCAGACGTCTGCTGCGGTGGTAACCAGCCTCCCCTATACTGCTTCGACCATGCGTGCGACGACAACGAAGATTGTGCGGTGCTTGGGTGTGGGAACTGCATAATATCGACTTTAAGATGCGCCAATTGATGATGACTTCTCCGAAAACATATGTCATTCTCAGGTCAAGGATACGTCACGAAGTAGTAAGTGGCTCGAATTGCCAGGGAATTTCGCTGTGTTGAATCCTGGGTCTGGACGGTGGAACTTATAGCTTATTGGGGGCGGATTGAAATTCAAAAATAACCAGTCTGACTAGTTGATATATATTGTTCATGCATACAGATCCCCGTTTGCGTATAAAAATTTGTATCGTGACACGGAGAATTGGTTTTGGTAAAAAATGCCTTGAATGAGAATTGAGTGCCTGTGCATGTTTTCACAGATCTGGAAGGACTGCCAAGCGGCTCATAGTGTAAGAAGAGACGCTGTCTCTCTGGCAAGCTCGCCTTCAAAATACATGCCCATCCCAGCACGAGTAGAGCGGTACCGTTAATAGGGGTCTTCTTCCAAGCGTCGAAAATTGCCCGAAGTAAATATCGTACACGTCGTAGGATGTTGACGTCTCAAGTAGAATAAATGTCTCTTCTCTGTCTTGCGCTTCCTGGAACATGAGTCATCGGAAGATCTCCAACTAGAATATCCTTCAATCGACAGAGAGCATCTCGGGTTATCACCCGGAAACGAAGGAACACGGCAAAGGAGTCTTTAAAGTCTATGGCTACTTTCTGGGAATCGTGAAGTCGAGATTGCATGGTGAAGAGCAATGTGCCATTGAGTGCTGCTTCTGGAGAGAATCGCGTTTGCTGCGGGGCTATTGTTTTTAATCGTGGAAATATTATGAGCTAATATATATGATTATACGATTTTCGAATAAATAACTTTACGAAAAATATTTTGGCTCCTGCAGGAGTTGGAGTCCCTTCTGTTCACCGTCCTGGCTTGAGCTGACTCCAATTTCCTCGAACCCCTCCCTCGCTATGATCTCTTGTAAGTTCCCTCACTTACATTAACGTTCCAATACCCTCAAATCCTTCAAATCCCCAGCTAGTCAACCGCATCATTTCCTCAACTCCAGTTTACACACTCCATCTATACATTACAATCCACATAAGACCAATATGAAGCTCCCATTCCTCTCCTTGCTCCGACTCGCTGCAAGGTTGGCTGTGGCCCAAGAGGTACACTTTCCCCCTCATTGCATCGCGAAGACATGTCATCATTGACCGGGGAACTGTGACCGTTGATCTGTCATTGACACTGGACAATGACTAAAGTTGTAAGTATTGCCATGTTCCCGAAATGGAGCGCTCTAACAACAGATTCAGTACAAATGCCGGTGGCTCTGATGTGGCTTCTCCTATCGGAACACCGCAGGGTCAATGTGTTGGTTGTTACTTTTTGGGAACAATGAATGCAACTCTTACAAAGGTAAAGCAAGCATTCCTCGACAGTACTTGGACTTCGACGATAGATCCGCTCGGCTCTCTTCGAACAGACTCTAAGCCTTCCACCGTCTTGAATTTGAATCTCGATCTTGCAATCAACGTGGCAGGAAGTTACATTGTCCCTTTGTTGAATTCCAGCGCTATTGTATGGGGTGCCATTAGTCAAGACGTGCACTCCAAAGTATTCGCTTCTCTACAGTTATTCGTCACCGCCAACAGCCAGTCAGAGACAACATCTGTATATAACCTCAAATGTCCCGAAGGCGTATATGTTGCTTTCAACGAATTTGATGTAGGATCCTTGACCTCCAGCCTGCACGTAAAAGACCGATCTCCCGCTTGCGCGAACCTTACCTTTTACAGGCACTTATGTACCCTCCAAGCTCTTCCCGGTAGAAGCTTCTGGGGGCCGGGAACTACTACTATTACTTTACAGTTCCGTCTCTACTACATTGATAGTCTGACGTCTCAAGGCAAGAATGCAACTCTCAGTACTACCGCCATTACGAACGTAGTCGTCTGCAGACAAGTTCCCAAAGGCGCAAGCAGCTGCGAGGCCAAAGTGGATCAGGTTCACTATGATGTCTCTTCTTATCTACTATTTGACAATGGGTGGAATGCGTCAACTAGTTATACCTCTGATAATGTGTGTGGTGAAGGGATCTTGAACAACTTGTCTTACGTATTCAGACTTCTCTTCACTGCGATTTCTTCATGACAATATATCGCTTTCGCTACCTCTACCCCACAATATATACATCTTACACAGAAGAGACATTCGACCTGATCGACCCATGTCCCATGGTCCACGTGTACGGCTTACGCGCTCTTTATTATTCGATTTCACTTCGATGACTCTGTTGCAGAGACTTACTTTGATAAAATGTTCAGGAAATACAGGATCTTGGAATTTTATCAATGTATCGACTCGGCTTCTTGAACTTTTCGGGGATTTGCTCCATCTTTTGTCTTTCTTCAATTTATTTGGCGATATTATTTTGTCTGAGATGAACTCCGAGCTTTGAGTATAGAATTAATGCAAGACATGACTAATATTTTTTAACGAGTTTTAATATGTTGGAGTTATAATCGTTTCCAGGACATACAATGCATGAGACTCTAGTCTCTGGCATGCCACTCCTGCAGCTCTGACAACCTTTTCTGTGTACGGTGTACCTCCCTCTCCCAGATATCTGGGACCTGATCCTACGTAATTAACTGGAATGCAATGCCCGGTCTTTGTTTTTATCGGGAATACATTTTCTTAGTATCCTTTGATAATAATTATTTTCCCGAGATTCCTTTATTCTTTTCCGCAAACGTTTAATATATACGTTTTCCGCAGCTTTTGTTATTATTTCTTTGATCTTGAAATGTATAAAGCTGCGCCATTTTGCTTGAATATCTTTTTTCTTCTTTCAATTAACTCAATATGTCGGAGGATGCATATAGTAATTGTGACAACGTCGACTCCGGCGCCGATGTCAAGCTCGAAGTTGAGAAACTAAGGATCAGATTCCCTAGAAACGTCATCCGAGACAAAAGAGAATTTGATAATACTTGTAAGTAAATATCGACTACAGAATACTTCAGTGCTAACTTTGTATGACATAGACCATCCTGGAATAGAGAGTGCCGATCTCGTTCACATGGTGCATGACGTAAGGGTTAGCAAACGTGACCGAGGTGCATTTGCGCCTATGTCAGGAGAGGCCTGTAGAGCAAGGGGGAGCCATAAGCAACTATGCCATAATTGCGGCTGGACTACTACTCATCAGCTCGGGGTTGGGGGGTATACTTCACGTTTAAAGGTCTTTCACCTTCGCGGCAATTCTGCTATTTGGGACCTTGGCCCAAACGGTCCTTGGATGCTTAGGGATGAGCCCAACAACCCCACCAGTGTGTGGGAAACCGACTATGTAGCGCAGCAATTTCTTCGAGAAGAGAAGCCAAATATGCCTCTTGTAGAAATGCATAAATTTGGTGGGCCAAATGATAAGTTCCACTTTACTATCATGTCTCGGGCAAAAGGAAGCACTATAGAAGCAATCTGGGATACCCTTACGGAAGAGCAGAAAAACGACGTAAGACAAGACTTGACGAATTGTATTAAGGAGTGGCGCCAGATTACTAGGCCGCACATGCAAAAAGTAGATGGCTCAGAGCTTCGCGATCCCTTTCTTGGGTATTGCAATTCGCACGCATGCATTAAGACGGGACGCGACGAGGAACAGTGGCTAGAAAATCTAACTCCGGCGATGCGTAAAGGATTTTTATCGGATCTCTGGTTTCGCAACGGGGGTGAGAATGCTGATCAAGATACAATGACCTCGTGGATTAAAGAGGCCGACGAAAAAGTAGCCCAGCTTAAGGCGAATTTTCCAAGGGGCGGACCATACGTTTTAACCCACGGTGATCTGCATTCTGAGAATGTCTTCATTTCAGACGACAACGAAGAAAAGAAGTACAAGGTCTCAGCAATTATTGATTGGGAACTTGCTGGCTTCTATCCATGGTGGGCAGAACGCAGGCGCTCCGATCTTGACTATATACTAGGCGTCAAGGATCTTTGTCACCCTGGATATAGTGTTGAGGACTATGAAAAGGTTTTCAAGCCCGTATCACAAGTTTCCAAGGCATGGAGGCGTGCAGGAAATCATACTTCCAGCGTACATAAGCCGGAGAAGTCAAAAAACCGTTGGTTCGGACCGCCATTCTGTGCCTGCCAACCATGGCCCCAAGAATATCGAGATGTTGATCTTGGGTTGGAGGAGGATGAACATCTGGATATATTTGATGTGGATTCTACAGATTCTGAAGACGATGAAGAAGACGGCCGCAAAAAATTTCCGAAATATGAGAGGGACTTCTTGCGGTGGTTTAATAAAATCAATAATCACAAATCGAAGCATGCAAGTCTCGATTAATATTCGCCAACCTAGACTGATCGCTATTTCTAATTATTCTGGATTACGTGTGTCAGTGAACCTTAGGCTCAGTTGGGTGACCAGGGGTCACCTGACAGGAGACCCTAGACCACGTAATGAAGTTGGTTAAAGTTTGGCTCGGTTCTTTCTGATTCTACTCACTATTATGATTCTTGGGGAGGAAAGAGGTATACAGTTTAGAGTTCTCTTCCTACTTTTGAAAGCCTCGTGCTCAACTTAGTTATTATCTTTGACTTCAATATATTGCACTACTCTACTTCATATCACCATACCAATCAACGAGCCTATCTAGGCGTTACATATCTGTCTCTCCTTCTCCAACTGTCGTAAGCGGCTTGAGCTTTGGAAAGGCTTCTGGCACTGTTTTATAAGTTAGTGTTTGCAGCAAGAAAGAAGAACGTCTGAATCCTGACATGTATATGAATAAGTGACGATCTGAGTCTCTTTCCCCACTATCTCCTTAAAGTCAAGCCGAACGGGATCATGGTCGGTTTTGATTGACTGCCACTCCCTAGAGCTGGCGTGTCCCTTATTGCTCGAACTCGACAATCTCTTATCTCCCCCAGCTCTGTATAAGAAGACCGCCGTTTTCTCTTTCTCTCGACCCAAGTGAGCTCGAGATCTCTTGAATTGAACCCCAAGAATTGCAACATTTCTGTTGTTTGCAATAGCCACCATAGCATCTCTCATCAGCCTGCTTTTCGCTTCTTCGGGATAGTTTGCTGGTATCACAAACTTTTCCCACTCGATACGCACTTCAGTCTCGAGCTCTTGGATTCGAGTTGGTAGAGTCCATCCGTTGCATGCCACAGAAAACTCACTATACATCGAATTTGGCCAATCACAATGCCAGCATTTGAGTGGCTCTACATTGTGGAGGGGCTGGCGTTCCATTATGCCTTGTCGATCGGTGAAATATGAATGTTCGAGTAATCTGGTATTCTAGAAAAATGAAATGTTCTGGTTGTAGAAGAAATCGCAAATAAATCTAGTTTATTATACTTCCTAGAGGCAAAGAGTTTCGAAATCGTGTTGACGGGAAGAATTCCAAACTTAAAACAAAGGCAAGATTGCGCAGCCAGGAAGACGGCCATGTGTCTGAAATGTGTAAGAGTATGCGTCGAAAGATGACACAAGTAAGTCTCTTAGTAGTGATCGGCACAACTTTCTTTATTTCTAGATCGTGGCTTGTCTAAGACGCAGGAGAAACATAATCCCGAGCCATAAAGCGTTATTCATTATCAAATCCGCCAGCGCCAAGCGCGCAACCGTATCACCCAACTGAATCAAAATTATCGGGATGAACAAGAACTTCAGAGTTTTCATCTCATATAAGCAAAGTAAACTGAAAATGATGGGCCCTATAATTTGCAAGGCACTGTAAGGGAGACAAGAGCTGCGCAGAGCATAAGGACCCCGATCCGGAGGCATGTGGTGCGATGTGCGGGGTCGAGAACTGATCGGTTCTCGAGGATGAGAGATGGGCTTTGGGTGTAGGACGTGTATTGTGGCCGTGGTGTTGAGAACTTGGACGTTGTTCGTTCAGGGTATAATGAGGGAGTCTGAGGCAGCGCTCCCAATGGGTGGTTTGGTTTGGTTTGGTTTTGACCACCGTCTAGGTTTTAGATGGTTCCAGACGGTTTTAACAAATAAACTCTATTCATAGTATATCTTCAACCTCAGGCTTCAATTTTTAAGCTTCAACTAAAATTCAATCCTCAAATTTCAGGCTTCAAGCTAGCCTTCCCACACGTGCTCCAGTCATTCAAGAGGAAGATTCTCAAGACACAGGCTGATGGCGTAGGTGGGTCAGTTGACCTTGAATCTGCAGGTGGCTGGAGTGGGGATGGTCTTGGAGAAAGTGATGTCCCAGATCCGGTGGCATTTGCAGCACTCGCTCATACAGGCTCTTCGGATGACGTCCTTTCTACCGACTGCAAGGAAGTGCTTTGTGTACTTTGACGGCCTAGACCGGGCGTGACGTTCGATGCTGACCAGCTTGAGGCAAAGCGACAAACATGGAAGCAAAGCAAGGCGAGACGCGTTTGATAATGATAAGGAAATGCTGCTAAATTTAGATGGGGCTGCACGTGATCCGATGATCGAGGTCTGCCTTCACATTGTGAACAGCCACTGCGCAGATGATGTTGGAGCCTACATTCAATATCACGCCGTCAAGAAGCAATTCTCATGGATCAGACAATGACTGCGTTGTTCTCTGCACTCTGCGCGCGTCAATGTACTGGACTCCTCAATTACCCCTCGGTTCGGGCGGGCGCACACATGTCTCGTCTGGTTGGCAGCGAGTTCGTTCTTATCGCCGTGCATGACATGAAATGCACGATTCCATCACAATGGAGCTTTATCGCTGCTGAAGCTTCCGAAACACTCCCTCCTGCAGCTGCACCAGCTTCCATCACTGATTCAGCCCGCGGCAAAGTCGCAATCTCCCTCCACGTATTCCAGCTCCCTCACACACCCATTCCAACTCGTGCCTGGGCGACAGGCCAATGTGTTTCTGTTACAGTTTCGCTCGACTCCCCGGGTCCGGTGACACCGAGGTCATAAGCTTGACTGACTGACCTTGGAATGAGGCAGTGGCAGTGAGGAGCTGATGACGGCGGCATCGCTTATCGGACTCGGAGCGTGAGCGTGAGCATGAGCGTGCCTTGTCTGATAACCTTAACACTCTTAGCAGGTAAATAAGAACGAGACGCGTCCCATCCCCCCTCTCCCCTTTCTTCCTTCTCTTCCCAATCATCAATCATAACAAGAATACAACCATATCCCGCTATCACGTCTCTTTTCTCTAATCATCATCATCTCGTTCAATCTTCATTTCCACGGATAATCCCATTCATTTGTCAATTATCCAACTCTCTTTATCAGGTCAGCCTCGTTTGACTCACTCGCCGGATCCGACACGGCCACCCCAATCTCTTTGTCTTGCAACGGGAAACTCGTCATTAGAATCACCACTTGACTGTGTGTGGTCTGGTCTGCGCCTTCCCAATACATCGATATCTAAGCCCACCAATTTCCTGTGACTCGGGAAGACAGTCATTTGGTGACTTGTGACTTCCCTTGTTTCGATAGACGATTTACTTATAACCACCTACAACTCCTTTTTATCTACGCATTCATTCGTACCTCGCTTTATCGACTTGAAAGAGTCTCAGTTTGGAACTTTCTAGCCTATCTTGGAAATTGCGAATCGAGGACAAAGAGGTAGCGGGGACTAGTCCTTGACTCATAAAGCCAACATCACGTCAACACTTCGCAACTCACAAACCATTCTCGCAACGCAAACAACCAACTCGACAATTTACTCGAATATGTCTGCTACATCTGCAGCTCCTCTTTCTTCCATCGAGCACCGCGACCTCCGTTCTGAACGCCTGGGCTACAAGCGCGACAAAGAGCATAACCAGAAGTGGAGCAACGGTCAACGCCCCTCTGCAGGAGTCCGTATCAACTGGGACAATGAGTTCATCGGTGGCAGTGAGCAACAGCGGATGAAGGTCCGTCCGATGAAGCAATGGACGTTAGTACCACCTTACTACATCGATATTATCCTGACTGACATACCTAGTAGCACCGATCACAAGTCCCATGCCAACAAAGTCCCAAAGCCACATGGTCACTATGATCAAACTCGTACTCTCCACAAGGCAGATGCGCTTGTTGATGCCAACGATCATACTATCTCTGCACTCTCCAAGTCTCTCCTCGAGTTACTCCCTCAACACGTCAACAACACACACTCTCCAATCCAAACCGCTATCCGTGCTACCGATGCCGAGATTTTGTACAGCTTCGATAACAAGGGTCCAAGCCCAGGTGTTGCTGGCCGTAATGTTGATCTCGGTGGACTTGTTGAGTTGGCTGAGAAGAAGTGGGTTGCTGAGCAGACCGATAAGATTGTGAAGGGCGAGTACGAGGTTCTTGACAATGAGGGCGAGACTACCGTTCTCGCTAGCAAGAAGAAGAAGAGCCCAAAGCAGAGAGCGACTATCGTGAAGAGTGAGCCATCCAACATCAAGAGCTTGGCCAACGATGAGGATGATGGTTTTGAGCTCATCTAAGTGGAAGACGTCGATGGCTGGACTATCTCTTTTCTTCTGATGATATATGGCGTTTGAGTGGATAGGATGGTTTTCGGCGCTGGTGCATCGCATGGTATAGCTTACCCTGGTATGGGAAGGATAGCTTGCCCTCTTTCTACTACATTTTTCAACAACAGACGCATAGCCTACCCTAGCAAGCATTGTACATAGGGAAGGATGGCTAGGCATATGGATGGGTACATTGCATAGCTTACTCTGCCTGGATGGATGGATGGCTGGGAAGGATAGCTTGGTGCTTTGGATTGGGGATTGCATAGATACCTATTATTGATTGTGCTTTGATGCGATTGCTTTCTTGCTCTGGTTGCGAGGGAGTTTTTTCGTGTGGAGCAGTAATCAGTACAATTCAATTGGGTTGTACATCATGGCTTTGTCGTTTCCTTGAGGTGAGATGGTGATTTTAAGAATGCAACGTCTTCCGGATTGAATTGCCAAGTGGCTCTCTGTTCATATGATCGTTGGAAGTGAAGCTTGTTCTAACACTACATGCCAATAGATTCCCTTCCATTTCTGGCTGCTACATCAATCCTCATCTCGTATGGGACTTTGATCACCTGAAAGCTTGTCTTGGATCTGGAAACATCTCAGCCTCTGAATGTTGGGCAGCTGCCTTAACATTGAACACCAAAAATCTTCGTACTGTTTCAATCATGTGTGGTTTACACTCGCTTTCTCAGCCACTAGGTCTATATTCTGGGATCTTTTGGTGCCGCTCGTCGCTTCAGAATTCGACAACGACAGCGCTTCAATTCTCGTCCTTTTGTCCATTCTCCATTTTAAAGTACTGTACGTTGGAATGGTTGCTCGCCAAATGTCCTGTTCAAAGACCCAAATGACTCCTCAAGCCTTTAATCACTTCTTCGACACTCGTCTCTTTCCCATAGCAATTCAAGATATGCTGATCAGGTCTGACCAATACCCCAGCGCCGTGGTTAAGTTGCAAACCCATCACCCACTCATGTTTCCTAGCACCAGGAACAAGTTCGAAGTCCTTCCCAAGAACAGCAGCATTGATCTTCAAGGACTTAGGAAAGCTCAACCGGAGTTGAGCAAGTACTTCTTCCCAATGTGCTTCAGAGGCCGAAGAGTAAAATATCGTAAAGGCATCAAAAGCACAAAGATCTAATGTCGAGTACTGTTTCTGTGCCAGCACGTCTGCTTTGAATTCCGAGACGTATGAATTGTCAATGGGTGGAACCTCCGGTAGATGCAAGCCCTTCGGAGCACCTGAAAGCCAGGCATGAGGAAGTCGAGCACCAGCTCGGTACGAAGGCACGTAAAGTGACGCACTGGCAGGAATCTCGGTGTCGCCATATACGTAGCCGATATGTAGTCCAAGGTTATCGAAGTGCTCTCTTTGGCCCTCAATGCCTTTCAGGACTTCTAGACGAGTTGTAGGGTCCGTGATGCGTTGATATAGATTCTTCTTCGCAATTTCGATGTCTGGGTCGGTAGTGCCGAGAGTCTTGAGTAGTCCAAAAATTTTCTTGCCGTTCTTGACGCTCTGTTGCGCGCTGATCATAGCAACCTGGCGACGATCGGTTTGATAGGTTGAGAGAAGAGAGGGGTTGGCGTTGTTTTGGTGGAGGGATGCGAGTTTGTAGGCTAGGTTGTGAACGTCTGCAAGGCCTGTGTTCAGACCCAATCCTCCTGTTGGAGGGAATGCATGAGCAGCATCACCAGCTCTGTTATCGTCAGCCGATGACATGGTGTGAAAATTAAGATATGGCTCACAAGAAGACATTGCCTTGATGGTAGTGTTCGGCCACCTTTCTGCTGAGGATCCAAGGCCGCCAACTAAGGACGTCGAAGGGGATGGATTTCCCAATTGCTGCTGTCACGACTCTGTGAGCATGTTCCTCATTCCAACTCCCCACAGGATGTTTCTCCGACTTTTCAATGTCAGTAAGCGCCAATTATAGTATGAAAGTTCAACTTACATCAAAGTTGCAAATGAGAACTTGATTGTCGTCCAAGTCGTATCCAATAATGAAGCCTGAAACTTCTGGGTCCATGACCCAGTGCAGCATTCCGACTTGCTCACCCACCACAGACCTAATATTTGCATTGAAGTGTATGGTCATCATAGTTTCGTCTGGAAAACGTCAGGCGATGTTGGCCTCTAGGATTTCTTCGACTTACATGACGATTCCCCTTCGCATTCGATACCTAATATCTCTCTCACTTTACTTTTGGCGCCATCACAAGCAATAACATGTCGTGAGCGGATCTCATACGTTCTATTGAGACTACGATCTTCTACTCTCGTAAAGACTTTGTCACCTATCTTGAAATAGTCAGATTTTGGATCACACTCATCAACTCTAGAGTCACTTACCTGCGTGCAGCTCGTGAACGAATGATTCTTCCTCACTTCTACCTTCCCGTCCCGTTTCAGACGTGCAGCTACAAATTGTTCGAACGCTGGCTGAGGAATGTTATGGATCATCTATGGACCTCTGAATTAATGAAGATTCTATGCATGGCTTCAATAATGAACCTACTGTTGGTGTTTGCTCAAGTACTTCTGCGTCCATTCTTTCATATGGCAAACTTCCCACATACTTGCCAGTCAAGCTCGTCACGAAGTTTACCCAGTAAGCATCATCTCTATTCGTACCTAATCTTCTAATTTCATTCACGTCCAAATCGAATTGACGGCATATTTCCAACGTCCTCGGCGAAAGTGCATGTGCTTTTGGTGCAGCCAAACGTGTGGGGTACCGTTCGATGATTAGAGACTTGACTATTAATCATCAGAAATATTCTTTATAGAGCAATTGCACCGACCTCCTAGTTGAGATAGCATGTGTGCGAGAAGTAGTCCAGTTGGACCTCCTCCGACTATCAGGACTGGAATGTCTACATCGTGCGAGGTTTCGACTGTCGATACGTCCGATTCATGATCTGAATGAGGGGCCATCCTTGAGATCGGCAAGGGTTCACAATCCAAGAAAATGGCAGAACTTTCGCAAGCTTTTCATGAATAGGAGATCGAATCTAGGAAATAGGATCGCTGGCAAATAATTATATAATCGTTGCTGGAAGGTACATCGAACGACGAATTCGAGTCTCCACTAACTATCGGTTGCAGGATTGAAGTCATGCAGAACCGGTGGCGGAGTGCAGCTTTCTCCAAGCTAAAGCAAAGAACTCAGATTCTGTCGGCGGGGAACGAATTTCAGGTGGGTGGTCCCCACGTCGCTGACGGTTTGCCGAGCATGCTGGTGCAGGCGAAGGTGGGGAAATGGTGAAGAAGGGGGCGCAATGTGGGGAAATGCGACCTCTGTTCCACATCCGCTAAAAGAGGCGTGGAAGTCCACATGGACATTTCTCATATGTGGAATAGATGTAGATACAACCCTTCTAGCAGGCTAATAGGTTCGTGTTCTAGATGAGTGTCCAGCATCATCATATCCCGGCCATCATGATTCATGTGTTGCTTTGGATATGCTTCGGTCTCTGAAATTGGATTCCGAGGATTCAGTGGCGTCGAAGATTCCATCCGACATGACCTGCAAGTGCAAAATAATAGATCAGAGCGAGATAGCTTGGTGCTCTGAAGGACCTCGCGCTCCTCGTCCCGATAATACCTATCAAATGATTTTTGTGCTGATTGCCAGCAAAAATCTTTTTATAGTTCAGGAGATGTGAGATGTGTATGAGAATGGTGTAATAGAATTGGTTCCTGAAACTCTTAAGGAAACTCTTATTAAGAAAACAATAAGATCTGTTGAAGAAGAGCAATTGAACGGGACTGAGACGTTGAAGGCGTAGAGCACAAGCTAAGTGCACGGACCTCGGCTTTCTGGGATGCCAACCTCTTCGTGATGCCTTCAATCAATAAGCAAGAACATGATTTGAGTGCAAACTTGAAGTAATTCTGACAGAGACGATTCTTCCTCTTTCCCCTTGATACAAGTACATCTTTTCATGAAAATTAGTCCTTACTCTTCGATACATTCTCATTCATCTTCCCCGCATTTGATATATCCCATCCTAAAAGCGACGAAAACGAATGACGAAAGCCAGATCGGAAAGCCAGGACCAGTTTGAGATCTATGGGGAAGGCTCATAATCACACCAGCTATGAGTGCCAGCGATCAAGGCTCTCCAGCTCATGGAGATAATGAGTCACGTGCTGTAAAGAAGTTTCGCTGTGCTACATGCCAACGAGCTTTTGCGAAGGCAGAGCATTTGTTAGTATGTTTAGCTCTGTCGTTGCCATAAGTGAGACCGCTGACCGCTATGCAGAGACACGAAAGAAGCCGTATGTTAAGTTCTCCTTTTATTCATATTTGCAAACCAAAAGCCTAACTTCTCAGACTCGAAGCACAAACCATTCTCATGCCCGGATTGCTCAAAAGGCTTTGGCAGGCAGGATGTCCTTGCACGACACAGAAAACTTCATCAACGTGTCTCAGTAACAAATAGTAGTCCACATACTCAACATGGTCCTGTCGCAGAAGACAACAACGACGGAAGCATTACAAGTTTTAGTCCTGCTACCTCAGGGATGAGCTCCAATTTGCCTCGACAGCCTTTCATCGAACATCCGGCACCGCTTCATCAGCATGAAAATGGGTCTCTGCCATTTTGGAATGACTCCGAAGACATGCTGGAGTTTTTGACTTCGGATTTGAGCTGGCCTGTCACATTGCCAGTCACGCATTTCGACCCATCAAACTTTGGCAGTGCCAATAGCCCAACGATATCGCCAACAGGAGAAGATCACGTGTATTACAATGGCCAGGGTCATCAAGCCATGCAGCAAATGAGCAGGCTCATTTCTGTTCTATCTTCGAATTTGACAAACGAGATCCAAAACACGGGTATCACCTCCTCCTTTCTGGACACATGTATGCATGTTTTCTTTGATAAATTCATACCCTCATTCCCAGTCTTACATGAGGCAACTTTCACCGTTCGAGAGTCAAGTCATCCTCTACTACTGAACATCATTGCACTTGGCACGTTATTTTGTGGAGCCAAAGATGCTGTCCCGAAAGGTGAAGCCCTTTGGAGACTTGCACACATCGCCGTCGCGACTAATTGGAGGCATCTCATGTCGACGAAGGGTCCAAGAGACTCTTGCCAAGGTGTTCAACTGGTCTTGACTGCAGTCCTTGGACAGACTTATGCCCTGATGTCGAAGAACGAGAGTCTAAGGATGACAAGCCAGACATTCCATGGACTTGGATTCTACTGGGCAAGACAATGTGGTAGTAAGTATAAGGATTGGATCCATTTCTCCGTGTTGTTCTTTCATGCCACTTCTTCGATGTCTTTTGCACCGCATGTTGGTCAGCTAGGACTCGTTTGAGTTTTCTTATATCTGCATATTTCACCTGCTAATTCTCCATTTCTAGTGTTCAGCTCAAATGACGGCCCCCTCATCGTTCCCTCTCTGAATGCTCCAGAGGAAGAAAAGATGGAATGTTGGAAGATGTTCGCCGCCAGAGAGGTCCAAAATAGCAGTGTGCTTGGTCACTATGTGCTCGATGGACACATTGCTCAATTCTCCGGCTATGCCGCATGTGCTCGGCATGTTACCAATCCCCTCTTCGTCCCATGCAGCGATGCAGCTTTTGATGCAACAACACCAGATGATTGGATTCGGGAAATGCAAAAGCAAGATTCCACGCCTCGTTGTTTTCGGGAATTATTTCTCAACCTCTTTTCCCCGCATCCACTCCCACCTGGCAGTATCACATCCTCAGTCTTCACTCTTCGAGTCATTCTGGAAGGGTTACAGTCTCTGGCCTCTGACAATTTAGAAGCACGAGGGAATGCTGTTGGCACTCCTACGAAAGCCGATATTGCTCAAGCTCTCATGAAATTTCGTAGTCAATATTTGTCAACATCTAGCACGCTATCGACCGACCAGATGGAATTGTTGATCAGATGGCACACGATTTTCCTCGATTTAGCAACTCCTTCTACAGCTTTGAGCAAAAACATATGTGCACCGTACGGTATAGCTGAGGACCTTCATGGGCCGAGCAAAGTATCTGTTGAAAGTTTTGATCTTGCCGTGTGGTCACAGAGTTCCGATAGTTTGCGAGCCGTCTTGCACTCTTTGGCGATACAAGAAATTGTTGAAATGATGCCTTTGGGACGTTCAAGTGGTATTCATCTGCCGGCAGCTATATTCGCCGTGGCAACAATATACAGCGCACAGTGCCTTGCTGGCTTCTCCCTGATTACCACCCCGAAGGATTTCACATGGGAGAGTGTTTGGAATATGAGCGAGTCAGGACATCTCGCAGATCCTTCGATGCAAGCTTTTCTTAGCTGCACGTATGCAAAGACAGCTCACCCTTCCAAAACCAAGAATCTGATGTATGAGATTAACTCTCTTCAGATAACTCTGAACTCTATCTCATCCCGTTGGGGTGTATCTCATGAGATGGATGCTTTGCTGACTAGATGGGTTACAATTGCGAATGAGCGAACCGAAAGGAGTATTTGACTTTCGGATCATAGAAGATATGCCTCGCACCGCTTTTGCCAGGTGGTTGGGAAGATCGACGGGGCAAGATTATGCGAGCGCGGAATTGTCTGAGATCTTGTGGCTTGGGCGGGGGTGGGGAAATTGCGGGGAAGCTTGCCATGAAACAATGTCGGCCATTGAAAATCCCCGGATTGAATCAACTTATTCCACATGCATTTCTTGATGTCGTTAGCTATAAGGAGAGCTTACTCGACAAACCCCATTCCCTCCACCCAACTCCACGACGTTGGTAACACAATACGACTTCACAATGGCCAAACGAGCGCATCAAGCAGACATGGGCAGTGATACCATTGACTCAATGTTTGTAGCAGCACCAGGTACAGAGATATTGATGGATGAAGAAGGGCCTGGTGCAACAGAACAAAGACTACACAAGCTTCAACATGCTAAAATTGGAGATGGTCATCTTCTCCTTGTCCCGCAACCGTCACTTACAGATCCAAATGACCCGCTCCGATGGTCGACTCGTAAGAAGGGGGTAGTGCTTATGAATGGTGTTGCTTATGCTTTCAAGTAAGTTGCTTTATGTTGAACTCCAGATGAAGTTACTGACTAAGATTGCAGTGGAGCCGTTACGGGCCCGATGATGGCTGGAGGTTGGTGAACTCAAGAGAGTGGAAAGTGTTGGACGTTATTGACGTTCCCAGGAATGATACAGCTGTCAGAGTTCTTTGGGAAGTCTTTGACATATCTCACATATGCAAATGGGGCGACATTGATCTGCCAAGGCATTGTAAGTACTCTCTTCTTCTCATTCCGCACGTCAGCCTTTCGGAAGTACACCTGCATTTTACAAAGATTTTGGATATTCTTTGAAACGACTGGTCTTCATTTTCAGAAAGCCAGAATTTGCTAACTCTTTCCCAGGGTAATCTATTATGGATGTGAGTGAAGCCGAAGGTCCTATGCAGATCAAATGCATCAGAAAGTGTTGATATTGTCTAGGCCACTTGCTGTCAAATACGGGCGCCGTCCAGTGTATCTCACCTCGAATTTCCTTATGGGAATTGCCTGCATCTGGCTTGCAATTGCTGCTGAGACAACCTACACTCCCTTCATCGTCGGCCGAGCATTCTTAGGTCTTTTCGAGGCTCCCATCGAAGCTATAGTCCCTAGTACAGTCACAGACATCTTTTACCTCCACGAGAGGGGGGAGAAGATATCTATCTATGGTCTTGGCGTTCTTGGTGGAAACGAAATTGGTCCTCTTGTCAGTGCGTTCATCATACAGACGCTGAGTATGCGCTGGGCATTCTTCATTATTGCCATATCGATTTTCATCAATCAAATCACCTTGATATTCTCTATGCCGGAGACGAAATTTCTTGGAGTCCGGCCCCAGATTATGCTACCTAGCCAAAGGATCGAGACAGCAGAGTCTATTCCAGAAGAAGTCCGCACGAAGAGCGAATGTTCTCAGGTTGAACGAATATCAAACGATACCAGTGCTCCGCAAGTCTCAGAAGTTCCAGAAAGGTCATACTGGAAGAATCTAGCCTTCTGCTCTCAGGTTGACCATAGTGTGAGCTTGAGGAAGACCTTCCTTCGCCCTTTCGTCCTGATGACATATCCAACGGTACTCTGGTCTAGTCTTGTATATGGCATGAGCCTGGGATGGAATGTTGTTCTCGGAGCTTCTGTGGCTCAATTGTTTGCCCCACCGTAAGTCTGGAGTGGTCTAGTCCTTCGAGTACCGCTAACATGTATGGAGTCCATACCTGTTCAACTCAGGAGATCAAGGCCTCATTTTCATCTCTCCGTTCATCGGCTCACTGGTCGGAACGTATCTTTGTGGTCCATTGGCTGACCGAATTGCAAATTGGGCTACAAAGCGAAATCATGGGATACGTGAGCCAGAGATGCGTCTACCAGCTTGTGCGATCGCTATTGCCTTGACCTTTTTCGGAGCTCTAATTGCTTCATTGACCTACAATGCGAAGACACATTGGTCAGGCCCTATCATTGGATTCGGTATCTTGTCTGCTGGTGCTCAAATGGGAGCCACACTTGCTATGGCGTACTCGCTTGATTGCCACAAAGAGGTAAGATTTCAATCCTTTTCTAGTGCAGCTCCAATACTAACAAGATTAGCTTTCCGGCGAGCTAATGGTCACAATTTCTTGCCTCAAGTCTGCGATCGCATGGATTTGGACATGGGTCATCAATGATTGGATTACCTCTGATGGACTCGTCGTTGTTTTTATGACTATTGCTTCCATAAATGTTGCTGTATATATGACGACCATCATTTTCTACCTCAAGGGCAAGGCTTTCAGGATTTGGATTCACAAGGCCAATCTACTCAGACAGACCGGATTGGAATGAGACATTGCGTCCAGGATTTGAAAGTTCAAGATAACTTACCTTTCATGAAATGAAGAAAGATTGAATAAATATCTGCTAGAGTCTATTGCTTGTTTAATGAAGATGAGAAATGGCTTTCGACATTTACATGATACATGCGCATGAGTGGGTGGGAGCAATCCACTTAGTCAACTTGACCCCGCACTTCCCCACATGGCCCACCCCACGATCTTCAAGTAACACTTCGGTCTCGGTACCTTTGTAGACATCCGAGTTGGCCTGTTGTGGTACATATAACTAGAGAGGGTTGTCGTTTGTTATCGACAACACTGCATTCATCGCAAGTCCAGATCAGAATAAATTCTTCTTTGACAAAATATCCACAATCAGAATGGCCGCTGAATCAAGTCCGTTTCCCCTCCTCGTCTCCGAAGCCAAACTCCTCCTCACGAACCCCTATCCACCAACCGAGACTGGCTATGCCGTAAATTCTGAAGGCATGCACCATATTGCCGCCACAACATATATGCCAAATTGTACTTCTGAAATGATAGCCTGGTGGTTCGGCTGGATCGAGGATACCGAGAAATATAAACTCTGGCACCCTCTCGATCACGTTTTTTCTTCTAGGGAGGGTCCTAGCAATAATGACTCGATGTACATAGATAGCCACCATTTGGTACACGAATACATTGGTGGTCACCTTGCGAAGCTGAAAATAAGCTTTGTTTCTCCCGAGAAATATTTTGGGACGGAGTGGGAAGAGGATTTCAAGAAGGAAGGATATGAACTGGCAGTCTGTGCACGTGTTGGAAATTGGGATGATGAAACGAATGAAGTGATCTATAATGGTCATCTGATTCATTTGATTAAGAAGGAGAAGTTGGGAGTAAGGATGAGGAGTCGATTCTGGTTAGGTGATGTGGAAGGAGTGGAGGATGCTCAAGTGAGGATGGAACTGGTCCCGGACTTTTTGCCAAAGGGTTTGTGTCAACATGCCACAGAAGAAATGACAATTCTTGCGGGAGTACTGCCTGGCCTGTATGAGAAGTTCTCCAAGAAGAGTGGGGATAAGGGAGAGTTGAAACTTTAAAGTGTCCATGGATGCGAGTTTGCTGGTGAACCTCTAAGGTTCTATAACGACGACTATAAAATAGTTACAGCAAACATTCGCACTGATTGCATTTCCAGCATGATGTATATCATTAAGGCTAATTTTGCGCCATTTCACTGTGTCCAACAATTTGAAAATGCTGGTGGAATGTAGTTTATGAGACAAGTGTACATATATAGCGTTGGAATGCGTTCAGCCTTAGAGGATCAAACTCAACGCTGACCATTCAAAACTGTAAAAAGTTATGCTATAACATTCAAAACAGCATGTTGTCTCATTTGTTCGCGCTACTATGTATTCCGTATCTCATCCAATGCCGTTCCTATCCTACGCTTATGTGCACCTATCTTAGGTTGGAAAGGGCTTGATTTAGAGTCTCTGACTTCGTCGGAGACTTATAGGCTCCGCAGGAGCTGACTAATCTACTCGCGGCCGAAGGTCAAGTGCTTCGATGACAGCCTCGCTCACGAAAATCACATGACTGGTCTCATTCACCATTTATTTCGCGAAACCACGAAGAAGAGAATTATACATGCATTGCTTTTGCTTTCGAGTAATGCCATTGCAATGCAATTCTAATGCTCCTAGACTCCATGCTCGTCGATGCTTATTCCTGCCCTGCCCTGCCCTCCGATTGAACCCAAAACACAGCCATCCCTCTACCCTAGATGCCTATGCAATGCCTCGATATTGTCTTTAATACCACCGTCAAAGGACCGGCAGCGTTGTGTCGAAGGACGAAGTCGCGAACCTGGATAGACTTGTTAATACTGCTTCCGAAATTTAGAACGTGAATGGGCGTACTTGATAGACTTAATGAAGGTATTCAGTACGGCCCGGAAGTAAGCTCAAAAGTAAAACCAAGAGCGCAATAATGAACACGAAGCGTAGTCGCTCTTTACGTCCTCCCTCGAGTTCTGGTCGGAGAAGCTCCATAACTGCATGTAGCTCTCGCTCTTCACGTGCTCCCTCGAGTTCTGATCGGAGAAGCTTCATAATTTCACGTCGCTCTTCACGTCCTCCCTCGAGTTCTGATCGGAGAAGCTTCATAACCTCGTCAGCGCTTATTTCGTTCGTGTTGTCGTTGACAAGGTCGGTGGGATTGTTTGGGAGAGAAGCTAAGACTAGAAGTTAATTATCAGCCGTAGTTGACGGACCGCAAATTGATCTTACCTGCATGCTCAGTGTGCTCGGGTCCGTTGTTGTTTTCAAGGTGAGATACTCGATCCTGATTATCTTTAGATTCAGACACGAGACCAGACGGAGGATTTAAGCGGACGAAGCTGAGACTATCGGCTTCAGCCCGTGGAGACGTGATTTCCTTCTCCTGCGACGACATGATTTTGCGGTAAGCGTGGTTATTGCGTTGTTGTGTCGTTGCGTCGTTGCAATGATTATTTTTTTTTAAAATTATAACGAAAAATAATTGCTTTAATAATTAACGAAAAGTTTTTTGCCATTGACCATATCTCAACTATAAACGCACAGACCTTTTTGTACACCGCCTAGAAATTTGCGTTTTTAAATATTTGTTCTAGTTTATAAATAAACAATTACCGTTTATAAATAAACCCCCCGCTATTCACGAATAGCATATGCCATTGATAAATAACAGGGTGTTTTATGTATAGCACCCTTAGTTTATCAACTAGCCATGCTATTCATAAACAATTAAAGCATATCGAGCTGGCTATAGCTAAACAACGCCGCTGATAAACAGCCCGGAAATAAAGCCTCAGTCTCAGCAGCACATCTTCGTTAAGAAGGGCATAAGTGATCACCAGTGATGAGAGTTGATAATTACTAGGAGAAGGCGTAGTGCATGTGCTTGTCACATTAATGTAAATTAATATCTAGAAATCAGAGATCAACGTGCTGTGCCCAAACACTATTGCTATGCCCATGAATGCCATTGCCATGCTTATAAATTCCATTCCCACCTATAAACAACCTTTATGCTCCATATTGCCCAAGGAAAAGGTCTTTGATGTTGGATGATGTGTGGAAGTTGGGCGACGAAGAAGAAAAAGTGTTGAGCAAGAGTAGAGCCTAGATGAGTGGCTAGTACGCTTTGATTTATCTCGGAAAACACGACAAACATACTGAGGATGGCACTCCAATCTTATGCAATAGCCGGGAATAGTTCTCCGCAAGCTCCGGGAGGGGAAGGGCCGCCCACGTGATCGCAAGGCTGGCAACTGAGTTAGATTGATAGCAACTTTTGAGTCCCGAAGTATGGAGCAACGATCCAGAGCATTGCGAGAACGAACACAGCGACAAGAACGCAATAAAGCCAAGTAGGCAGATTGCATTTTTGTGCAAGGCAAAGGGGATCATCCTTTGCCAACGACGGAGGAACGCGTGTGGGTTCGGTGACGGGTAGAAGTTGGGGAGCTTCGGTGCGTCCTTTTGCGTATTTCTTAGCTTTCGAGATTGAAAAAGGGAATAGATACATACCGGTATTCGTTGAGTGAGCAGAATCGGCCATGGTGTATTCGTACGAAGGTGGTTTGTGGTCGGTGCACTCGAGGTTGCAATCGCAAGGCATACTCGAGCTTGAGCACAGACCGCTATTCATAATTGGACGTGGTTCGGCCATGAAGACATTTGCTCAAGCCTCGACAAGACTGTCGTTGAGAAATCCGAAGTGCTTTAATATAGCCGTTGTGATCACCATTGTTAGTTAGTTACTCAGATTGAAAAGAAAGCTACGAGGTTGAAACTACTATGGAGTATGGAGCCAGAAAGTCCATGCGCTGGCAGTAACCGTATTATTATTAGGAATCGTCTGTAGGCACGAATTGGGTGGGGGCCAATACCAATACAGTAGTCCGAATCTGATGCCCCGCACAGTCTCAGCCGCAGGGCGTCACTTGCCGCTACCCACCCCACCCCCGCACCCCGCGAGAAACGGGATCACGGAAGACGAGGTAGTGGACGCCCAGGAATAAAACATTTGCATCCGCAGTGAAACAGTGAAACCCTTGTATCCATTCTCCGGGCGATGTGAACTGGTGGGGTCAGCTCCAATCGTCCTAACCGCAGCGGCGTCGGAAAACTAAGACGAAAAATATAATTAAGCTGAAGAAGATGCTGATGATTCAACTGGAGGTGGTACATCTCTACTACCGCTCGTGGCTACATCCGGAACCCCTGCGCAACTCGTATCCGTGGCAAAGAAGAGTTGGAGTGACGAGGTGAATGAGGATACCATGGCCGAGAAGAACCCCGACGAAGCGGAAGCAATGGATATGACCTAAAAAGGTAGGCCACTTTTCCTTGTGGCAGTCCTAAACATTCCTGTACATAGAAATACAATGAATCTTTAAAACCCAAACATCTTCTCGTCTTGATAAAGCCTACAAAGTGACCTTTGCTATCTGTTTCCTCTCCTAGTCCTCTTCTTTCTATTCTCTTACTCTTCTTTCCTTCTAAACGCCTATATTCCTTTCATTTATGGTTCTCTTGAAATCTCTCTTTTTATATATCTCGCACCCTTCTAAACTTTCATATATTCTCAGCAACTAGTTCCCATGCCCACGATTGCTGTGGGCCGAAATGGCAGAGCTATGGTCCTCTGCATAAATGGTAACCAGGCAAAGCAACTGCGAGAGAAGAGGAGTTATTTCGGTTGGAACGCCATCAATGTGAGTAACCATTCTCGAGCCAACGAACCACCAGACTCACTCCTCTATTGAAATGGTATGTGTGCATAGCTTTGATTGACTGATCTGCTGGCTCATATAGCAGAGGGCTGGCTATATATATACACAGAATAGGCCTGTGGGCCCTAAAGTAGTCTATGATTCATAGTATAGTTACTATGATATCATGTGACATCACACTTATTAAGTGATATTCCAACATCCTCACTTAGATTTCACGCATCGACCCGCTCAGCGCTCGAATCAAATACATGGCAACTCAATTTTTTCGACTCATCTATTTGGTTTGCAAACGTTCTCGAGTATACATCGTTGAGCAATCACCATCGTTGAGGAAGGTTGGAAAATAAGGGGTGAGATTACTATTGCGCGCAACAGTTGGAGGTAAGTTTGCTCTTGTTATGGCACGATCTCCTCATTTTTAATACATACTCTAATGCGATAGCGCAGATTCCTCCTCGAAAAGGATACAAAAAACACAGTCTCCCATACGAAGTCTCATCAGAATCACTGTCACACTTTCAGTGAGGTGGAGCACACAGACACCCGTACAAATAAACTAGCGCATTTGAAGACGTCGACCTTCACCACTATCAGGTCTACAACGACAAATCCTTCACGAACCCCTTTATACTCCTACCCCCGAATCGAGCAACAAGCGCAGGCTAAGAAATACGAGATCGTCTGTTTATGGATTGAAAAGGAATAGCTACATACAAAGGAAGAATAAAGAGGATACCTACAAGACTCGAAATTTCCTGCAGCCGCTCCAGGCGTCCAAGAAGCGTTGCTGACTAGAACACTTGCAGGTTGTGGTAACGAGATCAAGCGGAGAATCATGGTTTTGAAATGGTACGATATCATGGCACACAAAGACGCATGGATGTCGAGGGAATGATGTCTTGTTTGTTGGACATATCTGGTTTTGATTGCCCAGACTACTCGATTGTTTGACTCTACACTGTTGGTATAGTGGTCGAGGGTTGCACAAACGTCTTGTTCTTCCTCCTTGACCAGGTCAATGATCCAAATAGGGCATTGTGTTTTCTTTTCGCATTTAATGGGCCATTCACCCATGCGTTCGAAATTAAGGAGCTCATTCCAATATCATTACTTCAACCGAATTAATCTCGAACATGGAAATAAGTGGATTTTGTTTCTGAACTGGACAAGAATAGCTCACAAGGTTGTTATGATGGTCATAATCACGTATCAGGTTGCTGAAAAGCAGCTCTACAGATTCCTGTCTGTTATCCAAAGCAGCTTCTTGACGGATAGCTAACGTTCAAGGGAGCGGTGGTCGGGAATACTTGGAAACAAGCCTGTAGCAAGTGTCAGGGAGTTTTCGCTGGATGAGACATAGAGTCAGAAACCTTTTGTATGGAGCGCCCTTATCCTTTGAGTTTATACGTGCGAGTTCTGAAACAGTTATTTCAAAACAGCGCAGTTTGACGGATGATTATATGGCAAATGCAAAAAAGTGCAGCCTAAATTACTATTCCCTTCTGAACCAATGACTCTTCCTTTCTTAACGTCACGTTGAAAGGGAGAATATTGTGTGACACAGACGGTTCTATGAAAAGTAAGTCGAAAAGACAGGGCTATGTCTACCAGATATTTCATAATCAATTCTTGCTCTGTTCGTACGGTTGACTCTTAGTCAGAAAGAGAAAACAACAACGGATATGTCTGCCAATTCAAGAAAGGTGTTATTAGTCTGGCACCCTTGACAGAGTAATGAAATTTACCATTGGCCATAAGTTTGACTTACTGCGACCTAGATTTAGCTGCTGCCCGCCTCTCACTGCTACTCAATACAGTTTACTTTGTGATACTGCTTTTGAGGTCGGGGAGGAGGGAGGAGAAAGAGAGAGGAGGAAGACTGGAAGGGGGCGAGGAGGAGGAGAAGCTTGGAAGAAGAACGAGGAAAATTCTAGGGAATATTAAGGGAGAAGCTCCAGTGTTTTGCAGATACAGGTGATGATCCCAGCGGAATGCATGTTGTTTCCAGTGTGACTTGATCCTTTGTGACTACGTGCGGTACCATGATTGCTTGAAGCTTGAAGTAGAGAAGTTCTCAAGTATCGACATATTACATATCGTAAAAGGCAGCTACATCTTTAAAAACAACTATTCCTGAACACGAAAATCACACGAGTCAACAGCGAATGTGTATTACCGGAAATCGTTTTTACTGCCTAATCCGGAATGGCGCCTCGCTTACTCAATTCAGGGGTAGCGACGCCCTGAGCATTCTCAGGGTTCTTCATGGCAGCTTGATCACTGATACTCAGAGTAGTATACGAATTGCAATTCGGAGCTTTGAATGTATCTTTGTAGCTGACTCTCATTCTTTTCTTGTTTTTTATTCTCGAGTCAGACTGTTTATCCCCGCGGCAAGGTGTTTCTTCGATCTATACAGATGCAGGCACCATATCTTGGGATTATTATGTACTCGAACTGATTTTTTGTCCTTTTACTGTGTCGTATCACTCCGTCAGACCCAGCTAAGGAGGTACTTGGTAATC